GGGGTCAAAATTGGCCCCGCCCCGGGGGTCATTGATTTTCCTTATATGTATATTGTGGCATCTTTCATAATTAAAACTTTTACTTTGGTTGCGTATAAGTCGCAACACTGTTTGGGGTTTAAACAATCTTTAAATAAATGGATACAAATAGGAAAAGTCTTTGTTTAAACTTTTAAAATGTAAGAATATTTATTGAACAGTTAGAACAAATATCATATATAAAAATAATTATGTCTTTAACATCTATCATTAATAGTCATTTATAAACTATACCTCTTCTTTTCACAATTTCTATTAGATTCTATTCTCAATAAATATCTCTGTTAAATTATCGTTCTATGTTCTGATATTCATTTACAATGTATCAATGTTATATCTTATTCTATTTTCCACCCCAATAATCAACTTATTTATTACTGAATTATCATAACTAACTTTTATCTCTGAATTCCCAGAGTCAACTTCAATCTCTGAATTCCAAGAGTCAACTTAAAACTCACTTCATATTCGAAAACATCTCAATTTATACTAGACGAATTCCGCTAGAATTGCAGAATTTGGCAGAAAGTGTGATATCATAGATAACAGTGGCAGAATTCAGCAGAATTCTGCAGAAATACATACAAACATATTCAAAGATTATCTTTTAAGTATGCAAAGTTCAATTAAACAGGATATACAAAATATTATATAAGACTAAAAGCAATTACCTAAGATAAGACATACTCTGTAAACATTATCTATCATCTGTCAAAAACCCAATGTTTACCAACAAGAAAAACGCCCACGAGAAATCAATGACGTAGAACGCATAATTCAATGACGTAATAGACATAAACGTAACAGGTACACATAAATGTTGTAAACATGCCGGTAACTCACTATCAGCCAAATTATCCAATATCTTTAGAAATTGACGTTAACAGTAGATGACAATTATAAACAGACATATAAAAATGTAGATAAAGTCTAACGCTAGAAGGTAATTCAATCTTGAACTTTATATTGAACGGTAAAAGCTTTATCACTGAGATTAAAAATAATGTAAACAATACCCCACCCACTTTTACTTCATTAAGTTATACGGAGTTTGCACATAAAAATACTCAAGTAAAGAATAAAATAAGCAGAAGAATCATTAGATCACCTGATCCCTGCAATATAGCAAAAACTTAAAAATCTTCTTTGAAAAAGCCCAAATAGCTAGAGTTTAGATATTAAGCATGAAACATCTTCAAGTAATTGATTGTACAAAGTTTGTTCAAATAAAAGCCCTTGGGTTAAAATTGGCCCTGCTCCGGGGGGGGGGGGGGTAAATCGTTGTTTTTCATTATATGTGTGTAGTAAAAACTTAACATCGTGAAACATCTTCTAATGGGTGTGTTCAAATAAAAGCCCTGGGGTTAAAACTGGCCCCGCTCTGGGTGCCTTTATACAGGTTAGCGACCTCAGGGCCATCATGGCCCTCTTGTTTTAAAAAGTTAAATATGTGAAGCAAATGTTTAATTACACTTACTTAAACTTTGTAGTTAATGTTTTCAGTTTTTATTGTAAAAATTGGCTTAAAATGACCTGACAACAAATTTCGAAATATCTGCCTTTATTTACATGAAATGTTACATTCGGTAATATCTTTACAAATAATGTTTATTGAAACTTAACATATTGATAAATCTTCTTTTGAGCATCATATTTATGATAAACAACCATCCAAAAATCTGCATATCAGGATTTTTAAACTGATATCACAAAGTTCATATTTGTATCTGGAATAGCGCACATGTAAAAACTTACTTGTTGCTTTTGCTAAGGGAATACAGTGTCATAAAAAGTCACAGGTTGCTGTCCTTGGAAATCAGTGTCTGCTATGAAATACAATTGTATTTGCTATGGAAGTCACTGGTTGCTATGAAATTTTACAGTTCTATAAAGTAAATGGCTGCTATGAAGTCTCTGAATGCTATAGAAACTAAGCTTGAGCTTCTGTAGATATAAACTTTTACAATATACATAGTAGGGAAATCAATTTTCTCATTATAATATGTTAGTTACATGGCATTGGCTTTTTAGCAAATAATGTAGTCAAGCTGTGTATTCCAACATTTACTATAATAAATTACAGAATTTATAACAGCAGTCATAAGCTTGTTAATACAAATATAAAGTGTATAATATCCAATGTTTAGGTGTTGGTGTTGGTAGGTTTCACTCCGGATCACTGTAGTAAGCCACATTGAATTCACCAGAGCACAGTTCAACCACCGCATCGTTTCGGGTCGCCTGATTCACAGTCCAACGCTCTACCTGTTGAGCTAACCGGGCGGCTTAATATCCAATGTAGTTCAATTCTTGCTATATATACTGCAGTTATTTAAAAAGATGTTAAGGTTAAGGAAAATTAATAAATTTATGTTTCATTATATTAATATTTTCTTCATATCTTAATAAATCATAGTTAAAAAAATAATGTTCAAAAAATCTTTTCTGTTTTCTTGTTATGAAAGCAAAATTTTATTTAATCTTATTAAAGGATGATAATAACCCAGAATGGAATGCATATACATATAACGAAAATTAATAAACCTCGGAACGGGGTCAATTTTTACACTAGGGCTTTTGTTTTAACAAACTTGGTAGACATCCATTACACGATATTTCCTGCCAAATATCAAAGCCCTAGTGATTTTTGATTTTCACAAGAAGAGTTTTTAGTTTACATATAAGGAAAATCAATAACCCCCTGGGGCGGGCCAATTTACCCTAGGGCTTTTATTTGAACAAACTTTGTAGACATCCACTAGAAAATGTTTCATGCCAAATATCTACGCTCTAGCTCTCTCGAATTTTTACAAGAATATTTTTAAGTTTTTACTTTATACATATAAGAAAAATCAATGACCCCCTAGGGCTAGGCAAATGTTGACCCCAGGGCTATAATTTGAGCAAATGTTGAGGTTCATTACATGATGCCACATACAAAATATCTAAGCCTTAGGCCTTGCACTTTAAGAGAAGATAAAGATTTTATTTCAAAAATCTTTTTAAAGCCCTCCTGACCCATATGCTTAATTGAACAAAACCAATTGAACAATTTTAGAAGAGCTTCATGCTCGGAACATTCCAAAATTTTTTATCACATTTGGCCTAGTGGGTGAAAAAGAAATTGTTTGTATAAACAGTTGACGAAGGACACACTGGCGTACTGACGGACGCCGGACACATTGTGATCACAAAATCTCATATTGAGTGCTCAGGTGAGCTTAAATGACTGCCAGAGCTAAAGTTAGAAATAACAACATCTAAACAAAATCTAAACCACTGGTTCAGTTTTGAAATAATTGTACACAAAAATTTCCTTGGTGACAGAACTCAAAATTATTCAGATAAAGCTTTCCCTTGTTTTCAAATTGTGCTTATGGTGAGAAAGAGGCTCCATTTGACCTTTTGACTTCAGGTGAGAAATCCAGAGCCCTCTGGGCCCTCTTGTTTTAAATCAATTATTGTACTGTGGCCTTTGTATCTGATCATTAGACACGTCTACATATTGTCATTTATTTTACATGCTGAAATATGACCTTGACCCCCAATTTTACTAGACTCTACTTCATTATGGCAATTTTCAATTGTATAGAAACAAAAAAAATCTTATGTTCCTATATTACTGTTTAGTGTTGTATTTATGCTGTAGCATAGCATTATTTTTCACAAATGCAGTGTTGTTTTATGTAAAATTAAATAAATCGAATACAGTAGCATGTCTCTCTAGTGTATTTGTAGAAAATACCACCATGATCAGACTAGTATTGATACAAGTATTAGACATTTATAAATATACGACAAGTGTTTGGGTCCACTACACAAAGTCACCTTAGCATATACGCCATCGTATGTTGCGTACGTTAAGGTTTTCTTAGAGACAATAACACAAGGGTATTTTAGTTCATCGTAACTATCTCTTTAACTGCGTCATAACTTTAAAATAGGAAAATTGTTCGAGTTTTCGAGACAACCAAATTTTGCTGAATCAATGTCATTCAATTTTAAATTTTAGCTGGCTGACAAATTGTCTCAATGATGTCATTGATAGTTTAAAGTTAAGTCATTAAAGATTTCTTGGAAGTTAAGCGTATGAAAATGTTTCAAACGTCGTTATATATTTGCCACCGGTTGAGTCAAAATAATAGAATAAAGTCAACTTCCAGTGTAAGGTTAATTCATAACAAGCGCAATGCGTATACAGTACGCCAGATTTATGCTTTACATAAGCCAGTTGAATACGAAAATTCCCTCTAAAAATGAAAAATACAGCGTGAAATATGAAAAATATCAGAAAGACAGTGACAAGAATGACATCCCCGTTTAAACAGCAAATTATGTACACGAATTAGTATTAAATGCATCAATTCTTTAATCTAGGGCTCTAAGATTTAGAAAATGTGTCCAAGGAAAAAAGCGCATCCCAAAATATGTAATGCCCCTTCCGTACATTAAAATTTGATAAGTTTTTAACCTTAGTAAAACAATCTGGATAAAGTGTCATCCCTCGGAAGCACTTATCACATTAAAATTACATGATAATAGCAGAATCGGTTTCATTGAGTCCATACATGAGTGATAATAAAAAGTGCAACGTACATTCCTAACGCACCTTAGCACCGGTTTTGAGTATGTAGATTTGGGATTGCCCTCACCTCTTTTAGCACTGACTTGAGCGGTATTCAATTTTTAACACTTGAAAGTGTTGGAAACAATGATCCCAAAAGACCAAAAAAATATAAAAACATTAGTTCTGTTTAGTTCTAGTAATTTTTGTTGTAATGGCGGACAAAAACATCAAAATTCAATTTTGACAAATGTATGCTTAGTTCCTACAATCCTTACCTGCAAAGAATTATAAATTTCCTTTTCTAACTGTTTAAGAGAGATGTTGGTATTGATATTTGTGTATATGATTGTAAAACAAAAAGATGTGTTCCAATTAAATTAATTTGTTATTCCAGATTTGATGTTTTTTCCAAAAGCGTTAGAACTGGTGATATCAAGTTTCAAACATTCGAATTGGTTATCGGAAATGCTTACAATGATGATGAGAAAGGAATGTTTGCTGAACTTTTAAAACTGAACCTGAAGGATCGATTTGCTAGGATACGACTTGAACAGTTGAAACAGTTCAGGAAATTAGGGTCATGTGTTAATGGAGCAATCGTGATCCTACAGTTTATGCAACAATATGATTTACAGGGAGATTTCAGATCTGTTGAAGATATTGCACATGTAAGTCTTCTCTGTATCTAAAAGTCGAACTTTTTTCAAAAAGTAAATACATTTGTTAAAAGCTCACTTGAGAATAAAGTGCTCAAGTGGGAGCTTTTTCATTATATGTATATGTATAAAGTTGAACCTGAAAAAATCATCTTTAAATCTACAAGAGCTAAAGCTTAGTTTTTTGACATGAAACATTATCTAGTAGACATTTACTAAGTTAGTTCCAGTTATAGCCTTCATGTCAAAATTGGCCCTGCATTTTGCTTATATGTTTAAAAAATAATTAAATATTTTATTATATTATAGATGTTTTGCTAAGATATTTTATATGAAACATCTCTACAAAAATTGTTCAAATCATAGCACTGGGGTCAAAATTGGCACCGCCTCGGGGAACATAGAGTTTCCTTATATGTATATACAATGTAGTAACAACTTTAAAAATCTAAGAGTTAAAGCACATAGCAAGCAGCCTTTAACTTTTCATAAGCCACCTGTAAATTTTCAAAGCAACTAGTGACTTCCAATTCATAGCAGACACTGACTTCCAAGGAAACCATTTATGATGAATATAGTAACCAGTGACTTCTTATGAAACTGTTGTTTTCCCTCAGCAATAGTAACCGGTAATGCTTTTACACGTGCACTATTTCAGATACTAATATGAACTTTGTAATATCAATCAAATTTTGTTTTAGATATTATATCATTCTGCTTTGTTTATAGTCTACAATATAACTTGTTCCTTGTCATGAAGAGTAGTAATATTCAGGTGAGCTATATTAGGGCCATCATGTCCCTCTTGTTTTCATTTAATGACTACACTCTCTTTTTATATAGCACTACGCAACAAACTTTTCGATGAATTCATTTGATCAAAGTCTGATAAACACATGTTCATTCTTGGAGGATATGACTCCGGAAAGAGCCAAGTGTCTTGCAGCTTACGTGGAATGTAAACCTTTGGTTAAGTGGTTGAACAAGACAATGAAGAAACGTACGTAAATCTTATTTTTCATACTAGTACACTTTGAAATTTTTAAAAATATTTTTTCTCGATTTGATTGAGCCTGTTCATGGGCAAAAGTTTAGGTTACTGTCCACACCACTAAAAACCGACTTTTTAAGAATTCATTACTTAAATAGGATGGAACTTTTATTTTAGAAAAAATCACAGATGGGTTCCTTATTTTAGTGATTCAATCGGCAAAATATCACAGAGTATATAAGCGCAAAAATAATATATCATTAACCAAATATTGAAATTTTACTATCCTTTACCGGATTGTTTAAATATACATGTAAATATTATGACTTTTTATGAGTTATTTGTAGAACCTTGGTCACACCATAGTTAAAACAGGTCTATGACAGGTATTCGATTGAAGTTTCTGACAAAGTAGTCTTGCATTGTATAACAACATTTTTGCGTTCAATGCTGGAAAAAAAAATTTCATAGCTGTTTTTAACAAGAAGCACAAGGACTATTCTAAAAAAAACCTGCACCTTCTTGTGTAAATTCGCCTACTTTTGGACAATGCAACGCTTTTCATGGAATGGCACGTACATGCCAAATAAAGGTTCCATGATAAACTACTGTTACAGATTGTATGTTTATATGGTTTTAACTGCACATTGACACATTACCGGTTATACCGTGCCGAAAACTATGGCCAACCTAAATTTTAAGAACGTCAAAAAGTAAATGTAATCTCTTAATGGTTATGTTGAATAAAAACTATTAAATTACAAAATGTGATGCTTACAAATCAACAGTCTTGCGTCAGTGTGCGATTTTTATGCCACTGCAATCTGTGATATGTGTGTGTGTGTGCGTGTGCGTGTGCGTGTGTGTGCGCGTGCGTGTCATAGTGAGCTTAATAGATCTTAAACAGTACAAGTTTGATTTCAACCAAACTGGCCAAGATTGTATCATGCGGTAAGGACTTCTAAAGTTGTTTAAAGAATTTGAATCTATGCAAAAATCTGTTTTCCAAGAAACAAGATTGTTCATATTCAAGCACTGGTGTCAAAATTGGCCCCGCCCTAGGGGTTTATAATAATATTTAGTAAATAATATAGTAAACATTTTAACAGCCTTCTTTTTCTTGAAAAATTCTAGGGCTAGAGCTCAGATGTTTAGCATAGAGCTCAGATGATTTGAGGTCATGACATCTAGCAAGAGAAATGATCTGAGCACTTTATAAGGACATTATGTTTAAACCTTAATATTTTCAGAATAGGTAATGCTTAATTGAAAATAAGTATTCAAGAAAAAATGATAACTATATTTCAAAGTTTAATACAACTATGTAATACAGTAAATGCCATTTTTTGAAGTAAGGAAACATTTATTTTGAATCAATTATTTTACTATTGCCTTTGTATCTGAACATGAGACATATCTGCACATATACTTTTATTAAAAGTGCTGAAATTTGAGCCTGAGTCCCAAATGCACTTGTCTCTTGCATTATGGAGGTTCAATTATATAGAAACAAAACAAAATATATATCACGTCTATAATGTTCCTAATTCATGTATTTAGTGTTATATAAATGCGTTGGCATAGCACATTTTCACAAATGCAATTTTGTTTGAGAAGGATTGTTTTGCGTCGTCAAGTCGGCAAGTTCATGCAAGACAACCGTATGTCATTTTTTCGTACACATTATTATTTGGACATATTTGTCGTAGGATTTTGTCACAGACTAACATTTTATTTGCTACGCAGACGTACAACTCAAAAGACCTCTGTGTCGGTGCGACCAAGCCTTTAGTTCAGTCCATTGATTATCGTTTAAATATCAAATTCAAATTTCTGTAAACGATTACTTAATAACCAAATGTAATTATGTTTTATTTTCTATAGTAAAAGAATTGAAGGTTTTTGTTGATCTGGCCTTAATATCAGCGGGTGATGATCCATTAATGATGGACAAAGTAGAATGTCTTCATACGGCAGTTACTGGATATGCGCCGCTCATTTTTGAGCTAGATCCAATGTCGGACTACAAGGATTTGCTTGAACGCTGCCAGGTTGTTTGGAAAGAATTAGAGTCAAACGACAACCTTCCACAAATGCTGGTGGGTATCCGACTTAGTTTTGTAATTTAGTTCATCAGAGTACAACGCTCAAAGATGAGTTGGCAGTTTGTTCGTCGCTCGTCATCTTTCGTTTATTAAAATTAATGTTACTCTTTCATAAAAGCATGTTCATTATTTAACAAATTACACTGCATAATGTAATTGGTTACCGTTATCGATTTGCACAGGGTACAGTACTGTTTGTACACCATTTAAGTTTGGCAAATGACGACTTTTTGTGTGCTTATGCTATTTATTGTTATTGTGATTTTAAACTCAACAGATAAGTGTATATAATGGTTATAAAAGAAAGATTCAGTTTAGTACACAGTGGAAAATGTTATAAAATTTCTTTTTGCTGTTCATTCTTTGCTTTTTTAGATTGATACAAATAAGGAGTTGGAATGGCTGAAAGATGTTGTAAAAGCACATGGATCCGTCGAGGTTACGTCTTTCATGCAAGCCGATGCTATTAACAGTTGTGGTGTTTATACTATCGGAAAGATGGTATGTGTTTTTGAAAATTTAAGGTTGATTAGTTCCAAGATAGATTGTTTATGCCTATCGAGTTTCTTATTAGTAATAAGTCAGAAAAAAGATAAACATTTAGTTTAATGTTACAAGTCAACTTATTTCCAAGTGGTCACATTCTTACGAAGTCACAAATCTTTGACATATAATTAACAATAATCTCTCTTATTTTAGGCGCTAGAAAACTCATTTAAACTCACAGTGCGAGAAGAAGCTGGGAAGCGACAGAAAAGAGACTACACACTTGTACAGCTTCAGGACTTAACCAGCCGGCTGATGCTGGTCGCCGGAAATACTGAAAACGGAAATGAGAACGTTGAAAACTTCGTTATGGTAAAGTACATTTTAGTTTAGATTATGCATGCTGATCATTTTCATACAAATTATCAAATTCTTTATTGAACTATCGTACTTTCATTTATTACACTCACAAGAGCCTTAAAGAGCACATATTCTGTTTAATATACCTTCTTTTATGCGATTTCTGCAACATATTTGTTTATAATAAAATACTTTACGTGACGTAAAAATGTATATAAGAGTATATATGGTAAACATTTATTAATATTTGATGTGTAAGAATATTATGCATATAGCATTGTGTTATGAATCCACCTAAGAGTAACCTGAAATATTGAATTAATTTGTCAGTTTCGATGTTATATTTTTGTCCTTCGAGATCATTGATTCCAGCACATGAAGTGTTGAAGATTGAACACCGCTTTAGCTTGTGGTAAGGGGCGATAGGAATGTTGCACTTTTCCATTATCCCTGAGGAACAGAATCAATCAGATCAAGTCTGCATTTTTCATGTGATTTTCTGGTTTTCATTGCTTCCGAGGGATCCCCTTTCCAGATTTTTTTCTCACAAATTCATTATTTTTTTATTGTATAACATTCAAAGAATCATGCAATACTTAGCACATATAAAATATGACAATGAAGATGTTTGATTGTATTACAGACATTTGACGGTATCATGAGACTATGCAAAGTATATAATAAACTTTGTTCAGCCGGATGCGTACTTTTCCACGATTGGTCAGTAAGATGTCTATGTGATAAAAGCAAGCCAGTTGCATTGATAATGCAGTTTGGACAGGGTGAAGATATACCAACAATTAAGGTACTTTTTTATTATCTAAAAGCAGTCAATCAAAAATAAGTGTTTTAATTTCAATTATTGTTTGTAGAATGTCTTTACGTTCTTTAATATTTATTATGTTTATGTGGCTTAGATATCAAAGATTCGTAACTTCATATATTCTATTTTGAATTTTAGGGACTAAGGTCAGAAACAGAAGACTTGAAGGATTTGATTCCGAAGCTTGCAAAATTCATGGAAAATTGTTTAATGCAGTGGTTGCAACATATAAAAGACAAACGCAAGCAGTACATACATCTAAATTATTTCACAGTAGATCAGCTCGTAATCCTGCAAAAAGAGCTTGTGAAAGTTGGAACTGATCAACTCCCGTCAAATCTTTTGTATCCACTGATTTCAGCAGTGAAAAAAAACTGTTCTCATGGTAAAGTCGTTTAGAATTTATACATAATTTTTATACATAATCATTGCGTTAATGTGACATGACTTTTTCCGTCATTATTCTCTCGACTTTGGTTGTGGTTTTTATACCCCCAAAAACGAAGTTTGGGGGGTATATAGGAGTCACCCGGTGGTCGGTTGGTCGGGCGGTCGGTCGGTCCAGACGTCCGTTGCATTTTCCTTGTCCGGAGCATAACTTGAAAACTAATGGTTGGAATTCAATATAACTACATACAATGGTCAAGCACATTGAGAGGAAGTGCAGTGCACAAGAACCATAACTCTATCTTGACTAATTACAGAGCTATTGTCCTTTGTTACTTTTCCTTGTCCGGGGCATAACTTGAAAACTACTGGTTGGAATTCAAAACAACTTCAGAAAATTGTCAAACACAATAAGGGGAAGTGCAGTGCACAAGAACCATAACTCTATCTAAAGTAATTACAGAGGTATTGCCCTTTGTTGCTTTTCCATTGCTTTTTTTTTGTCCGGACCATAACTTGAAGATTAATAGTTTGAATTCAATATAACTACATACAATGGTCAAGCTGTGACATTGAGAGGAAGTGCAGTGCACAAGAACCATAACTCTATCTTGACTAATTACAGAGTTATTGCCCTTTGTTACTTTTCCTTGTCCGGGGCATAACTTGAAAACTACTGGTTGGAAATCAAAACAACTTCATACAATTGTCAAACATGATAAGGGGAAGTGCAGTGCACAAGAACCATAACTCTATCTAAAGTAATTACAGAGTTATTCCCTTTGTTGCTTTTCCATTGCTTTTTTTTGTCCGGACCATAACTTGAAGACTAATAGTTTGAATTCAATATAACTACATACATTGGTCAAGCACATTGAGAGGAAGTGCAGTGCGTAAGAACCATAACTCTATCTTGTCTAATTACAAAGTTATTGCCCTTTGTTACTTTTCCTTGTCCGGGGCATAACTTGAAAACAACTGGTTGGAATTCAAAACAACTTCATACAATTGTCAAACAAAATAAGGGGAAGTGCAGTGCACAAGAACCATAACTCTATCTAAAGTAATTACAGAGTTATTGCCCTTTGTTACTTTTCCATTGATTTTTTTGTCCGGACCATAACTTGAAGACTATTGGTTGGAATTCAATATAACTGCATACAATGGTCAAGCACATTGAGAGAAAGTACAGTGCATAAGAACCATAACTCTATCTTGACTAATTACAGAGTCATTGTTCTTTGTTACTTTTCCTTGTTCGGGGCATAACTTGAAAACTACTGGTTTGAATTCGAAACAACTTCATACAATTGTCAAACATAATAAGGGGAAGTGCAGTGCACAAGAACCATAACTCTTTCTAAAGTAATTACAGAGTTATTGCCCTTTGTTGCTTTTCCATTGCCTTTTTTGTCCGGACCATAACTTGAAGACTAATGGTTGGAATTCAATATAACTGTTTACAATGGTCAAGCACATTGAGAGAAAGTGCAGTGCACAAGAACCATAACTCCATCTTTACTAATTACAGAGTTATTGCCCTTTGTTACTTTTCCTTGTCCAGAGCATAACTTGAAAACTACTGTTTGGAATTCAATTCAACTTCATACAGTTGTCAAGGACATTAAAAGGAAGTGCAGTGCACAAGAGCCATAACTCCAATTTGACAAAATACAGAGTTACTGCCCTTTGATACTTTTCCTTGTCAGGAGCATAACTTAAAACGTACTTGTTGGAATTCAAAACAACTTCATACAATGGTCAAGCACAATAAGAGGAAGTGCAGTGCACAAGAACTATAACTCTATCTTCAGTATTTATAGAGTTATTGCCCTTTGTTCCTTTTCTTTGTCTTTCTGGACTTATTACAGAGTAATTCAATTAAACATCATCAATGGCCAACCACATTGAAAGGAAATGCAACATATAAGAACCACAACTATCTTTAATTGCCCACAACCATAACTCTATATTTCAATTCTTTTACAAGGTATTCTGTTACTAGTAACATCCTCATTTCCAAAGCAGTCTTGTGGGGGTATTAATCACATTTAGTGATAGTTCTAGTTTCTATTTAATAGAACAATAACACCTTGAAGATTATTACAATAACTGAATTGCAGTAGATGTAATGTGGCATAGATATTAGATTGAATAAGGCAAATCACGACTTCTATGCTCACCAAGAATAATCAATATCTAACTTTGACTCTTTAAGGATTGTAGTCACTTTCATGGTTCCCAAAAGAAAGTTCAATTCCAAGACGTATAGATGATTACATTTATTTAAATAATTAGGTCCACTTTGTTTTGGAAGAAGAAAAGTTATAGTCATGTCGTCGTTCTTGCACCCGTTGCCGTTGCGTTGCCTCTCTCATAATTCTAATGCAATTTAATTGAAACTTTACATGATATATAGGTACTCCAAGTTCTTGCGCATATTAAGCGGAGTTATGGCTCTTGTATAAAAAAACACGTTTTGCCCCGTTTATGATTTTTGTGTCTCCTGCTACACAGTAGCCGCAACATGCAATAAGCTCTCATGAGGTTACACATGTGATCACTATTTGCTCTTGTGTTATTTATGTTTGGATCTTTTTGATTTGATAAATGATTATAAATGACTTTAACATTCAAGGTCATTTTTTTTAATTTTGCTAATATTTCCTGAACTGTCATTTTTTATTGTAATGATTTATACTTTCACAAAACAACAAAGTAAAAAGTCAAGCATTGCCTCCGCGGTGACTATTGTTTTGTACAATGCTCATCACAGTTTCACTGGTAATGCAATACGACTAGCACATATTATTTCTGACATTTCATCCGTAGATGATTTAGTGGAGGCAATGATTGATGCAAAAGAGGATATTTCTGAAAGTAAACATCAAGACGAACATGAAAACAATGATGTTCAAGAAAATTGCGAAGATGAAAAGAAAAACATATTCGTAGAAGAAATTGTTAACGCTGGATATGATTTGGAATTAGCAATAAAAGCGCTTGACCATGTTGATCCTGAAGATATTTCTGAAGGTATGCGAGCTATCTTACGTTGATTTAATGTATAATTTTAATCCATTTCCTGTATTAATAAAAAAAATGATACCTTCTTTGCAAATTGAAAAAGTCCCCTAATGCTCATAGATAAAGGAGGGCTAGAGTAAAATAGATTGTTATTGATCAACAATTTCATTTGGCTTCATACAAAATTGTAATATAGCAGATTGTTCCAAACATCATGTCATCCGCTTCTACTGATTTTTACGTTACAAACAACTTGGGGAAAAAAACAACATTTTTTTTCACAAAGGTTTTCGTAAAAACTTGAATATTTAATTTAATCTACAAATGAAAATTCCTTATGGGTGACCGAACAAGTTTGAATTGAATGTAATAAAATAAAAAAACGAATCAAGACATCAAATTACAAACGAACATATTCTTCTTGCTTTTTGTAAAGGTATAGTATGGTGCATGACAAATGAAGATACAACAGAAGGCACTGAAAATGCAATTGGTTATAGTGATGGTCAGGCGAAAACGGAGCGTGAAGTATCAGACTTCAGAGGTTGGAGTCAGTCTGGAACATCTTTTTCGACCATGATCACTTCCAGTGTATACAAACTTACTAAACGACTGTATGTAGAAAGTTTTTGTATGACAAAATTAAAAAAAAAATAAAAAAATTAAACAGAGTAACATGCCTTCAATTTCAACTTCTCTACGCATTTTCATATTATGTAGCCATCATGAAGTCGCCCATGCTTTCAATTAAGATTAAATCTTTATTATTCCCGCTTAAAGTGTTGGTAACAAAAACTGCGTATGAGTAATTTTGTTTTTCATTCATTTGACTGTTAGCATAACATTGTTTTTTCTTTTAAATTTTATCGATTTTGATATTCTTTGTTTATGACAAGGTATTTAGGATTGCAATTTTGATTTTAGTGATGCAGGCTCCGAGCCGTTACTCAACAAGCTGTTCACACTTTGGCAACAATTTCTCCACTCTGTAACTTCAAACATGCAAGATTATCTCAGCTTGGAACATCTTGGCCTTATCCTAAAACATTTAGCAGCTAAAGGTTTGTACATTAAAAAAATGCCATTTCATTAACCCTTTTTAAGAATTATAATCATGTTTTCTGTGTAAGATCTTTCTAACAAAAGTATATGAGTTTCATTGTTTGATTAGAGATTTGTTTTATTTATATGGAACTATCCTATTTTATAAGCAAATCATTTTATGAGAAAAACGGAACTCTATAACAGTGTAAGTGTTCTCTAATATGTAGATTCAAGGCTGATTAAAAGATCACTACCGCCAAGCTTTTCAGTTGGAGAGCCAAACTTGCTTATGTGTCCTTCAGGTAGGTACAGCTTTGCTTTATATACACTTTTTCTTGTTATCATTCTATTTTTTAGAAAATTATCAAACACATTCAGCATTCCTTATTAATGATTTTTGACATTTAACTGTGTTATGCAGTATGTAATCTTAAAAAAATAATTGAAATAATCACTTTAGATTTTTAATGTCTTACAATGAAACGAAAGTAAATTGGTAAATATGTGTTTGTATCTCAAAGATCAAAACATCTAATTTGGAAGGATATGTTTATAAATATTTTATAACAAAGTAGCGACACATGAGCAAAATTATCTAAAATTCAAATGCAAATCTTCTGTTATCGCTCCCTCCTCTGGTCATGAAAAGACGAATATAAAAATGAGTAATTATACTTATTTTTCAAAGTTTACTAAATATTATTCAAGTTATTACATAACAGTGTTTGTGCAAAAAACATCCTCCGTTATGCTAAAGTTTTTGTCTGATGAATGTATATTCAATCAAGAACGTGTAGATGCTAGCTTTGTCAACTTTCAGTGTTAAATGAAATGAAATAAGTGTTTCGAAAGCGATGTTTGAAATTCAATTATACATATGTAAAGTATATATTGAAATAACTTTTAAGAACTGCTTTGAACAGTTATTTACATTTGCAATTTGTATTTGTCTCCAAGCTGATGTGATAGTGACTACGTTATCGATGTACATGCGAGACAGACACCAGCCATTGCCACAGTCTGATGAAATTTTACTGTGTACAGACAAGACAACTAAAGATGAGGTTAAACACCTTACATAAGATAAAAACAGATATAGTAATGGTTATACTGGTATAGCTATAAATGTAAAAAATAATACATATCTTTAAAATGTTAGATTTGCTTTTCGTGTCAATTATTCATCAATCATTACTTTATTTTTAGTCATAACTTATGTCGTATTTTTACTAAATTAAAAAGGCAATGAAGATGTATTTACTTAAGCTCTTTCCACATCCCAGATCAATGAGGGCAAACATTTTTTATATCATTGTTTGACTGTTTTAACATGAAACAGGTTGACATTTTTTGGCGACGAGCAATATTTGGCAGGAGCTGCAAAATTTATTGTTTGATGAATGCTGATGTTCTGCGATACGATGTCAGTGAAGCAGCAGAGAGGTGTCTTGATGAATATTTGAAAGAGACTCATTTTTCCAAAGGTCAGTTATGCTTCTAATTTGTTATTAATAGATTTAGACATATAATTGCAGGTCTCATGTTTTCTTTTAGATTATATTACGTCTCGGTATAGAAAAGCTGCTCAATATATCAATTAGTTCTGCATGTAAAACATACTGGTTATGGATTTTACTTTGAAGGTTGTTAATCTTTTGTATATTTACAAAGATTAAAAATGATATTTTTACATAAAACTCGTTTGTTTAGCTTTCATAAAAATATAACCTTGTATCTGTCAAGTTGTCTCTTTTTGTTTGCTATACTGCATGTATTCCAATGATGATTCATTACAAATGGTACTCATTCGTTGAGCTACATAAACGTCTTTCATCGTGAATGAAAAAGCAATTTTCATATTTTATTTTATTTTATTTATTTTTTGAATTTATTTTTTTCAAAGAGAATTTTTCAACTTTAACATTCTCTAGATATGAACTACCAACTGATTGTAATTTGCGGTTCTGACAATGAGTACAGATCAACAATTGTATCGTCCCTTGACAAATACAAGAAACAACCTCTTCCAATTAATATTTCCCGCGTTCGCGAGTATGTACAGTCAAAACTGCGAACTGAGGAGGATGACAATATCGGAATCACTCCTGCAGCCTGTATTGACAGCGAACGGTTTGTTCTATATGACATATCATTTTTCTTTTCTGCATTATATTTGCCGTCTTCATTCTAGCTAAATATTTTTCAAAATTTGTTTTTACACAGAAGCTATTTTTTTCTATTTTTAAAGCAAAATTTGAAGTATTCTTAAATTTGTTATTAGCCATTTAATACCGAATCCTTTTTCAACTAATTATGATTCAGATCATGTTTATAAAATTAAATGATGCAATCTTTCAGATAGTTGAACAAATACGTATAAGTGTTTTGAGGATGTTTCTAAATTTAAAATTATACCAAAGTCAGTATAAATATCTAGAAATGTTTTCACCTATGTTAGGGTTTGAAGAAGGTGGTTGGCAATTTCCGTTTTTAATGTTCTTTAGGGATTCTATTTTGTTTTATTCTATTTATAAAAAGTGTTAAATTTGAATCAACTTTCAAGTGGTTTTATAGAAACTCCAGTGTAGTGAAGTAAACAATGTAAGTTATATCTTTGTTTGAATACCTCTTGTTTATTTTTACATGCAGATCAACTGTACGGTTGATAAAATCGTGGAGAGCAGGTGTTGGAAAATCACTTTTCAAGACGAGACAGGAGGAAAAACTATTATCTTTAAACAAAGATATTGAAGTTAGAAGAGATATTGTATCCATTCCGCTGCATGAGAAAACTGTAGATATGCACAATATTATACAGAAATTACTTGAATACACGCACACACCATCGGAAATGACAGCTAGACTGTATCACATAGATATTGCACATGAGGTAAATTGATATCTTGTTAATGACAATTGAATAATACGAGCAATCTATGCAGAGCATTATCGACTAAAAAGTATCACTTCATTGTGTTATATTTTTCTGGTCCTTTGGACAATTGACTTTAGCACTTCTTAGTGTTAAAATTGAATGATGCTAAAGCCGGTGCTAGAGGGCATGAGCGATGTTGCACCTTTTAATTATCCCTTATGTTCAGAAATCTGCAATTTTCATGTAATTTTGCTGATTTTCATGCTTCCGAGGCATTCCTTTTTTCAAGATATTTAAGAGTTAATCAGTTATAGTACTGTGCAGATTCGAATCTTGTATAATATTATCAGAATTATCGTTTCCCACAACAGCATGTAACCGTTACAGTTAATTTCAAATAACGAAAACACATACATAAATACCTTATCTAATAATAAAAAATATGGATATATAATGTTTTAGGTCGAAAATGGTGTAGACAACCTTCTGTTCAATCTCTGCATCCTTGAATGTTTAACAGACAAGGCTGGGTATGTATGGAGAAAATCCCCTACAGATATCTATCTGTTTGAAAATATGCCATTATTGGTGGAGGAAACAAACAAACGTGTAAGTAAATATGTAATTTGATATCTATATCAAAGGAATTAAATATATTCTGTCATAAAGTTAAGTTATTTCTTCAGTAAATTGTAAATTAATTATTTGAATTCGATAACAATAAATGATGATTTTTTAATTAAAATAAAGCTATTTATAATTATTAGGGAAAGGAATTGCACTATGTTCACGCAATGCTGTCTATTTTACCTGACCTGACATGTAGATCACCAAAAGAAAGCTTGAATATATACAAAGGGATAGGAATCAGACCAAATGGTATTTAGTTTTAATACCGAACTTGAACAATTGTTTTTCAGTTTGTGACATTGCTTAACTTTCATTCGTTAATCTCTTTGTTCAAAAAAAAAAGTTTCTTTTAAGTCACAATTTAAATTAACATATCTTTAATGTTTTTCTTAATGAACTTTTTCGTATTGGTCTGGAATTAAGAGAATAAACTGATTTTGCAAGAAACATTTTCTTCGTACACATACGTACACTGGCATAGTGGTGACATTTGTAGTAGCTTTGTTATCTTGTGGTCACAATTTATTATGTTGTGGCTGCGACCTTTTGTCTTGTGGCGTCATAACTTATTATATTGCGTCCTCAAGATATTTACCCGTGGCCTCAATATATTATCTTTCGGCAACAACGTATTATCTTGTATCAAATCTTAATATCTTGAGGCTTTAAGATATTATCTTCTGACATAAGGAAAATGTTGAAGCCACAAAATACTATCTGGAGACCTCAAGATAATACATTGCCGCCACAAAATATTATATTGAGCCCACAAGATAGTAAAATTAGTGGCCACAAGATATAAAAAAAAATTGCAAATGTCACCTCTATGACGCCGTACTATGAAGCTGTAAATACGATTATTTTCAAAGAATTTGTTTTAACTACTGCAATTATGACAAGGTAAATAACATTGTTAGTCAAAGTGTATCTTATCTCACTTTTATTACATACAGATTTCAAACATTCAGATCAACTTTTCGATACAAAAATGTTTCGAAGTCCAGTGTTTCAAAGAACATTTCAGTACTTGCTTCGATTAGAGCATAACGCGACTTTTGAAGGTGTGCATCCGCATGTATCAGAAGGAACACCTGAAATGTGTTTGGATGTTTTATTGAGGTACCTACTAGAAATTTTACCTTTTATAAATTTATGACTACTCCGATATTTTCAAGGGTAATATGAAGTTTTAATGTGTTTTTGAAACTGCTTAAGAATCATCGTCGGTTGGTGAAAGTTGTTTTTATTGTACGCCCGAAGACCTTCAGTGTATTATGGTATGGCTGTGTTCGTCCATCTGTCCGTACATAATTGGTTATTGCAGCATATCTTTAGAATGATTTCAGAGACAGGTTGCTATGTCAACAAATATACTTAAAATATTGCAAATATTTGTGATAACACAAAAATAACTGAAAATATTTTTATGAAACTTTGAAATAGATAAGAGTATAAGATTGATAGATGACAGTATGGAGTTTATGCACATTAAGTTTACCCGGCCTGAGCTTTCGTGAAAAAATGTTTTTTACTTCAAACTTTCAATATATGTTTCTTATCATCACCCAAATCATATGAGGCAAGGTTCATACTTCTAGCACCTTTATTATCAGAATTATTTTCTTAAATTAAGAATTTTTCTGAAAAACATGTTGTTTGTTTTCTTTAACTTCTTTATTTTTAAGGCATCTACTTCAAGCATATGTTCCTAATTATTACTTAAATCATGTTTGAAAAGATTCCATACTCTTTTTTCATTTCTTACAGCTTTTACTTGAAACTCAGGCATCATAATTATAAATCAAGGTTGTTAAATCTACCGTCCTTATTTCCAGAATTATCTCCCCCGTAAACTTTAAGCACCCCTTTTTTATTCTATAACTCTTTTTTTTACATGAATTTAGTTCAAATTTCAAATATATGTTCATTATTAACACCTACATCGTAAGTGATAAGATTCATTAGTTTTCCACGATTATTTTGAACTTGGAATTTATTTTAAAACTGTTGTATGTTTTTATTATTTGCTTCTTTGTTACTATAAATTGTATTAATTTAAAATTTGTTTTATTTTTCCCTTTTCTTCTATGTTACTATTGGAAACATAACACATTACTTTGATACAGAAACTAAGAATTCAAAGGATTTTATGTTCATTCATGTCTTCCACATTGGCATAATGGAATAGTCATTGTTCTTTAGAATGTTGGGGCTCTGACCTTTGTATTGCTTGCAATACTTTGATAATTGCTTGTTTATAGAGTAACATCCATTTTTAAGTAAACATATTGGTTTAAGCAGAATAACTGTTGAAAGAGTTCAATGATTTTTGTTACATTTTGCATGCAATTATGTTGTATCAATACACAAAAATCTGGAAACAAAGTGATCCCTCGGAAGCATTAATCACAACAAAATTACGAGAGAATTGCAGACTCGGTTTGATTGAGTCTGTACATGAGGGATAATGAATACGTGCAACATCCCTCACGCCCCCTAGCACCGGCTTGAGCGGTACTCAATTCTCAACACTCAATAGTGCTGGCATCAATGATCCCGAAGGACCAGAAAAATAAAACAACACTGAAGTGAAGTACGGGGCAACTTTTTACAGCTGCCACACAGCACTTGACACCTGCTGTTGTGAAGTATAAAAATCTGGAAACAAAGTGATCCCTCGGAAGCATTAATCACAACAAAATTACAAGAGAATTGCAGACTCGGTTTGATTGAGTCTGTACATGAGGGATAATGAATACGTGCAACAACCCTCACGCCCCCTAGCACCGGCTTGAGCGGTACTCAATTCTCAACACTCAATAGTGCTGGCATCAATGATCCCGAAGGACCAGAAAAATAAAACAACACTGAAGTGAAGTACGGGGCAACTTTTTACAGCTGCCACACAGCACTTGACACCTGCTGTTGTGAAGTATAAAAATCTGGACACAAAGTGATCCCTCGGAAGCATTAATCACAACAAAATTACGAGAGAATTGCAGACTCGGTTTGATTGAGTCTGTACATGAGGGATAATGAATTCAAGTTTGATATTCATAGCAATCTGCTGTTTAACTATTGGTTGAAATGAAAAACGATTATGTTTGGCATACAAGCATGTGATATCCAAAACACATGATTTGTTTCTGCAAGCAGCTAATTGCAACCTTGATTTAATCGATTTGTTTTTTCAAAATCAAATCAAGTCATAATGTTCAAATCTTTCTCTAGTACTAATATGTTACCTAGAAAAAATAGATTGTATATTTTTCTTTTACACAGGATGGCAAATGTCATTATCTGAGTCATTTACACAAATAAATTTGCTATCTTTTTTAAGGCACTTTTTGACCATGATACTTTCTTGTGAATTCGCATCTGTTATATTTTGCCTTTCGTGAGTGGAGCTCCTGTTCTCATTAGAAAACTTTAATTGCCGTTACACATTTGCTTTAACATGAATATTTTAAGCCACCTAGTACATCGTTATATAAACAAGTATGTAAATTGAATATAATAACTATAAACCTAAACATTTGGTACATAGGTATTGTGGGATAAAGGATCCTTCCTGGTCGGAGATTCATCATTTTGTATGGTTTCTCAATACTCAACTTGAAGCATTTGAAAAGAACAGCTTTGTTGGTCCGGCCGCTGATCAACATTTGCCTGGATTTGGAACCTTTCTGCTAAGATTTCTGATCTTAATGTCAAGAGTAAGCTAAACATGCTTGTATAAATTGTGAAGGTGTAAACTCGTTATATAGATATTTTATAATTTACAAAGTTGTGCAATCACTTGATTCATTTATATATTTTTCTGGTGTGAAATGTAGTACTTTTTAACAGTTGTTATTAGATGGACAAAAAAAGTCTGTAAGTTTTGGATAGTTTTAGTTGTTGTTTCACCTCAATTTAACATATAATCAATTACGTGATTGTGAATAAGTATATTTTACAGGTTTTAATTACATGATATCAAAATGTTGTTTGTATATTATTGTTACAACGTAAAGGACTTTTCTACACGCTCTCTCAACATTAGTGAAGAATCGCCTGGACTAAAACATGAACAAGTAGAAGACGATTTAGCAAATTTCCACCAAGTGGATGAAGAGGGCACTGAAAATGGTGGAAATCAAAGAGACCTTCAACAGTATCAAATGAGACGAACATGGGAAAGCAGGTATGATTTGTCATAAAATTGCATACTGTCATTGAGAGGGCTACTACTTGAGCTTTTGTAAATGATTTAAAAAGCTCCTGTTTAAATAGCGGGTGTTATTGGACAATTTTATAAATAATGAAGCATTTGTAAATAATCAATAATGAAATATATTTTTTAATTTGATTGCTTTGTTTATTTAAGCCCCCATCCTTACCTGTTTTTCAACTCGGACAGAGAAACATTTACATTTCTTGGATTTTACATCGACAAAGATACTGGAAATCTTGTTGATAAACAGACCGAAACAGTTCTAGAGGAGGCAATAATGCATCAAAATTTGTACAAAGGCTTGATTAGAAATAAGGCTCCTTTGCATGAAGATTTTGACCAACTAGAGAGGTATCAAGTTTTCTTCTGATATTACATAATTGTCATTTAATAAGCTCATATTCTACACTTTGTATGATTCAAATCTTCTGCCCATGTATACCTTAATAATAAAACTATTGTTTGTGCAAAAAAGTTCTTATCAAATTATAATTGCATATATTTTGCAAATAAGTGATATTGGAAGATTATTTTTTGATGACGTGTAACTCGCTTAAAGTGTAAGTCGAATACTTTTTGTAGGCACGAGAAGATCTTGAAGTTGTGCAAGGTCATGGGTATTGATATGGAACATGATCCGGATGATACATATGAACTAACAACAGACAACGTCAAGAAGATGTTAGCGATCTATATGAGATTTAGGTAAAATGAAATGGTGTTTCTGTTAAGTGTTTCAAAAAAATATAAGGCATAGGGTATTTGTTATATGACCCTGTTTTAACAGTTCAAAAAAATATTAACAATAAAACAAATCATAAAATAAACAGTAAATAGTTACAATTTGTGCAAACATTTAACTGTAATATTTTATTACCAAAACAATAGAAGGGGATATTCATCGATATTGCATCAAAAGCAGTGAAAATAGATGAAAATCATAGATTCTTTCACTGCGAGTGTTGATGGAAGACTTATTGAAAGTGCAACATGATCACTTACACTCCCAACACCGGTTTTGTGTTTACTTTGTTTCTATTTTAATGGATGCATATTATATATTTTTGTCAGGTGTGACATTCCTGTGATAATAATGGGGGAAACAGGGTGTGGTAAAACAAGATTAATAAAATTTATGTGTGCTCTACAAATGCCACCAGGACTTCAACTAACTAATATGATATTAGTAAAGGTAAGAAGATGCTTCAATATGTTATCTTTAGATTGTTTAAAACTTAACTTTTTGTTTTGATTTGTTTTTTTCCCTTTTAAATATCTATCTCAAGTTTATGTAAAATTAATTCTTATATAAAATTAGAAAGAAGTAATTACTACTTTCTAACAACAACTGGAATGATTTATCAGATACATGGAAATAGAGTATCTAAATCTTCCAAGTTTCCCAATGCAAGTGTTTAAGTTCTCTTATATTGTAAATTTGTTTCGTAGTAGCCTGAACAAATTGAGGCGGATCAAAACTATATTTTTGTCTTCCGTTTATATTTTTGCGTTAACAAAGGTTCACGGAGGGACTACATATGATGACATTAAAAGAGAAGTAGGAGAAGCCGAAAGAATAGCACAGGAAAATACAGAAAAATTTGGAGCACATATGTTCACAGTACTGTTCTTTGATGAAGCAAACACTACAGAAGCTATCGGACTTATTAAAGAAATCATGTGTGACAAAAGTATAGATGGAAAGAAACTGAAATTGTGTAAAAATCTTAAAATAGTTGCTGCGTGTAATCCGTACAGAAAGTAAGTAAATAATTTACTCACATTCAAATTTGTATTGATATAATTATGTAAACACTCATATAGCTAAGAATATGGGTTTGTTATGTATTTTAAACGACCCATGTACACAAGTTACTTTCAGGCTCTCCCTAATAATTAAAACTGACTAAAATATGTCAACATGTGTGTATTTGTATGAGCGTGCGTGTGTGCGTGTAAACATTGTCTAAAAAAACATTTTTTAAGATATTTTTATCAAGTTAGAACACTTTTATTTTGAATCAGTTATTATACTTTGGCTTTTGTAACTGAGCATTAGACACATATGCATATGGTCTTTTATTTGATATGCTAAAATATGACCATGACCTCCAAATTCACAGTATTGCAATATGCAAAGTTAAAGGAAAAGAAACTAGAAAAATCTACTTCTCTTCCTAGAATTTTGAGTGGTATTAATGTGATGGCATAGCATTTTTTCACAAATGCAATCTTGTTTACTTTGCAGACATTCAGAAAAACTAATCAAAAAGTTAGAGCAAGCAGGGCTTGGTTACCATGTTGATGCTGATGAAACAACAGACAGACTGGGCCGGGTACCGATGAGACGTCTTGTGTACAGGGTCCAGCCTCTACCACAAAGTTTACTGCCACTAGTGTGGGACTTTGGACAACTGAACAGAAAAGTGGAAGATCTCTATATTAGACAAATGGTCAAAAGATATGTAAGTAATTTATGTTTATACTTTTTGTGTAAGTTTTAAAGATATGTGTTTATTTCAACATATTCTTGTAATGTAATATTTTCAGCTATAATTCTTATGACCCAAATATTTTTGTCATCTTATGTTTCTACTTGTAAACATTAGCAGAATAATGCTTAGCATAATTAAGTACTTTCAAAACAATACAGATCCGAGACGATTTGCTGCCTGATGTACCTAGATTGACCGAAGTAGTCAGTGCAATCTTGACAGCTTCTCAGTACTATATGAGAGAACAAAAGGTATATAAAAAATTTGCTATGCAGCAAACAAATGTATATTTGATTTTCTTAAAAATAATATTTAAGATGTCATTTTACGTTGTGCTTAAGTCAGCATTATATGAGCTTTATTGCCAAAAGAATGCCTAAAATATTGACAAATAAAATGGTAATTAGTTTAGGTATATATGATTTGATCTTACTAAACGATTACTAGTTTATTAATTACAAAGTGCAGGAAAAAATGATGGTTAAAACAAGTATGCTATAATGTTAAAAATATTTTTATATTGCTATTTTTAAAAGTTTTTGAAAGTATCCTCACAATAAATAAATATATAACAAATGCCAACTTGTAGGATGAATGCAGTTTCGTGTCGTTGCGCGATGTGGACAGGGTTCTTTCTGTGATGAGTTGGTTTTACGCTCAAAGTCAAGGTGAAAGAACTCTTTACAAACTCATGGACGCGAAGTTTGATGGTGATGATCAGGTGAATATTATGTTAGATATAATTTATAACCTCTTTTGTTGAAATTACTGAATCAAAAAAATAATTTGTACATACTGAATGGGGAAATTAATAGTAGAAACACAATAGTTTGATATTTAGGTCCTTACATAAAGATTAAAGTTTAATAAACAGGCATACTGACACTAATGTTTGGTAACATTTTATAAAAAGCAACAAAAAATGATAAGTTAGGAATGTTTAGTTTTCAAGATATAGCGTTTTATCAATTTTATATGCATCGTATAAGATTAAGTGTAAATTATAAATTTAAGTTGGTATATCTTTTATACTTACAGAAACATTCATACATAATTATTTAAGTATAAATTATTTGTCTGCTTTTAGGTCGACGATTTAACCCGGTCCTTGATTCTTGCATTGGGAGTGTGTTACCACGCCTGTTTAAGAAAAAGAAAAGACTACCGCCATTATGTAGCACGCTATTTTCGACAGCCATGTGAATTAACAAATGGAGGAGACCAAATTAAAAATGAAATTGAATGGTTAGCAAAGTTTTAAATCCTTTGTATCATATTCAACAGTCACTTTAGCAATGACATTCTGTTTGATGTGTTTCAAATTTGAGTTACCTTTGTCAAGTCTTTCATACATGTGCCTATCGCTGTGTCTTGTGTGGTCCTTTCTGTTACAACTCAACTTGTAATAAAATTGAATCAAAATACATGATTATCGTATAAATTTCTTTACAAAATTTAAACAAATATATATACATATATACATTTTATATTTTGTAGTTGCCAGGACATGTTCCTTGATAAGGTCCAATTAGAAAATAATATTGCGCGCAACAGAGCTCTGAAAGAAAATGTTTTTATGATGATTGTATGCATCGAGCAAAGAATTCCACTGTTTCTTGTTGGTAAACCAGGAAGTTCCAAGTCGCTAGCTAAAACTATTGTTTCTGATGCAATGCAGGGTAATTCTGCGAGGGAAGGACTGTTCAAGGAATTGAAACAAGTAAGTCAAGAGTGATTTAGACCGGCGATAATAGCTTGTCTCGGCAAAAGTGGCCGGAATCACAAGTTATGTAGTAAATTATACCGAGATAATCATGTTGTATTCTGTCGATTCGAGTTTTTCCAACCGTCCACCTTTTGGATTTTTAGGACGTATTACCTTAGTAAATAGTTCAAAAAATTTAGGAAAGATGATTGTAATCATTATGATTGTTCTTGTTTTCATGAAAGGCACAGATGGTATCCTTCCAGTGTAGCCCATTGTCTACACCAGACGGGATTGTAAGTACATTTAAGCAGTGTGCCCAGTTCCAGAAAGAGAAGAATCTTCAGACATTTGTGTCCATTGTTGTACTGGATGAAGTTGGACTGGCAGAGGATAGTCCACGGATGCCGTTAAAAGTATATTAATGCACTCTTAAATATGTCGTACATTTCTAAATATGAAAACACTTTGTATATTACTTTTACTATAAGTAAAATGTATAGGACGTTTATTTAATATATTAATATTTACTTTTATCATTAAGTAAAAATAGTAATTTGTCATAAAACAAAAGTCAACAAAAATAATAAATTAAAACAACAAAACATTTATATACTTTATTTTAAGACGTTACATCCACTGCTCGAAGATGGTTGTCAGGGAGATGAAAAACCTGAAAAGTACAAAAAGGTATCATAATTTCAAGCAACATAACATCAAACTAAAATATACATCTTTTTATATTGCAATCTTATAGTTAAATTATATCATGTCTGTCTTACATTTCTATTTTATAAAGCAGAAATAAAAACTTTATTATCTATCAGTTTCATTTCGATTAAGTTATTGATAAACAACTATTAAAAGAGGATATGAATAATACAAAAAAGTCTTACTGTCAAAGAAATTTTAAGTTATTAACCGTTGCAATGATTTCTGTTTTAATTGAAGGTTGCTTTTATTGGGATCTCAAATTGGGCTCTTGATCCGGCTAAAATGAACAGAGGAATTTTAGTTCAAAGAGAAGTTCCTAAATTGGTTGAGTTGAAAAGTAGTGCTAGGTATGTGTAGACGTTTCGAGTTTCATTTTTACTAACAGCTTTATTACTTGACTTGGTCGTATTTATAACATTATTTCATTTATAAATGAACATCTTATCTCGTGTCATCTTTGCTATTTTCAGAGGTATATGTAAAGCGGACCAAGGTCTTGGAAACTTAATACTACCATTTATAGAACCAATGGCAAAATCTTACCTTGAAATATTTGAAAAAGCTACTGCACAAATGAGGGAATTTTTCGGACTTCGTGATTTCTACAGGTGACTTGAAATTACAGTATTGTTTTTTATATTTTTAACATTAAATATCATATTGTACATACGTTTTGATTATTACAATCTTTTGATATATACATATCGGCAAATATCGTTACCAAGTTGCGTTGCAACTTTTTTATATTTTCTACAGCACATTCATTGATTGACCGATATAACGTGGCTATATCCTTTCAATCTTGGCTGAATGTATTGGTGGTAAGTAAACTCGATCAAGGTGATGTAAATGATTTGCAATGTAACGAAATGTTACAGACCGGCGATTATCATTACTTTCAATTAAATGAAATAGGAAACTTTATATGCGTTAAAAATTGCAAAACTCAACTGTTCTTTCTGTACACTTATGATGATATAATATTTGTTATAATTAACTTCAGTTTAGTGAAAATGGTGTTCAGGTTTGTTGAAAAAGGAAAAAGAAAACCATCTTGGCACGAAATGATGCATGCAATTATGAGAAATTTCGGTGGTCTTGATGGAAAAAATGTAAACCCAATAGAAAGCTTTAGGAGAAATTTTGCCGCTGTCGACTTTGGAGAGGTATATTTAATATTATCAATTCGTTACTGCCTTTTGATATGCCGATTTCAGATATTTGCTAAGAGTTATTCTAAAAATGTTTTTACAACTTATGTTGACTTTATGTATAAAGTTCTGTCTTGATCAGCTCGACATGTTTATCATTTTGCAAGAAGTTTTATGGTTAAACATTAACTAGTTTGAGAGAAGCTATCGTTTAATGTTTAATTGACATAACAATTGTAGAATTTGATTTTAAATAATATCGTTACTTACGTGAATCAATTCCATTTCAGCCAAGTGAAAGACAACCAGACAGCACTCCAGCTGGTCTTGTTGAAGCGTGCTTATTTGATACCTATGAGATGAACAGGTAATATATTTGTAAATGTACATTATATCCCGGAAAAGTTTTTTTCATTCTATGGAGTTTTATAAGCTTAAACAGAACAACAAAAATTTACAAAAAAATGTTAGGATAAAATAAAAGCACTTCTTTTGCTAAATGGACCTTTAAGTTTTTCTTTATTTGATAAAAAAACTTTTCAGAAAAAATATATCAGAATATGACATCGTTCGTTCTTATACTTTCATATATTACTTCAATGTCCTTATGCATTCATAATTTAAGAAATTTAAGAAAAAAAATGCTATTCATTTAACATCGACTGTTCATTCACACATTATGTAGTTGGCCTGTGTTGGAAACTTTGTAAGGTGTTCCGTTGAACTTCATACCTTATTAACAAGATGCGCTGTTATTTTGATAACATATGTAGGTCAATATTGAAGAGCCATAAAGATTTTTTAAAAAAAACTTGATATTACATTGTTGTGTAACATTTAAATTTAATCCTTGTGTAAGATTTCTTTTTAAACACTACGAGTATTTGCTGGAAACTTCTCGTGTGTTGTTATGTACTACAAACATTATTATTTTGATAATTTTTCACATACAAAGTCCATTTATTTAACCAATGCTGATATCACTGATGTAGTCGGCACATTATTATGATCGCTTTGTAAGACAAACCCATTAGGTATCTGAACAATGGCGTAATACCATACATGCCGTATAATATATTGTCCATTTTGTGTAGTTTAATTATTTTAAGACTGAATTAATACAAAACAATTAAAACAAAAAACCTTAACTTTTGATGCATTTTATTCATCCATTATATCTTGTACTCTATATTCCATATCAAGTCAAAATTAAACATTTATAGGAATGGCATTATTTGACCGCACTGATAAACCAAATATTAATTCCACTGGTAATCAACAAGTGCCATATGGAATTTGATACCCTACGCTGACAATCAAATGGTGCCACCTTTAAAAATTTAAAAATATGGTATTTATTATGACTCAGTTTCAGTCCAAATATTCCAGTAATAGATAATAAAAATTCCATTTCCATGATATCCAAAAATCCATTTCCATGATATCCAAAATCCATTTTCCTAATATCCGATATTTTTCATTCCATGATATTCCATTTCCATAATATCAAAAATTAAAAATATGCTACTTAAATTGATAAATACTAAAGAAACTATTATATATCTCCGCAATAAGCCCACCTGTTCCGAGCAGACTTAAAGCATGCTAATTAAAAATAAAAGAAATTATAGGATATTGTCCCTCCAAAATTGGTTTTCTGAACAATAATGTCAGCCATATTCTGAAGAGAGTAAAATCCATACCTTAGTTTAATATTTAAAACATATTAATTCTTTAAATTATTTCTAAAAAATAGAGTTGCACCATTCGATTGTCAGCGGCCTACAAATTTTCGGACAAAATTCAGTGCAGCACCTAAATGAAGATTTTTTTATTTTTTTTTAAATGTCACATGCTCTCTAAAATTGTCCTGAGCTAGTTTACATATACAAAATTTCAGCACAAATATCATTTCACATTTTTGCTCAATCCACAAAGTTCATATTGTCACACTTTTGTAGTTTACTGTAAACAAGAATGATGACTGTTAGGAATTTCTTGCACCAAGATACCATTGACTTTTGTGCTGTTGTCTTCTGTATGATAGTAAACAGTTACCATGCTTCATCTTATTCTGAAAATATACAACTCGAAGAGCAGAAAACAAGCCTGGTTCAATTCTATCAATGTTTATTGTACATTCATGCCTAATTTTGGGTGAGGTGGGTGGGTGAATTTGAAAATTTTCTCTAGTCTTTCCAGTGTGGAAGCTGAAGTTGAAAGGAAGAGTGTTTCCCATGTGAACCTAAACAGGAAGTGACCTTTAGCCTTCCATCTATTTTCAGAAAATTATCAAAGGGAAATTATTCAAAATTAAAGTATGAAAACATCTTGTAGCAGTTACACCCCTTATACAGTTATATCCAGTATTCTGCTAAAATAATAAGGCCTTATTGACTTAAACAATAAGACACATTATCTTAAGACTGAATTAATACAAAACAATTAAAACAAAAAACCTTAACTTTTGATGCATTTTATTCATCCATTATATCTTGTACTCTATATTCCATATCAAGTCAAAATTAAACATTTATAGGAATGGCATTATTTGACCGCACTGATAAACCAAATATTAATTCCACTGATAATCAACAAGTGCCATATGGAATTTGATACCCTACGCTGACAATCAAATGGTGCCACCTTTAAAAATTTAAAAATATGGTATTTATTATGACTCAGTTTCAGTCCAAATATTCCAGTAATAGATAATAAAAATTCCATTTCCATGATATCCAAAAATCCATTTCCATGATATCCAAAATCCATTTTCCTAATATCCGATATTTTTCATTCCATGATATTCCATTTCCATAATATCAGAAATTAAAAATATGCTACTTAAATTGATAAATACTAAAGAAACTATTATATATCTCCGCAATAAGCCCACCTGTTCCGAGCAGACTTAAAGCATGCTAATTAAAAATAAAAGAAATTATAGGATATTGTCCCTCCAAAATTGGTTTTTCTGAACAATAATGTCAGCCATATTTCTGAAGAGAGTAAAATCCATACCTTAGTTTAATATTTAAAACATATTAATTCTTTAAATTATTTCTAAAAAAATAGAGTTGCACCATTCGATGTCAGCGGCCTACAAATTTTTCGGACAAAATTCAGTGCAGCACCTAAATGCAGATTTTTTTTATTTTTTTTTAATGTCACATGCTCTCTAAAATTGTCCTGAGCTAGTTTACATATACAAAATTTCAGCACAAATATCATTTCACATTTTTGCTCAATCCACAAAGTTCATATTGTCACACTTTTGTAGTTTACTGTAAACAAGAATGATGACTGTTTAGGAATTTCTTGCACCAAGATACCATTGACTTTTGTGCTGTTGTCTTCTGTATGATAGTAAACAGTTACCATGCTTCATCTTATTCTGAAAATATACAACTCGAAGAGCAGAAAACAAGCCTGGTTCAATTCTATCAATGTTTATTGTACATTCATGCCTAATTTTGGGTGAGGTGGGTGGGTGAATTTGAAAATTTTCTCTAGTCTTTTTCCAGTGTGGAAGCTGAAGTTGAAAGGAAGAGTGTTTCCATGTGAACCTAAACAGGAAGTGACCTTTAGCCTTCCATCTATTTTCAGAAAATTATCAAAGGGAAATTAACTCAAAATTAAAGTATGAAAACATCTTGTAGCAGTTACACCCCTTATACAGTTATATCCAGTATTCTGCTAAAATAATAAGGCCTTATTGACTTAAACAATAAGACACATTATCTTAAGACTGAATTAATACAAAACAATTAAAACAAAAAACCTTAACTTTTGATGCATTTTATTCATCCATTATATCTTGTACTCTATATTCCATATCAAGTCAAAATTAAACATTTATAGGAATGGCATTATTTGACCGCACTGATAAACCAAATATTAATTCCACTGATAATCAACAAGTGCCATATGGAATTTGATACCCTACGCTGACAATCAAATGGTGCCACCTTTAAAAAATTTAAAAATATGGTATTTATTATGACTCAGTTTCAGTCCAAATATTCCAGTAATAGATAATAAAAATTCCATTTCCATGATAATCCAAAAATCCATTTCCATGATATCCAAAATCCATTTTCCTAATATCCGATATTTTTCATTCCATGATATTCCATTTCCATAATATCAGAAATTAAAAATATGCTACTTAAATTGATAAATACTAAAGAAACTATTATATATCTCCGCAATAAGCCCCACCTGTTCCGAGCAGACTTAAAGCATGCTAATTAAAAATAAAAGAAATTATAGGATATTGTCCCTCCAAAATTGGTTTTTCTGAACAATAATGTCAGCCATATTCTGAAGAGAGTAAAATCCATACCTTAGTTTAATATTTAAAACATATTATTCTTTAAAATTTTTTTAAAAAATAGAGTTGCACCATTCGATTGTCAGCGGCCTACAAATTTTCGCCACAACAAAGTGTGTTTGCACTTTGTCCCCCAAATTTTAGGCTAGACTTCTAAATACTTCTGAGATGTATCTGACTCATTATTTAAAAATAAGGAAAACGGCTTCTGACACAGCCAAAATAATTGTCAGGAGAAATGTCTGCCTTGATGTTATTTAATCTTAGGAAAGATTTAGCAATAAATACTAGAACCAATTTCCAAGCTATGGAGGCTGGGCAGCACCGCCTGACATAAAATTGAAATATTCTCAGTTGGAAAACTAGCATGTAATTGTTTAGTTAACACTATTTTTTTTTTAGTTCACGTATACTTTTTTTATACGAAACAATACTAGACACCTGGCGAGCCCAAGCTCTAAACAACTTATGATCAAACAAAACAATAAAATCACCACAAAATGAAGAACACCGAAATGACTATTTTTACAACTCTAACATACCGTATAAACCACAAACATTTATCCAACAATATTAACTTCACAAAATCTAATCAGCATCAGAAAACAACTTAAACTAAAACACCCAATATTTACATATATCCTCAAAACAAAGCAGCAACTAATATAATCTTGACAATACCAAACATTTAACCAATATCAACCAATTATATCTTCACAAATAGATATAACTCATCAACCAAAACAACTAATTACAACCAATAAACCCTGATCAATTAAGATCACCACAATTATATTTAACCACTTCAACAAACCAACATTAACAAAAAAATTTTCCCAATAAAAAATAACCCTACACACTATTAGTGTGTCTCTGACCTAACTGATGTAAAATCTCTCTCAAAACGCGCATATTTGCTAGCTGAAACGATTTGACCTTTAAACATGTATACATATTTTATACTCCCAGCAACAGGTTTATAAATGAAACTGTACATGAAATCTGATACACTTCAGTGTATCGCTGACTCGTACTACAGTGAAACTGTATGCCAAAATCTGTCCATCTGAAAACGAGACAAGGCATCTGTTACGGAATGATTTTTCCAAGAAACATGCTCAGCTTTTATAACAATATTTAATTGCAAGCATTTTAAAGTCAAATTTCTGAGTAGAACCATCACTTGTTCGGACTTTGATGTCATTTTATTAATAAATAACAAACAGACATGTTATCAGACCTAAAGCATATTTTTTTATTTTGTAGTTCCTCACCCCATGCAAAAATTGATACAACTATTGGAAACAATTCCAAAAACTGTGATATCAGCAGTATAACCAAGTTTATTGCCAATCATTAGGCCATCTTTTAGCCATCCATTTTCCAGCAAAATATATACCAAAACCTAGACCCTCTGCGCCAGCACTGTCAGTAAACAACTGAATGTCCTCATTTGATGTCCAAAAACGATCATGAAATACTCTTACACCATTGAAATGTTTAAAAAAAGGATTCCCACATTACGAGATCTTGTCTCATACCCATATTAATACGTAAATGGTGGTGCGGTTTTGTTAGCCCACATATTGAAACTATTAGGCGTCTACAAAATGGGCGACCAGGGATAATGGCCCTGCATGCAAAGTTTAATGAACCAATCAAGCTCTGCATTTCTTTAAGTGTGCACCGCTTTTTTTGTAGAATTGACTTAAGATTTGTTGTGATATCTTGCACTTTTGGTTTAAAGGTAAACGTACAACCATATTGTTTAGAGTCTACTTTCCAATTCCTAAAAAATCAAAAATTGCTAGCATTGGACCCCTGTTTTTTATCGTCTGCTAATTGGCGTCTCCTATATTTTTCCCATTGTTTGTCTTTAACATATCTGCAATTAATTGTTCAGCATTTGCTTGTATTTGGCTCTCCCCACCACCCAGGTGAAATATCACTCAAGAGATCTATGGCAATTGTGCAGAGATTTGCTTGTTTTGGCATTTGAATTTTATAATATAGCGCGCTTAAGGAATCGGCAAACCTATTGATATAATTACAACTTACTAGAACAACAAATGGTACACACTTTATTAAACATAATAACCTTTAGTCAAACATAAAAACCCAATTGCGCAAAAATCTATTCTGTGAGAAACAGGGAGAAGCCTAAAAGCACTTTTGATGTCCATTTTAAAAAAGCTTACATTTTTTACCCAATTTTTGTACCATTTGAATAGCTGTATCAAAATTTTGATACTGTACCTTACAGTTGGAAGGATCAATAAAATCATTCAAGGATTCACCCTCCGGGAATGATAAATGATGAATTAAACGAAAATCCTGTTGGGCTGCTTTTTTGGGCACTAAACCTAAAGGAGAAACTCTAAAGATAAGGTAGTGGTCTTTCTTTAAAAGGACCTGCTACACGTTGCAATTCAAGCTCTTTATTGATTTTTGCTCTAACTATATCTGGGCGGTCCAAAGCTGATTTTAGGTTTTTTGCATTAGTCGCTATACGAGGGCCGTCATATTGCAAAGCAAACCCGTACCGAAAACCATTAAATAAAAAATTTGACTCTTCATGATCATAGTTTGATTTTAAGAGTTCATGCTTTAACTTAATAATATTCACAGGTGAAAGAGCAAGATCAAGTTGAACAAGACACAAAGAAGAGTTTTTAATGACGTTGACCCTGGTTTGCCCTCTGGTATAATTTCCCCTGGTGGGTAGGGCTGCTCTGTATGAGCCGCGAAAGGGAAAAATTAGATCTGCCCACTTGAAATTGGTCAGCATGTCCAGGTTTGACTACGACATGCCACCTTCCCATGGTTTGCTTTAAAACAAATTGAACAGATATGAGGATATCTGCAGTTGGGATACCTGCAATACCCATTATTAAAATCTAGGCATGGCGGGGCTTGATTATTCTGTTGCTTAAAACTTGTATGTAAAGTGCCAGAAAAACAACGCAACCAAAGATCAGAGTTGATAACTTGACCAAGACATAAATTTATCAGCCTGACTTAAACGAAATTGTTCGTCATAATTACGCCACATAAGGCCACCATGCTTGGCAGCAGCCTCCCTTATAACAAACATATATGGAATCAAGTCTTGAGCTTGTTCTGGGAAGGCTTGGAGATAAACACTGGAAAATTTCAGAAAAGAATCTGTCCATTTATCAATGGAATAAATTTTTTCCATGGAGGTTCGTGGCTTGGCTACTATCTGGCCATTTTCATCAACACCAAGAAGAGCTCCCTGTGGGATTTCTTTCAAATCTGTTGCAGTTCCCTTCAACAAAATAGCCAAATTTATGTATTCGTTTTGCTGAATTTTGAACTTTATTTGATTGGGCACATGTAGTCCCAAGTTTTCCCCACCACACCTCATTAATTTTGGTTGCTCAGAAATTTCAAGCATGGAACTATTAGAAATTGGTTGAGTCACCACAGAAGATTTATTTGGTATGTTTAAAGACTCAGAAATAATTGTTTCAAAATCTATTATTTTCTTACTATTTGATGCAGAGTTGCTGTCTTCCAGCAAGTTCATTTTTCTGGTTCCTCCTCCCTTGTATAGCCTTCCTCTTTGTCCCTCTACCTCTTCCAGGCATAGTTGTTTTTAATTAAACTTATTTAAAATAAACCAAAATATTTAGATTGCTTAGCTTTTTTAAAGATTGAATTTGAAAATTTTCTCTAGTCTTTCCAGTGTGGAAGCTGAAGTTGAAAGGAAGAGTGTTTCCCATGTGAACCTAAACAGGAAGTGACCTTTAGCCTTCCATCTATTTTCAGAAAATTATCAAAGGGAAATTACTCAAAATTAAAGTATGAAAACATCTTGTAGCAGTTACACCCCTTATACAGTTATATCCAGTATTCTGCTAAAATAATAAGGCCTTATTGACTTAAACAATAAGACACATTATATTACTCTTCGTATAGTATTGGGTAATTTGAACTTAATCTTTATTTCAGTGAAAGTCGATACTTGTTGTTATTAACGGAGAATTATGGAGCGTTGTCTATAGTGCAACAGCTGATCATGTCCAGAAGCAGTAGACCTATAACAATATTTGGAAGCAGCTTTAGAAGTGATCAGGAGTACACACAAGTAAAAATCTTATTAATCAATATATAAATTATTGATTATTTTTATAGTTATTTGATGTTAGATGAACGTTTTTACGTACATGATTCATCAGGAACTTAATTGGTTCCATTTCATTTGGTTATTTAAAATTATAAATGACAGTTTGACACCATGCTCAAGGTGAGCTATTGTGATACACCTGCATCCGTCTCCCGTCATTTACAGTTTTACTTAAACAACATCTCCTCCTAAACCCCTACACCAATAGTGATGGAACTATACGGGAATGGTCGTGGATTGCCCCCTTAAAAATGCTTAAATTGGTCCCTTCATTCAGTCGATTTTGATGAAACTATAGATATATGGTGCTTTATAAAAAATTCTCAAAATGGTTCCGGTCTGCTGACCAAGATTGCAACCAGAGCTAAAAACAAAATATTCTAGTCACCTTTAAAAGTTTTGGTTAGTGTAAATATACTTTACATACAGTCCATTACGTTATAGTATGAAAAGCATCAATTCAACAATTTTATTCTTTAAATGTACCAACCTCTGCACAGTAAAATTTGTAAAATTTATGTTTCTACCAATTTCTTAATGCAGCCTTGTTCATTTGCACCATCTACTCAGGTGAGCGATTAAGGGTCATCACGGTCCTCCTCAACATTTCAGGTGTGTCGAAACATCAATAAGATAAAGATATGCATGGAGACGGGGAAAACAGTAGTATTACTTAACCTTGAAAACTTGTATGAGAGCTTGTATGATGCATTAAACCAGTATTATGTCTATTTTGGAGGAGCAAGATATGTCGACCTCGGCCTTGGCACGCATCGAGTGAAATGTCGTGTTCATGAAAAATTCAGGTACAAATACGAGAGGATATTCTTTAATCTATGTATATAACTAAACTTCATAGATATATAATTCCACTATTATAGCGAACTATGATTTAAACAATTGATGCATCTTCGGTAATGGTAGAGACACGATATAGAATTATAAAATAATTTTATATAATTTCATCTTGATTGATTTAGATTGATTGTTGTTGCTGAGAAACAAACAGTTTACAAAAAGTTTCCTATTCCACTGATAAATCGTCTTGAAAAGCATTTCTTGACAATCAGTACAGTTTTGTCCGAAGAGCAACTAGAAATGGTGAAAGATCTTGAAAACTGGACAAAACAATTTAGTGCACAGAAATTGACCCATTATGATCAAAGGTATTCAGTGTCTTTTTTTTCATTTTAACTTGTTTAACGATCCCGGTTCTAATTCTTATACTTAAATGTTTTTAAAATATGTCAGTGGTTGAAATATATGTAAATATTCATTGCTTGGGAAATAAGTTCATTGATTGATTCTGACATTTTTATGCCCCAACCATAAAATGGCCGGGACATATAGTGTTATCCTGTTCCGTCCTTCCGTCATTCCGTCATCATCAGTTTCCGTTCATTATCTTAGAAACGGTTGCACACATTCAACTCAAATTTGCCATATGGATATATCATAAGAAAATACAGGGTAGGTTCGCATTTGGTCATGGTTTGATGATTTTGGCAAAGTTATGCCCCTTGATGAAATTTTTAGTTTCCGTTCATTATGTCCTCAACGGTATGACAAATTCAACTCAAATTTGACATACGGATAATACAAATGAATGCGCAGGTCAAGTTTGGATTAAATTATGGTTTGATGATTTTTGGCAGAGTTATGCCCCATTCACTTTGAAAATAATAAGAATTTTTCAGTTTCCGTTCATTATCTCACAAACGGTATTACACATTCATCTTAAATTTGACATATGGATACGTCAAAAGAAGGTGCAGGTTAAGTCTGAATTTGGTCATGGTTCGATAAGTTTTGGCAGAGTTATGCCCCTTTCACTTTGAAAATAATATGACATTCTCATAAGAATACAATGGTCAAGTTCAAATTTGGTCATGGTTTGATGATTGAAATGAATCAGAAATATTTAGTTTCTTTTCATTATCTCCCCAATGGTTGTACACACTCAACTCAATTTGACATATATATATATATATATATATATATATACATCTTAGGAATAAGCAGTTCAAGTTTGAATTTGGTCGTGGTTCAATGATTTTGGACAAAGTTATCTCTCTTGAATGTTGGAAAAAATTTGAATTTTCAGTTTCAGTATTATACTTTTGTGGATATGTATTTAGTCATTATTTTGACTACAAATATACAATATGCAATTTACAAAAGATTAACACTGAATAGTTTCAGTGCCTTGAACTTGGTATAAAATGGTTTGTATTAACATTGAATAGTTTAAATGGCTTTGAACTTAAAATGAAAAAAACAGTTTGTCCAAACAAATTATGAAATAAATATTATAACATCTGAAGTTTCGGCTGCATGCGGGGGCATCCGTGGCGTGACAACACATTTCTAGTTAAAGATGGGCAGTAAATGTAGAAATGTTATTGACATTTCCGAAAAGTTCTTAATAAAACAAGACAAATACAAGATATAACATTATGTACAACTTTATGCATTTGTGAAATTTGATAACAATACAACAATAACATCGTTTTAAAAATGATCAAGATTCGTCTTGATCAACATTCTGTAAAACAATAAATTTCTAATAAGTAAATATACTTTTTAAATTTAAACAGCCAGTTTCAGTTTTGCTTTTGTTTTCATTTTTTAAGAAACAGGAATTTAAGATTGAAAGTAGAAGATGTGTTCATCGGTTATCACGAGGATACGTGTTCTTCTGTCATTCTACATGTTTTTGGAAGAAACAAGACCTCTCGTGACGATTCTGATTTTAAAGAGAAGGTAGCAGTGATCATATATTTATCATTAATCTGTAGGAAATTAATTGGTCTGACAGACATTTCATGAATTCAAATTAGTTTTATGTATCTTTTCATACTATGAGTTTTCATTTGTACAAACTTTCAAGCGTTATAATCAGATACTATTTTTCCATTCTGGTATTACTGAATTGTAGTTTACAAAATGCATCATTACTAGAGCTTATCGCTTAACCTTATGAAAATAATTTGCATCGCGAATAATGGATATATTTTTATCTTTGATATGGGTTCATAATTTAACAAATTTGTTTGCAGATTTACATAGCCGAAACCTATTTCACAGGTTCTTAAAAAAGCTTCTTGACAGAAATGTTTATTTATCTGTAATACATGTATTATTGCTTCTGTAAGAGCATTTTGTTATTCGTCAGGTGTTGAAAGAGTGTAAGGCTGTGTTATTGTGGAGTGCCACACCTGATGCTGTTTTGAGACTTAAAAACAGTGATTTACCTAGCGAAGAAGCAGCAATGTACAAAAATATGTATTTCAAGATTCAAGCTCACCAAAGTTATATGCATTATCTGACACATGCAATGAATTGTAAGGGTTCTGAAAACCAACTGTTGGTCCAGGTAAGCAACAAGACATTTGTTTAGCTTGTAAACCATTCAGTCTTGTAATGCAATAATATTTGATGACTTCAAACATTTTTTACAATTTCAATTTGATATTTGAATCATGAAACACAGTAGTGAGAAAATAAGTATTTAGCACAGAGGGTGACATGACAGCAGTTATACCTCTTTGAAAACTATTCTAAATGAGTATTTGTTTCTGGCTTTCTATGACACCATTTTAACTGATTTTTTTGAGAATGTCTTTTAATATTTTTTAAATCTTTTGTTTGAAAGATTTAAGGTATTAGCACCCTAATGCATTACCTCCGCTTTGAAGAGTATTCAAATAGGCTAGAACTACTGTTAACTACATTGAAAATGAGGGCCATAGGTTCAATCCCTAGAAGGGTCAACTTTTTTTTCTTTCTTTTTTTCTTTTAACATTATTTATGTATCTCTCATGTCCCATTTGGAAAGAAAAAAGTGTTTAATTTTGATTTTTTAATTTATATAGGTATTTATGGGCTAAATTATGCTTAATATAGTAATAAATATGGTACCTGATATTTTCAAAGTGTAATATAATCAAAACTAGACGGTAAAAGTATTTCATATTTTACAAGATCAACCAATACACTTTTTTAAAAATTTAGGGAAACTTTGAAAACAGGCACTCATTTGGGTAAATTTTAAGAATTTTTTGAATTAGGCTCCCTAAGTAGAAAAATGGTCAGACACGTGGTAAAAATGGGTGGGGTAGGGTAACATTTTTATACAGATTTCATAAAGTTTAAGTAGAAACCATAATTTTGCTTATTTGGATTGTTAGCTGAATGGTACTACTTGTTTCTTACCAAAAATTAACGGGAAAACATTTTTCATTAGAATGTTATTGCAGATTATTTAAAGGTTCCTACTTTCTAAAAAAGGACCCTCATAACATCCTAGCTTGAGTTCAGAAAAGTGGCAATAACTTGATTTCGGTACGGTAAACTTTGTTTAAATTTTGCATACAGGTGTACTTTAAGGTATACATCTGACTTATGATGTCATTTTTTTAGTTCCTGATAGTGCCCATTAGGGTCCTAATACCTTAAATCCTTATTCTTTCCAGATCACTACACATTCGAATCTGTTAAACATGGCCCACAAGGAAAAGATATGTTTATCATCAGGTATACAGGATGATAAAATTTTGATGATTGAAAATTTGTCTTCCTTTGATACTGAACAGCAATTCAGCAACAAGTTAAGGTAAATGTCAAATGACTTATCATTAAACACAAAATAAATGTGCCATTTTCTTATAACAAACTATTTCTTATGTTTTCTTTAACTTTTTTTCAGCGAATAGATTTGTCTTCACCGTAATTTAAATATATTTCTCTTGTTGTTGTTAATTTGTTATATGTAAACTATCTCACCTACACATTTGCTTTTCTAGGCATCACTTCAAAACGATGGAAAATGAACCAAACCTGGTAGTGATTCAGTGTGACTCAGGAGATATGAATACTAATTTAATAGCTTGTGCAAGGTATTGTGTACAGGATGAGCTCGAAAAAATGAGTGACAGTGTTTCGACCATTACACACGTCGTTTTTATAGTACAGCTTCCACGAAACGGCCGATTTCCTGGTTTCCAGGTAATCATTTTATTTGCAATAAAAGATTACGTGCAACATGTATAAAAAAAAATTTTTTTAATTTTCCGGAGAATTTTGTAACATTTGCAAAATTGAAAAATATTTATAAAAGAAAAATTGTTTTGCGATATTTGAGCCTATCAAAATAGCCTGCGAACCCAGTTTCGTGAGAAACCATTACATATAGGATGTGAGGAAATATTGTTTCACAGACACGATCTCTAAGTTAAGTTAAAAAAATAGTCCAAAAGTCAATACTTTTTCATTGTTAACTTTATCTTTTAACTTATAAACGAATAATATACCATACATGACCTTTCAGAATGGACTATTTCTTTTTTGCTCTTGAGTGCATTACCTTAGATAAACGAATAACATATATATGGTTTCCCTAATCACATCGTTACAAACCGTACAAATAAGGTTTGTCGCATTTTTGTAATTACAATGCAAATTATTATTAAATAGTACTTCTCTATCTATTTTTGCTACAAATCTTTTAATATTTCTTTAACTTATATTATCACGAGATATCACTTTTAAAATTTCTGATTGTTCTATGTCTCGGGAATGTGGAATGATTGTGACGCAAAATGATAGATATTGTGTATTTTGTTAAATATACAATTCAGATAGCCTATCGATTGATTAATTACCTGTCTTTTGTTTTAGTGTGGAGCCTGGCAGTCTGTCCATATCGATGATCTGATTCCTGAGAATTTACAAATGCCTGCTGTAGAGGATATGTCAGGGAGATCTGCGGCAAGCTTGTTAAAGGAAGCCGTTAATGGCTTCATGGAAAACGATTCCAGGACATATGAAGAGGAAACATGTACACTCTATGAGAGGTTTTTCCACCTTTGTTCTAGTATAAGGAAAGGCAGTTACTTTCACGATTGTGTAAAAATTGTGATGTAGTTGTATGTTTCTTTTGATTTCTTACTTAATACATATCACAGTAAAATGTCTGATAAATGTCTAATAACTGCATTGACATGTGCAGAGTTTGAATAAAAAGAAAAATATATTACCACAATATGCAATGAAGACACACCAAAATGGCGTTTTGTTGTTCTCATGCATGCAAGAGCCATTCCTATTTTAGAATTTTTTCATGTGGTTTAGTACCTTTAAGATTTAAAAAAAAATGTTATATAAAGTTAAATTTAATTATTCAATTGAAGGAAAAGTGTTGCAGAAAGGCGGAGTGAAGATGACATAATTGCATCTATGGACAGTCTTGAAACTCTCGGATTGGAAAGTCGACTTCCTTTTTCTGATGAAAGTACACAAGTACAATTAAATGACGGTATTTTAGACGTCAAGCAAATTGATGAAAAAAGCCGAAGGATAAGGGAGACTAAAATAAACATTAAGGCACTAATTCTGTCATGTGTCCAAGCGGCATTGTCTAATGTCAAGGATAGAAATGACAACACGGATAGAGAAACTGATCGTGTTACATTGATACTGAAATTATTAGATAATAAGGAAGGTAAGATAACAGTTAATCTTGCTAAAAAATTCATATCTATGCATATGTCATTTCGTTATCATTTTTTAAAATTTAAACTTTCATCATTTTAATATCAAAGTAACGAATTACTTTAAGCCGGTGCAGTAAGCGTAGACGGTATGTTGAACTAACTTCTAACATCCATAGCGGCTAAAAGGAACCGTGCCTCCAAGGTATTCAATTCTGCCAGGCGACTAAAGAACTTTTAAGCTTGCTTGTATAATAAAGCATCTTAAAACATATTTGCATGTCATTTTACAGGAACGGAACAGTCATTTTTGCGTGGTATTACCATGCTTATAGTCACTATGCTGGAAGCAAAAGAGGCAGAGGCAGTATTTGCTAAATCTGAAGACTGGATAGTTTTTGAAGCCTCTAATATAGACTCTATAAGCAAAACAGGGACACTAAGGTTAGAATGTGTAGCACATATTACTTCAAATAAACTTTATATGTATATATTTAATCATAGTAACAGTGAAGTAACCAATAATATTTTAATGAAATTTTAATTTGTACCGTTTTATACACAGTATATGTTTCAAGTTTAATTATAAAAGCACTATTTATAGAACATTCACAAAAGTAGATGAAACGATAATTAAATATTGCCTGTTAAAACTGTAAAACCTGTAAAAAATATCTTTTAAATATTTTGAATTTTAGGAGGTCATGTACAAGGATTCTGGAAAATAAGGTTGCACCAATTTTAGCAAGTATTATTGCTTTCCTGGATACAAACTGTAACCTAGATCTGATTGGAAGTGATCAAAGTTCGTGGAAACGTGATCTCTGGCTTGCTATTCTTCATTCACCAGAGGCACTGAACTTACAGGTTACATATTTATATATTCAAATGCAATATTTTCAAATATAAATATAAACGAAAAGGTAAATACTGTACCGATACAATAAGGCCTCTTGATTTCCTAGTATTTTGAACTTTGCAGAGGAAATGAGAATATAATTATTCAACTTTAGATTATAATAAAGTGATTATTAAACCAGAATCGGAAGAAAGCTTTTAACACCTAACATATCAAAAATCCACTTTCATTAATTATCTAGTGTTTGTGACATTATAATAACACATGGTCATGATGCCACAACTACAATCTCTCAGTTGATAATCAGATACTTCACTTAACCACCACTGCCCTTTGCGACAGGCCCAATGTATTAGGCATAATATGTGGATACGTTTTAATGTGTTAGGTGTTGCAAAAAGCATTTACATATATACATATAGTATAACGCATGTATTATAATTTGTTTATTGTGTAATTTTAGTACGCAGATCTGAAACTCAGAGAAAGCATCGAAGTGATCGTTAAAACAACTGGATGCGATGGTCATATATTCAGTGCCTGCATGCCTTTTTCCTGGTCATTTATTTCGCAAATATCTGAAATAATGAAAGTGGAATTGAATCATCCAAATGATGATGGTAAGTTTTATATACCTACATTTTGTTCAAAGGTTCAAAGGAGCTCCACTGAGGTAAACAGTCTACAAATCTAAAAAGAACCATACGATTTGAAATTCCTCAATAAATCAAGTGAAGCCTTTAAACTGACAAAATCTGTTAAAGATTAGAAAGGAATATACTCAGAACTAAATTAATCATTGATTTGTTTGCACGATTTTAGCCCGCTTTGAGTCAAAAGCATTGCAATAAAATGATCATTCTGGTACAACGGGGTGAGGGAATGATCTGAAAAAATTCACACAATATATTAACCTGACCTACATCTAATGGTACACAAATCTCGGGAAAATATTTCCATTGCCATCATGTCAAAATCCTCAGTGGCGTTCTTTCTACATTTCCGATGATGTTTGATAATTTACCAAGCACTCCTAAAATTTTTACCTCTTATAGTTTTGTTAAGATAAATGATGGAAATTTCAAAGAGAAATTTGAAATTCAAATGTTAACCCTATATATATCAATTTCAAAGAAACAGGAGATGACTCTAGGGTTGAATCATGCTGTAGGGTTCTGGAACAACATCCGTTATTCATTTTACTTGAGGAGATTACACAAGGAAATCACAATGAAGAGATTGTCAACATTTATATCCAGGACTTTGTTCACGTTGTTTACAATCCTGGAACAGCTGAAGAACATCTGGTGAGTTCCAAGATACCATCTGGCTAAATGAGAAAGAAGTTACTATTTTTAGTCCTATGTCAAGAAAAAGAAACACTTTAATATGGGCGGATAACACATACATGTATAGGCAAACGTTTGACATTTTTAATTTGTAAAAAATAAAGATATTTGTAAAACTTCCGTTATTATTATTATAATGATTCATAATACCTTTTAAAGTGAATCGCTGTATTGGAATGGTTTCAATGCGTGTTTTGAATGCACATATAAGAAGAACTTATCTTTTTTATTTCAACAAAGACATATGTTGAGTAAAACATTGCATGCAATTTATGTACAACCCAGGTATTGATGAAACTGATTTAATGCTACTACACTATTTCAATTGGTCTCACTTCCTTTAAACAAAGAAAATTGAATGTAGCTTTGATATAAAGATTACGTTTTTTAACGTCTCACGAAATTACTCTGACAACGGTATATTTTTTTTTTATTTTAGTTAGTGTGTCAAGCATTAGAATATGCTGCAAAGAAACTGACAAACAACTTGAAACAAAGTTTAACACTGTCGTTAATCTGTGTGCATATGGCACATGAAGAACTAGCTCCAAGACTAGTTTACTTCAGAGCAATGAACAGTGTATGTCCTGAATGTAGTTCAAGAATCATAGAGCTAAAGCAAAAACAGCCAGACCACTTTATGTTCCAGGAATATGAGTTTGTAAGTGGAGAAGTTTGTATTGAATAACATCTGTTCGGGGTTGATTGTGAACAGTTCACCAATTCAGTGTTGTTGTTTTTTCAAGGAATAACCTTTTCATTTGGCATTTTAATACAGCTAAAAACTTTAATAAAAGAACGATAAAATCATCAGATTGTTATAAAATGTCACTTCAATACCACACAACATCCTTTCTCTAAACTACCTTTGTGATGCAAACAGTCGGTCATAAATTCTGTTTTATTTTTCAAAATAGTTGAAATTTAATTGATCCTTTCAGACATTCCCTGCCGTGTGCATGTTGATCGAAATGCTGGCACCACAAAAGTCAGAGATAGATCAAGATCAGGGAAGAGTAAACTGGTTGAAGAAAGTATACACTTATCGACCAGTTGTTGAAAAAGTTATCAGTCTACAAAGAAACGAAGACTTTTATTCAGCTTATAGTATTAGATCATTGCAAAGGGCAAGGTAATACTTTCGATTTGTTCTATATGGACACATTTCTACTTTTCATCCGTATGTGCATGCCTCCGTTCTAAAATGGTTAGTGACATGTAGTTTTCAAAGTGCTATAGCTACTTAACAAATTAAAGGGATGTTGATCATCATGAGAAGTTGTGCACCTGGTGTAAAGTGTTTGGATTAATTTAGTTTTGTTAGATTTTTGCCCTTCCCTTTGTAAAGACATGTATTTGCATTTTTCAACTTGTGTCGCTTTTGTAAAAGAATTTCTTCTGGAGTTATGAGACTTTGGAATTTACAGGAATATTTGACAGAATGCGTAGTTGTGTACCTTGGGGTTTGTTTGAGCATTTATTCAGTATTTGAGTTATTGCCGTTGACTTAGTAAACATTTGCAATTTTCAAATTGTGTCGCGCGTAGCCCAAACAAATTTAACGTAAAGTCATAAAACTTGACAAAAATGTTGGTCAGCATGTGTAGGTGTACACCTGAGGTTTTGCTTTTATATTTATTCAGTATTTGTTTTGAGGTATTGCCCTTGACTTCGTAAATACCGAATCAAAATGTTGTGTTATGTGTACCTATAGAAGAGTGTCAAGCTGTGTCGTGCCTATAGGAGTAGGGGGAGTCATGTACTCATGTAGAATTTCCTTTGTCTGCTGTCTGTCTTTCTGTCTGTCAAACGTTTCTGCTGTACCTTAGTAGAATGATTAAAAAAAGTGGAATGTGGGTGTATCTGTATTCTATTGACACATTTCTAGTTCATTTTTGTATGGTTATAAATCAATGGGATAACTTCAGTTTACTTTGTATTTACGAAGATAGATGATTATTGTCTCAAAAGAGTTTTTATTCTCTAAGTCGGTAGTTTATAATGTGAACGGCAAAACTGATGTACATCCGTACTTCAAGATCTTGTATTCTTTCAAATTTTGGATTTTCCATTTTATAATTGCATCACTGGAGGCATGCAGCTTTAAAGAGTACTGCAACTGTCTGATTTGACTATATGAATTTGCCATATATATATATATGTTCAAATGTATATATGTATAAAGAAACGTAAACGTTAAAGTATTATCTATAACATATCTTTATGATGCGTTTTGTTCTGTAGAGAATTATGGAGTAGAGTCGTAGTTGTGAAATTGTTTTTGGAGCACATTTGCAATACTGATAGCAAGAGCAAGATAACAGTAAAATATTGCATGCCGTTGTGGACAGTAAGTAATACCAAATTTTGTATCAATATCTGAATTTTTCAAAGTACGAATTTTGTTCTATGCTTTTTTGCTGATAATAACATCAATGTCCAGTCAGAGTGGTGTGTAATTATTTTGTGTTCTATGATTTGTAATACATGTACTTATATTCTTTCTTCATGTCACCAAAATAATAGTTTTTTTATCACCAAAATAATAGTTTTTGAAAACATTTTAAACTTAAACATCTTGGTATTCTCAAATTAATGCATTAATTTCTATCACTCAGATGACTGTTTTTGATTATGATAAATATATATTTTGTGCTGCTTTAATAGACTCTTGGGGAGGAAACAGACATGAAGCAGATGAAGTCATTTGCAAAAGTTGAAAGATTTTTGAAAAGTTGCAACAAAGGAGCAATAAAGGAATACGTAGGGTACGTAATATATGCATTCAAAAGAGCACTGTTAAGCGTGAGTTAGGGGATGAGTAAAACTTCCATATGTAAAAAGTAAGAATAAAAATAAAATAAGTGTAACTTCGCACAGACCTGTCAAGCTATATATTCTTGCATATCAGACAGGATTATCTATCGTTTACACTGGTGCTAGAAAAACCTGTCTTACACCCCCATGTAAGACAAGTCGTGTGCTTTAAATTACGTCATTGATGCGCGGCTTTTATGAATGAACTGAGTTCTTAGGATGATGTCATTTTACCGTTGAATGAAGTTGTAAGTTGTAAGCTCATACGCTACTATAAGAAAAAAGTCTGTAATGAGAATATCAGTTTTCGTAATTTCTGTTCTGAAAATAATTGATATGTTATATGCAAAAAAAGAATCAAACACCGGCTGTTAATACGGACAGGAATATCTAGCTCTTGGCAGAGCTTCGTTATCGCCGTTAACAGTTACCGTCTGTACCGGCAGCCAGTATAAGATTCTTATAGTACGTAACACCTGAATCAATACTGTTAGTTTATCAGTTTGTCATAAAACACTTCTGATATATATCTTTAATTAAATTGTGATTTATAATAAAAATGTGGCTTTAATCAGTGCATTTTTATTATTCAAGCTACATGTATGTTATACCATTTCCATAGTTATTTTAAGATACAGAAAATGACATTATTAGAAAGTACGCTGATATAATAAGTTAATAGGATTTGACTGTTGACCCATTTGTATGTTATGCATATGCACATTATCAAACATTAAATGCAAGAGTAAATAATGTAATATAGTACTTGAAATTTCATTATCTTTTTATTAAAAAAGTGCTGAGGAGGAATGCAGCCATTGTGAAAGAATGTTAGAAGGTCCTCCAATTACGCTACCATGTAATGATGTAGTATGTGATGGCTGCTATGAAGATGTTAAGGCGTTAGGAAAATATGAATGTGCGAAGTGTCACCAGATTGTGCCACCTGGATTCCGATTAGAACGACGGGAAGATGAAGGGTATGGACATTTTACATTTGTAGTTTTACTTAATAATATTTGGTGTTTTGGACGTTCTTTTATGATTCTTTCTATTCTCTATTTAACTTAATCGTTGGCAAGACATTGGTGAATTTTGATGATTCAAGGCATAGAATTGCAACCTAATTTCTCTGATGTTTTAGTGGCATTGCATTGATATGTTAATATTTGTTTATAGCAATTTTCATGATAAGCTGAGAGATTACCAGAAGAGATGTAACACATTTTTCATGGATGTTGTTTCGCAATTGTGCTTTGCCGATAACTGTGCCCCGTCCCCGGAAGTGGTTGACCGCTTGTTTGGATATGTCTTTTTTAAGACAAGTGGACAAAATATCCGAACAAAGGACTGGACAATATTTGACACAGGAATAGACCCAAATCCAGTGTTCAGATCATATCTTCTTCAGCTTCTAATTAGATCCAAGTAAGTATTCAAAGCATCTTTTCAATCTTTAAGATTAAGTTTTTTATGCTCACCGAATGGAGAGCATATAGTCGCCACCTTGTCCGTCTGTCCGTCCGTCCGTTGTCTTGTCCGAGCAATCCGGGGTTTCTTTATAAGTCTTGTAACGAATGTTGCGATGACGATTATCAATATTTTCATTGTAAATTATATCTTTAAATAACAATATTTATATTAAAGCATAACAGCTTATACATGAAATTTACATTAAGGGGATACAAAGCTTTAAAAATAAAAGTAACAAATGTATCATTTCCTTTTTAAAAATGATATAAATATTGAGGGTTTTAAGTCATAAAATGGATATTGTTATATCAAAAGATATTTTTGCTACGATGTCTTATACCAGATAAATATAATTATGATATTTTTGAAACACTTGCCCACACATAATAATGGGAATATATAAATGCACTCACAGCAAAGAAAGTATTTGCGAGAACTTGGATACATACATTGAGCAAGCAAAGAACTTCATTGGTGAAAATCCAGCAGAACAAGAAAGTCATTGCATTGAACTTAGTCTTCTGATCATTCAATGCTTAGAGGTATGAATGTTTTATGTATACAGTTGTTCAGAAATGTTTTCTTTGCTCTCATTTCTGTATTCTGTATTTTTGTCAAATGTACTTTGTGTAGGACTATAAATAAACTGCTTAATTTGTTTTAAGAAAGGAAGGTTTTCACCCGCTAAGCTTTTTAGAAAGAGCCTTATGTTTGTAATCTAAAGACTGCTGGTTTGATCCTCGGAAGAGGGCAATTTCTATGTTAAATTGGGTTAAAAAGTCATTTTTCTCACGCCGCTGATTCAGAAGTCTTTTTTGATCATATGTCGAACCTCTCTGACAAATTAGTAATAGCTAGTAAGTTATCAAGAAATCCGGTAATGAAGATGGACCGCCGCCGCGAAGATATGACCAAGAATTTGTCGGCATAACAACCATACAGACATTTAAAAGATTGCTTAAACAATGATTGCCATTTTATTCTTAAATGTGTTCAGAACAGGTGAAAAAGTTTTGAGTTTTTTCTTTTTTTCCTAGGACATGTTCACCGAACAGGCAAATCTTGCAAATGAAAATGAAGAGGTCGACTTTGTGGTTCGTTCATTGAGAAGTGCGAAAGTCATGATTGATGGCACTAATCTTAGCGCAAGCAAATTGTATTCTATTGCTAATGCTCGGATGGGCTTAGCAAAGACCGCCAAATATATCGCACGTGTTGTCGAGAGCGGTGTTAGTATAACAGCAGTGCCATTGAAAATCAAAAGAGTTATAGAGGCAGCGCAAATACTTTTCGAAGAGACAAATGCTAAGTGGACAAGGTAAGTATGTTTAGCATAAAAGCTTATTATCATACTAAGCATTATAAATGTATATCTATTTATTCCGAAATGTCTGCAAGAAGGTTGGTCTTGCTAATAATTTTCAATAGGGTGAGATGAGTAAGATAGTCAGTTGCTTCTAATGAAATAGGTGAAAATGATTATGGTCCAAATTGATTTTCAAGTTGTGTTTTGACAAATTTTGTTTTAATGGTCATTTGTTATGTAATTCTCAATAAGAAATACACATGTTTGTAATATAGCTGAGCGATAAGAAAGACAGCTTGAAGCAACATAACTGGTAAAATTAAAGGTCCGTTTTTGCAAAATACTGTTCAGCCTTTGTACATAAAAATGATGTTATCTTAAATGAGAAAATATCCGCAAATGTGTTTATATAGCGGTGATCGCTGAACCTTCAAATCCCTTAGTAAAGCGGCATATGGTTTGCATGTAAAGTAAAACACTTGGCAGGTGGCGTTTGATTCATGAACATCTTTTTATATACTCCTGAAATGATAACTCATCGTTGTTATTCACTGAGGGTTATGATTGATTTACAATTGATAATTTTCTACTAACATTATGCACATAATCAAATACTGAACAATCAATTTTTTTTCATTACATTCATGAATCATTCATTAAGCTACTAGAATTTAAATGATTGAATTGATGTTTTTCAGAATATACCTCGTTAAATACATATGCCGAGGTTATGGTGTAGACATATACAGGACATTATGTAGGAGTCAAGCCCCACTTTTAAGATGGATTGCTATAAAAGATATGAATATTGAAAAGGTAATTTAAAAATAAATTTTAATTATGTTTGATATATGGAAAATATATGGAAGCTTAAAGGTTGCCTAACAAAAATTCACGCAGCCTTATTTTTTTTGTGTCCGTTCAGAACAATAAGCTATCGTCCACAACAATTATCACAGGCTTAAGCAAAAGTCAGAATTGAATATTAAAATGGTGTAAAAAAAAGTTTGATTTGTTGAAAGTTGTTCTTCATATTGTGAAAGTTACTTACTGATTTTATAACGTATTAGTATATTGTCAAATGTGTTCATATCATGTATGCAATATTCAAATGTTATAATAGTTTTCAAAACTTTATCAAACGAAAAATAGAGGTATTCAGCTGTGTCTTTACTAAACGTCACTAATTCCGCATCATCACTAATTTCACTGTAATGGCATATTTTCATGTGACCAGTGTTAGAATTGGTCAAAATTGATATATTTTATTCATACACCTAAACAACAGAGTTTTGTGCAAAATATTTTTAACTAAACAGAGCAAAATTTTACAAATTTCTGCAAAAAGCAACTATAGTGCATTAAATTTGTGCATACGTCTGAAACAATAATGATTTTATAAATGTTCTTGTTTGTTGAAAAAATAAATTTTGACTTTCAAAGAAAGGATAGTTTTAATATTTAAAGTTAAGCAAAATAACATGTAAATGTGTTTAATGAAACATGAAAAAACTGAAATGTTACACTATTACCGTGATTTAAATGATGACATACTATTTTCAAAATGGCCGACATATAGTCTGCATCTGGTACATTAAAACTGACTCTGACTGAATATATTGTTGTTTCCTTGTGTCATGCAGTAGAAAATACCTATATGTTATAGCTTATGATAATTTTTGTACCATCAGTTTCATTTGTTGTTTTCTTTCTTGTTTCGAAGTGTTAAGTACCGCGAACTAAGAGGAGCACAGTATACTAGTCTTCTAAATAATTATAGCAAGAATTAAGAATGAATAGGTAATGTTTTTAAAACACTTAAAATTCATTTTTACGTTCTAAGTTGATTTGAAGATATCAAATTTTAGCGTGGATCCCATTAAGCTAAAAATTAATTCTACTTTGTTCTGTTTTCTAGATTAAAGTTTGTTGTACTGTAAGCGAAATGTTTTTTGGAAAATCACAGTGTGGCTTCTTTCAGGTTGTCGAAGTTTCTGACAGATACGTGGTTTGTGGAAAACCATACGTTACTATACGGGAGGCTTTGACCAAGGTTGTTCTCGGGGAAGCAATTGATCCCCTTACCAATGTTCTTACCGTAAGTAAATTGGTATAGAAATACATTGTAGAATCATTGAAGAGTGTCATGAGAAATAAAATAGAAAAAGTCTTAAACCAAAGTTCTATTTAGAAAATCCAAGTTTTACTAGAATAACTTTACGCCGGAACTTGTTAAGTGTTTGTTATGAAAATGTAAGTAGAACTGTTCTAGAAATTATCAAAATGTAATGTAATTACAAATGACTGCTTGAAATTTTAGGAGTTACTACAAACAGCTGGAGTCAAAGTAGAGACGTTGTTTACACTTGCGGTACACAGAGAGGTGACCAGCTCATACCTGTATCCACAAAATCAAAGGAAACTGACGGAAAATGTAAATTTTTATAGGCAATCATTTTTGTCTTTTTAACTGGTTTGACCAACATATTCATGTGGTTGAAAAGGCCATTGAACATTTTCATGGGAATCGATACATTTCATGATCTATTGTATATTTGACTTTGCTCTTCAATTAAGCATAAAATATTGGGTTCGTAATCTGATTTCTTTTATTTATTTTAGGTCTTGACTACCTTAATGACGTTATTTGCTGAAAGCCAAATGTTTAGAAACAAGGTAATGGAAAGACTCATTAGATATCTTCACCTGAGTCAGTACAACTTCTTTTAAGAACACACAAACATTTCGATATCAAATTATTATATAGATATGCTGATTTTTATGTTTTTTATTATAAATATAATTTGCCGTACTTCCTTCAGTTTTAAATCTAGCTCACACAAATATCCAATGAAAACGAGTATATCATTTACTCCCTTTTAATTGTCATTAAGAACTGATCTTATAATTGCAGAATTATCATAACTACGAGCTGTATGACATTTTTAATAATTGTTTATGGGAAAGCTAATTATATTTCATTTTTACATTTCATAACATTATAATATTAGTAAATATATTGGTTGGTTGAATTATTTAAAGGCAGTCATCATTTATATGGTATATGCTTCAAGGAAAGTGAAAAACCTATCTTCGTTAACTTTAATAAAAACTTTATTTATTTTCGTAGGAATTACTGAGATCCCTAATTGAAAATCAGATGGTTCCAAGAACACTTAGATGTGAAGAAGGCGAGGACCTGCTTCAGCAGGGCTTGAAATGCATTATACTTCATTTTCAGTCAGTCTTTTTAAATTTGGATTGTGAAAGAACACTTCTTCAGCCTTTGAGGACTTTAATGACAAGTCCACAATCGTGCACTGTGAGTTTGTTATGAAAATCCGTTACTTTACTTACGTATCCATGTATGGTTTATATTTAATGTTTTAACGTTCTGTATTTCACAAAGCGGCCTGTTGTAAGATAAAGTAATGATTGTATACTGCAAGTCTTAACAGCACAGTAGTCCTATGTTGCTGGATCGTGTTTGGGGATTCGTTCATTGAATGCCATCCTTCCCTTCTGAACTTGTTTCTCATATTTTTAGCAAGTGATAGAAAAACATTTAAGATAAATCGTTTAGGATAAAAAACAATAACATGACACAAATCTGCAAAAATCGTAAATGAAAAATATTTCTGGAGTATGGTTTTAATATATGTACCTTTATGGTGATTTCAGAACTGGTTTTTACCTACCATGCCACAGGATGATCTGGAGGATGTTAAAGTTGCTTTACTAGCTGCGCGTAACCAGATAAGGGGTGCTGATCATAACCCAGTTTTTTACAGTAAGTATTTTCAGCGTATTAATAAATATAAATTAGTGATGAAATAGATCGTGTACTATGTAAACACAATGTTACCCGCAGTCATGGCAATCACGGTTCGTACTACTGTGCATAAAACAAGAAGAGCTTGAGACATCGTAGTATGACTGGATAGGCAAACGTGAAGGACGTTCCTGTTATAACTGTCAAAATTGTCTCTGTAGCTCCAATTCGAATAGAAAACTTAAAGCCGAATCAAAACAGGGATAAACACTTATAATATGACATACATAATAGGCCGTTACATAACATAGAAGTAGTCCGTATATGCAAAGGTATCATATGTCTTCCCAGGGATCTCAAATGTTCGTCCGGTTTTGTCATGGTGTGCACTGTTTCTTAAGGCAAGCTTTTGGGTACGAAAGTAGTTTTGCAGTGTTTCAGTAACTGTGTGCCATGTTGTATGATGTTTTTGCGCGTTTCTTTGCTATGTTACTTTGAATTTTCCTACTGTTTGACACGGTGTTGATATGTTTGAGGCCTGCAGGAATGTTTTACTTTCTTATTTCTAAAAACATATATGATCTAAAGACTAGTGCGTCGTAACTCTAAACAGGTCATGTAAAAGGCACAGGTTCATACTGTCATGTCCATGTACTTCCCTTTAAAATAACAACGTATTTTAAGGGTTGTCAAAGATGCGGGCTACCAAAAGACAATAGTGATTAAAAACAAAATGGAAAAGGAGAGATTCTTTTGAGGTATACACTTTCGGCGACAAGGATCACTCGATTGTTTATCCTTCTCGCTGACTCGAATAAACGTAACTGCAGCTAACAAACTAGAAAACACATAATCTTCTCTGTCTTTGGCTTTCATATGTACTCATTGAAGTATCTTTATACAAAAGTTGATAACGTTTTGGGATATGGGGGTCTCACTAATGGCGAAAACGCGCTGTTATACCCTATGCAGCCACGCTAAATATATGGAAGGCCTGAACAAAAAACACATCGGATAAAGACGAGAATTACATAAGGGATCCCATTAAAACACATTGTACCTGTAAGCAAAATAACGGAGCATTAACAAATGTAAATTGTTATGGATTTTAAAAGAATTCATTGACCTATGTTTGACATTTGTAATGTCTTAAATTGAAAGTGGCAAATTGTTATTGTGAAAATTGTCTGTGCTCAAGACATTTCCTAAAAAGTGACCACTTACTAGACTTGTAAAATTCTGTTTTTCTCCTAATATTTATTACTCTTATTTAATTTTCAAACATTAAACGTTCTAATGTCATCATCTCTTAAAATTAGAAATCTTTATCTTTCAGGATGTCCAAATGGCCATCCATATGTTATTGGCAATGTAAGTATTTCGGATTTGTGTTTGTACAAAAACGATGTTGTTATGCTTTTTGTCCTTCTTTTCAATGTAGAAATAATTCAACTCATGCAAAATATGTTTCAGCGTAACAATATTAAACTTCACAAAATACATATGTATATATAATGATTCATATACATAATGATATACATTTTATTTTCAAATACTAAAATACATGATTTAAACAGACATTATAACTACTCTTTTAAGTAGTATTTAGAACTATTATTACTCAGTTATTTATTTTTAAAGTGCGGTCGAGCTGTTGAAAGAGCTTATTGTAGAGAGTGTGGTGCTGAAATTGGCGGTCAAAGACATCATATCCTAGCGGGAAACACTAAGGATATGGGGTAAGTTGAAATTAAATCAAACCTCCAATCACTGAAGATCGTGAAGTTCTACGTTCTTTCTGTGCTTCAGTAATTTCAATAATTTCGTTGGATGGTTCATTTATTCCAACGTGTGTGTAAAACGATATTAGAGTTACATGAGGTTTTATAATCACCACTGTATTAAACATCTACTGCTGTTGATATCTTCATAAGTTCGCACTTTTTCTTCATTGAAATATTGAGTTAGTTATGCTGAAGAGAAGGAGGTGTGGCCTTACACTGGCTAATCAAACTGAACTTGCAGCTTTACTGTTTTAGGCAATACTTGTGGTTTCAACTTTGATTTTTTATACGAATTGCATCAGTATAGAACTGATATCACCTTGATATATGATAATAAACTTTGATGTTGTTTTGCAAGGCTCCGCCACCATAAATACTATTTTGAAAATTGCAAAGGAAACATTTTCAAACTGAATAAATGTTATGACAGAAAGTTGTGTCAAACGAACTTGAGAGTTGAACTAAGCTGCAAGGAATACAAGATAAATCAATTATGATGCAAGGAAAATCTAAACGTATAAACATTGCATTTTTAGAACTGATAGAACAGAGACAGGGCATATACTTGGTCAAGCTGCTACAAGAGGCCGCGATCCTAAACCGGAAAGGCTCATGACCCCAACTAGTTGTGCAATTGTTAGATGTTTACTACACATTGCTATGTACTTGGGAACGAAGGAAAATTCACAGGTACTTTTAAGATAATTAAATGTTTGATCAAATAAATCAAATAAGATAATTAAAACTTGTACAATTAATTAACCATAAGTATCACTTTGTTTCACATGCTAGGACTTTTTAAAAAAAATGTAATAATTATCGGCCCATTACATGATGAAATATGGTCTTAGAATTAAGTTATTGTTATCTTAGAATTAAGCTATTGTGACGTCTACTTTAATTTCCATTTATTGCTATTCTTTTTCATTTAAAGAATGACAGCACTATGACAATATTTCATATCACCTGTTACAAACAATGTTACAAACAATGTTAAGAAATAACGTCCTTGTGACATGATACATGCCATGGCCTGTATGTAATGAAATTTGCGGGTATTTTTAAAAGGATTGTAAATGCTTATTTTATGATAGAAAAAGGTGAACATTATATTTAAAAATGTAGAAACAAAGTGATCCCTCGGAAGTATTAATCACAACAAAAGTTCATGAAAATTGCAGCTAATTGATAATTATATAAAAACTATGCATATATTTGCATTATATTTTTTTTATTTTGTTTGTTCATAAGGGGGTACAGAATCTAATAAAACCAGATATAGAAGAATATGAAGTTGAACACTATTTGTGGCGACATATAAAGATTGATATTGATACGCTTTGCAAGGCTCTGAATCGAAGTACTGATGATGTTCTGCTGTTTATGCATCTAGTTATTGATAACATTTTCAATGCACACCAGGAAGGTTAGTAAATATATTATTAATAAAAGTCAAATTGGTCTTTTATTCATCTACAATTATCTCTGTTAGTAGTCTAAGCACAGTGATTGTAAACATTAAACATATTTCTTTTTTCTTCTTTTTTTTGAGGACGGGGAGGCAGGTTGGTTTCTTATGTTTTTGTCCAGATTCTCCTCAGTCTATGTTAGTTGCGACTGACTTGTTATTTTTTTTATATAAAATTGCTTAAAACAAACTAATGAGATAATTAGAGATGTTTTGTTATTACTCGATATTCTTTTTATAATATTGTGGAAATATCCCGCAACACCATTGAGTTCTCCAATCAAAGACAATTTGTATTTCGTTCTCCTGACTTTTTTCCAGACGCTGAAGTAACATATGAGGTTTTGCAGTTGATAACAAAAGAGGGACGTTCAAAATGGGAAACTCTTTTCTGTTCAAGATTACTTCAAGGTGTACTAAAGGTGTGTTTGTTTTCGTATGAGAGTATTTTAATAAGACGCGTACGTTTAAGTAATACAGTAAAAAAACAGTAGGGCATCATTAGTAAATGTTTTTAACTTATTGTTATGTTTAATATATAATCAGATATATTTTATATGACCTTTCATAAATTCTCATAACATTATATTACAGGTTACTGATGAAGCATTGAAAACAAGTAGTCAGTTTATAGCAAAAGACAAAAGATTAGGTATATATATCATTATATATATTATTCGGTATACCTATTTGCCATTTACGTCACAAACTTCCAATTACCCTTCAATAGTATTCCAGTATTGTTTTATTTACATTTTATAGATTCAGAACTTAATTAAATTCATCTAATACACTTATTACAATTAATGTATTTAGTTTTTGCCTTTTTATCTTAATATGCCGTTCAATTCTTTTCACTTTTTCATAATATAAATGATAGGCATTCACTTTTCCCTTTGCATTTGAATGATGCAGTCAATAATCAATCAACCTACACATTATTACATTTATTTTGTTATCACAATATGCAATTGAACAGGTACTTTATGATCAAATTGTAAACTTGATACTATATAATTTTGTTCTCGTGTATCTTCAATTAGGAGCTGACCCTCTTCTATGTTTGTTGTACGAAACGGACACCCAAACAGAGAACGAACATACAGCAGAATTACATAACATGCCTCGTGTCTGGAGATACAGAACTACCATTTCCCTTCAACAACTAAGACAGGAAGTAGATGCCAGCAGCCCCAATAAACATAAAGTTCTGAAATTGTTTCTGGAAGAGGTAAAAGATTTACAGTAGAAAGCCACAAAAAAGACGAAAAACACATTTTTAAGGCATTTTAAGATTTGTTTGAAAGCAATATGGCCAATTTTCATCGTTTTTATATAATTTGTTTCATCAACTATTCTTATTTTATGAAAAACATGTAAGTCATAATATTTATTAAATTAACAAAATCTGGTCATTTTCATCCAGTAAATGTAAACTTGTTTTAACTGAAAAATCGATTTAATCAACTGACAGCATTGTCTTACACAGGAGCACCGTCTTAGGGCTATAAGATATATACCAAGTATCCTTCATCTACATCGGATGTTATTGAGCAAATACTATAAAAAGATTGACAAGACCGAGGCTTCGAATATCACATTTGGGATGCTTGCTCAAGGTATTATTTCATCACCTAATACAATGTAAATGTAGTCTAAATGGCGATAAATTTATCGCCTGGAAATGAAAGGCAACAATTTAAATGTGTCCATTGAAACATATACAGTGGTTGATTTTTGTACTTCGTGTTTAATGTTTAAGATTGAACGTTTTTTTTGTGTGTTGATTTTTTTTCTATTTGTTGGTTTCATTAATTTATAGTTATATTGTAAATAAATTTTCAGAAAAAAAACAAATAATGAAGAATAGGAAGATGATCTTAAAAATCGTAATGTTCTGCAAATAAATTCAGTACGTTTGTAATATAAACTTTGTTATATTGTAGAACAAGTTGCCGGCATAGAAACAGAAGCACTGCTTCAAGACTTTAAACATTTTGGGTTTTGGAAAAAACATCTTAGATGTATTGTAAGTAATATCCCCGAAAATACGCACGATAATATTTTTTTTCAGTAGCTTTTGAAATTCTACGGGAGGAAAAAATGTTCAAATAATGTTTATTGAAATTGTTTTTTGCGATCCCGTAAGATAAATTTTGAAGGGCAATTATGAAAAAACTTTTAAGATTTATATCTGCTTTTTCCAATGCTACCCTTCATTTTTCGTAACTTATTTTGTATAAATCATTTCAAAATGCATTCATTAAAATTTTACTTGATCCAGAGCCTAATTAAAAAACTTCGTTTAAAAAAAAACAATTGCATAATTTCTCATTTAAGCTTTTTTCCCCTTTTTACAAATTGATTTATCATTTACTAATAACATTTGCATTTAACCATTTTGAATTTTTTATTTTATAATTTCATTGCCCAACTGAACTTGGGGGCAGAGGTGTCCAAAAAATTTTTGCAAATGCGGATTATGACAAAACCCCTTTTAATCTTGCGCTACCTACTGGAAAGAAAAGGACTTTGTTCTTATCGTTGTTGGGTTTTCTATTGAGAAGTCAAATGCCTTTTTTTGACAATCATTTAAAAAACAAAAATAATAAACATTTTGTAATTAAATAATTTATAATTTTTCAGCCTGTCTTTTTTAATTAAAACGTTTTGGCCCAGTGGTTAAGGTCGTTTTCTCAAATAACTTCCCCACCCCGGTTTTTTTAACCCCCCCCATTTCCATAATGGGGGGCTACCACCACTACGGAACGCGTTCTCCCCTTTCCCCCTCTTTTAAATTTTGCAGATGGTCATTTTAGGGCTCTTTAAGAAAAGTCAAAAGTCATATCCTAAACTGAGTTAGTGCATCATAAAACCCAACCAAATAAATGTATTGAAAAAAGGTCAATAGCTTTTTGATATGTAAAGCAAATTTTTCAATTTATAGTTAAGATTTGAAATAGATATGTTACTCATGTAAAATTTAATTTAATTTCAGAAATACATCATTGATATCTAAAGTTTTACCGAAGGATGTGACATCGGCCCATTTGATATGTTTTGATCCACAACATGATTTGCTACCACTACTTTTGGCTAATTGTCATTACTCATTTGAGCTTGGAAAAGGAACAAAAATTGAGTATAATTTGACTGGCCTTGAAAGGCAACTGATGGACAGATTCCTTTTCTCAAAGTCCATTATAGATGTGGGACGCTATTTGATGGTAAAGTTTTCCCATTTAATGTTGCTGTAAAAATTATTAAATAGCAAGCTGATATTGATGACTATAAGGAAGACAAGTTTTATTGCTATTGGTTGTCTTATTTAAAAAACACACATGTTTGACATCTTGTGTAAGATGTTGTTGCTTCAGCATATAAAATAATAACTTTTTACATGATTTTTTTTTCATTTCAGATTGACACTATGGTATACAGAACAGAAATAACCGATGCTGTAGTCTTTAAAAGGCTGGAAGACAAAATTCCTCAGGTACTTTATATTTATTAGTGAATTTAAGTTTTATTTTTAGAACTTAATTAAGCATCATGGTATTTAATATATGTATATCTTAATGTTATATAGTTTAGTGTTTTGTGTTCATTAAATGCCACAATTTTTGTAAAAGATTGAGTACTACATGAGCAGGTGCTTGAGGGGTTTTGAGAGATTTCCATTACTAGTATCTGGCTTATAATAAGGATCAATAAAGCCATATCAACGATATGGCCTGCTTATTTTTTGTTTTAGTATTCTCAAACAATCTTCCCTTAGCATCTTCATCTTTAATTGATTGTTAGAGGTTTGTGTACACGTAAAATGTTCCATTCATTTCAAATTATAAAACACATTATCATAACTAAATATAGACGTTTCAGTTATTCAAACAACTTGACGTTCAAGTCAACATTGAAATGGACTAAAAATGGAGACACATTACACTTACATTAAATTGCAGATAAATTATACTTATATCCATTAAAAACAAGAAATTTAGGCTATCTGACGAAGACATGTTAACTTTAAAACGTCAAACTTTTAAACCATAATTAAAATTCTGTTTGCAGGTGACGTTAGATTCTACGGTAAGGACACAAATATGTAATGATATAAGACATTTACCGGAGTTATGGCAATCCCTGACAAACACTGACATAGCCATTAGCTTTCTCAAAACAACAGGTGGACACCCAGAGCAAAATTTACATGCTTTTATGACAGATACACTTCAGATGGAGTCTTCTATTCCAAGTCGTAAAGTATGAATACTTTTGTATCTTTTACCATGAATTCCTAATTCACCATCTAAATTTTTTTTTTTTTTTTCAATTTTACTTTTCATTGTCATTCATGCCAAACATTTATGTTTAAAGATTAAGTACTTCTAAACTCAGTGCTGCTTAGGCAGGTTTTGTATTAACTGATAAACAGACTGCATTTTTTCCTGAACATTTTTATTTTCATTGTTCCCTAGGGAACTCATTTTTTCAGAAAGAAAATGTTTTTTATGTAAATAGAATTATCTGACGTGTAATAATGATTCTACCTGTTATAGCAAAAATGTACGATTTCACAATTGTTATGGTAATTTGTACATCAAAAATTCATATTTTATTGATACAATTGTAGGCACAACAGATATGTGAGTTCCAGCACATAAAATCCCTATGGTTATTGTTGTCTCTGCAGAAAGCGAAGAAAATGTCAGACTCTGACAAGGGTAGCATGGTAAATATGAATTTCAAATTACATGTGATCATCCTGTTGAATTTATAGGCAATATATTTTGTGCAGTGCATTCTCTGTGCATGGACAACTTTCTGCCGTGATTGTTTTAGTAAAGTTAAAATGGTTGAACTTTGTCCATGTGGTGACAGCACATAGTTTATTTGATTTATATTTACATCATCAATAAAGTGTATTTTGAAATCTAAATGTGTCATACTGAAAAATATATGTATCATATATGCCTTTCATAAACATACATGTATGCACTGCGTCGGATGTGCGTTATCTTGGTTGCTAGGTTCGCTGTTACGGACAAGCTATTTGCCTGATCAGACAAGACATAGAATTCAATTGATATAACCATGCGATATATGGCAAAAATTGATAGGCTGAAATTTTTCAATTGACAGCCCGAGTCCCACGTAAAGTGCATAAAAGTATTGGTTTTTTTTGTGGTTTTGTTATATATGCCTGAAAACCAAAAAAAAAATCAGCATGTGAATTACATTGATAATGCTTTCATCTGATCTGTCCAATTCATACAGATGATTTCATTTTATGTATCAGTGCTATATGTAACACCTATGTATAGTATTTGAGCATTTTATTTTTGTTTTATATGATGTTTTTTGTTTAGATATTTATTAATTCTTTGTATTTTCATAATCATTTCTAGTCTATATTTGAGAGCGTTCCACCAGAATTTCATGAAGATATTTCTGAAGAATTGCTCACGACCTTCACGAACTACACACAGTCGCTTTCTATAGAAAGGCTTACTGAACTTGTAGAAGCTATTCACGAGTTTATTCTACTAGTAGTAGCCGTGAAACAGAATATGGACGATAGTGATGCCATGTATACAACTGAAAACAAGTATGTCAATCAAAATATCAAAACTTTATAAGAAAATAATAATTATACATTTGATACAAACAGTGTCTGTAGCTGAAATTATATTTGTTAATTATGAATTTAATTGTCTATAGCAACATGTTTAAGAATACATATTCTTTATAATACCCTCTCGAAGTCTGAGTGACAGCTTAAAAGACGGGGTGATATAGATTTGGAGTTCTCCATCCGGGTGTTCATCCTTCTGTCTGCCCGATGTCCGTTCGTTACAACTAAACATAAAACTTATTGAGAAGAAACATAACTCTCTTTTGCAAAATTTTGGAGTTAACGCCCTTAATTTTTCTCTGGGGCATTTACTGTAGTAGAAATTGTTATTTTAATTTCGGTATTCCTAAGATTGTCATTCTTATATAGACAAGCTTAATGTGAATGACAAAACGACATTAAATAATGTCATTATATTTTTAAAGGAGGTCCTTTTGCTTTACACTTCTCATTAATTGTATAGGCTTTTGTATTGTAATGATGTTCCTAGGCACATTATACTAAGAAACTTCAATCAAATGGTATATAAATTCAAGGAATTGCTTGTCATTATTGTTTTCATTGCTGCAGTTTATTATGTATATCCTGACACATTTATCACACCTCTTGTTTTACTTTTACCACGGATTTATATTATATATATGTAATATAAATCCGTGCTTTTACGTAAAGCTTTTATAACAAAATTCAATTTATTGCTTATAATCTTGACTTCTTGTCTCCTTAAACTGAATTAAAAATTAATTGTATTACTTTTACATTTCTTAATTGCCTTTTGTTAATTCACTCATATTACCATTATAGCGTTACATATTGTTTTATTTGTTTTTTTTTTCTAGGATAAGTGAATGGTTGTATGGATATATGGACAGTCTGGATAATCCATGCATTGATTTAGAAGTACTTGGAGATTTTCCGGAAGAATTGTTGTTCAAACACAGCGTCAAGTTATGGATGGTAACTTACAGTCAGTTAAAGATAAAGCTGACACGGAGTGCTGAAAGGTTTTAAGAAGAAGAAGAAGAGTCATTTCAATAAAAAATGAACTTTTTATGAAATTGATGTATTTTGAGTGACTATTGTGAACACAGTGTTATTGGAGTGACTGTTTTAAGCATAGAGTAAATGAAGTTGCCATGATTATAGAACTTATTCATAAAAACTTGTAAAGCATTTGTTTGGCAGTTATCTCACAAAAATCGTGTGTTAAAGCTATTAAACCTTAGTTTACTTATATCATGATAGTTTAATGCCATATTCGTGAATTTTGTGTCATGTTGTGTTAGTATCATTATTGTTTCGGCTGCACTGAAGTGAGTCATGTTTTTTTTTTAAGTTTATTGATCTTTATTATTTTTTATGTTGTATAAGGTTTTGTGATGATACAATTATGATTTCTGAACATTACATTTATAATAATGGTACTGTGTCATTGATACAAAATCTCTCATTCAAGCCTCATTGATTGGATATTTTTCGTTGATGACAACCATCCCATCTAAATTATATAATCATGTTATCAACAATACACCAGATCACATAAGCTGGCTTGCGATAACTTCACTGACAGTATATATTTATATATTTTTTCATTCTTACTTTTCTTAACCTACATGAACCTTTTATTTTGCTTAAATTATGTAATATATCCATCTGTTATAACTTTGTAACATTATTATGTCCGTCTCAGTACAGTAAGAGGTTGATTGTGTAGAGTATGACTGAGTTAGTAGAATAATCAGATAATCTTACGTGTGTATAATATATGAACAGAACTGTTTGCTCATAGTTGAGAATTGTAAGTGAAGTACGAGATCTTATATATTTATGTATGTTTGAAGTGTTTGCGTTATTCATTATCTTATTTATTTAAGATTTATTGTAACAATGTTATTGATGTTTTGATAAAACATAATAATACTGTTGATTTCAAATCCATGTGAGAAAATGTTTTTGAATATTTTAATTACATGTAGCTGAAAGTCACAACAGTGGAGTAGGTTTGCATATACATTGATATACATGATTATTGTCTGGAGCACGTTTCCAATCCATTATTTGATACAATGTTTTTAATAAATTGGATATTTACTTTTTATACTTGGATGTAAATGTTGCTTACTGATATTTGACAATCAATGGCAACTGTAAAAAGTTTTATATACTTATTGCATCATGTTTAATGGCATTGTAAACAATGTATAATTCTTATAAGAATGCTTAAGGCAAAGGATTTTTATTTGGTTGATACACCGAGGAAAAAAGTTATTTGTGCTTTTTATATTTGCTTTTGCATTTGCATGCCTCATTGTAAGAATAAGATTATATCAACTGCTTACTCATTATAATGGATTTATATTACATGTAATATAAATCCGTGTCATTATGTAGCATTTCTCCTTGAATAATAGAAATTAAATGTTTCTTTTCCTGAGCCTTTACGGAGGTGAAAGTAATGGTTTGTTGATTGTTTGATAGTAAAGCTAAGTAAGCATATTGATTATTATTTAGCTGTACAAAAATGATTGCTTGTAAAAATAAGCATATTTATATCTTTGTTATATCATTACCTTGTGTGAATGGTTTGATAAATAGTTGTTCTAAATAAAATGGATGATTCGTAAATGAGTGTTAATTTTTATTATACTATTTTTCTTTAATAAATGAAATTATCTTAGATTGGATGATGAATAAGACGGACTAGATGTCTATTCTCTTTAGTCAGACCCGAGGATTTTTGAGTAATTTTATTTATTTCATCATGATTGAAATCAAATTAAATTCAAATTTAGAAACATATGCACATAAACGACAGTTTCGACGGTATATATAAATCTATTTAAAGCATGACTGTATATTTTAAAGTCATAAGACGACTATACCGATGTAGCGATGTAAAGTGACCCCGTCATCAACATACTCCAATTAGTTTAATAGTGTTTAAATCAATTTAATATACTATCTGTAATTAGGTCAATATTTTGTGTAGTAATTTACACACACTGTATTGTACAAAAAGGATCACTTTACTATAGAATTATTTCCGGTTTTTCTGTATTGGAAATGAGACCCGGATGATAAATTTTAAGAATATTGACTCTCACCAGACATTAAATTATGACCCCTTTACACGTAGTAAAATGACCCACTCCAGGAACAGTAGCCACCTCATCACCAATCCGAGAAAATGATGGCTCGCACTAGGACCAGCAAAACATATAGCATTAACTTATCTTAGAGACAATGTATATAACATATAATATTTCATCAACAATTGATGGAACATTTAACATATGCACGCTGTAGCTGCTAATTTCAAAACATACCATTGAGTATTATATTTCAATACACAAAAACTAATATCAAATAATGATAAATTTTGTGACTTAACATTTACCCATTTCAATTGCAAATAATGTATATAGTATAATGTATAATGGTTACTTTAGTAGTAGATACAATAGGACAAAATGATAGTAAATTGGCAGTTATAAAATCTGACAGCTGCCAACTGTTGCCCCGTAGTTCATATCAGTGTTCGGGATCATTGATTTCATTGAGGATACTAAAAACAGCCCAAACCGGTGCAAGGGGGCGTGAGACATGTTGCACATTTTTATTATATCTCATAAATATAATCAAACTATAAAAAAACAGGAACAGAATGGAAAACTAAGTAAGCCTCTGTAAAAGTTTAAGTTTGCATATAGATTTGAACCTAAGATAATGGCGTAGGTACATGGTTAGGTCAAGGTACATAAAAGTCAAAGATATTGTACGGTTCGTGTTGGTACAACATCAGCAGCTTCAAATAGTTTATGGTTTGTTTAAGATTGATAAGTGGGTTCAATATTATATAGGTTTCTGATGCTGGGGCCATTATTTTATAGAAAAGGTGTCGGTCATTTTTCTGTAGAATAATGACCGACCGGTGCATGGGTCTTTATTCAATGGGGTTACTTTACTTGACTTCACAGGAAATGTGCTTTTTTAATCTGTGTATATCTTCACATATCTCTATGTATATAACATGTATATAATCAATAAAACTGCAGGTCACGCCTCCCAAAAATGCCCTCGTCTGTGCAAAGAACATGTAAAACAGTCGATAAATACAGACTGATAAAAAAAGTTCGGGACTTTGAAGGCCGACTCAAGAAAGTATATACATCTAAAATACTGCTTTTCCTATTGGATAATTTTTCACACACCTATTGTTAACATACGCCTAGAAACGTATTGAAACAGACATCTTAGTAAATTACTGGTTCAGAAAAAAATATGAACACAGTTCTTTGTGGTCAAATCTATAAACAACTTCAAAGGATAAACAAAACCATTTATATATTATATTTATGATTATATTATGCGAATATATACACAAGCAAAGCCATAACAAAAATAGAAGTAAATAAAAACAAACACTTTTTTATGAAAATATTACAACCTGTTTAACACAGTCTAGCAGATTATAAATACCTTCATGTAATAAATGAAAACTATAGTATATATTTAAAATACGAACCTAGTTTAAAAGTAGGTCTGTATATAATGTTTATATTATCATACCACCGTAAATGTTATAATAAAATCAACTTTGCTCAAAAGCGAAACGTATAGGTGGCTTTTTATATGTGTAGTGTCCCGATTACAATACCACCCTTTGGTAAGGTCCAGCAAGTACATACATATATGGTCATAATGACAAGAATAAAAATAAACCATGAACTAGTCCATAGCAATCACAATATTTTATACCAAAAAATGGCTGTAAATATAATCTAAATTTATTGTACTCATTACGTCCTGCAATGCACTATTACAAAAATAATCAATTTGTATGAAAACAATTTATAATATAAATTATCTATAATCATTACAACCTCTATAATAATTCTTTGTCTGATTAATGATGCTTTTAGAAGGCAAACATATCTGTCAAACAAGTACTTTCTACAAACAACAGTTTTTTCAGGACTTAATATACGTTTGACTTTTTAAATATGAGTAAGATATTACCTGGAATCTTGGAAAACAAGACAGTGTCCAAAAAATTGTGAGAAAATAATGTAAGTATAAATGGCACTTTTTTCATAAAGTGTGCCTTATCAAAAAGACATAAACTACATATCAAATTATAAATACGTAAATAACAAACAACCGCACAAATTAAAGTGGATTTGGTCTACAATTTATCCATAAGTATTTGAAATAGTGATAAAAACAATAGAAATGAATCATTTGGATAGTCTTAAAAATTATCGCTAGCAAAAGCATGTTAATAAAGTTCTAAGTGATTTAGTATGAACATTTATATAAGGAATAATAATATTTTGTTCTAGAACATTTTATCATCTGCTATATATGTAATATTGCATTATCCAACAACATCCATAAATAATCATTTCGTGGTGTGTTGTTATGTTTGATACTAAATACCATCGAAGTTATTATTGCCATTATAGACCAATTCCATTTCAGCGTAAAGTATATATGTTTAACAAGTGTATTTATCTTTTCCCAGAAGGCCATAAACCCATGTGGTACAATATGCAAAATATATAATATGGAAAACGTGCAAATTTGACATGATCTCTTACATGCATTACAGTTACTGTAGCACATTTTACATAGGAAATGAAAACATATATTTACCTATTACATGATGTACATATTTATAATAATTCACAATTTAGTCGTATGTGTCAAAAGTATATATGCAACATAAGTTTTAAGTGCGACAAAAATCCAATTGTACATTGTACTGACTTTACATATTAGATTGGATCTATCACTAGTGAAGTAGATAATTTGACAGATTAAAATCTTTCTCAATTGAATATTGAATTAAATCATGTTGATAACGAAAGTGTGAATTTTATGTACTTTTTACATACTGCATAGACCATTTTTTGACAATAATAATATGTAAAGCATTTATTTTACAAATTTGATTGTGCACGGGAGATCATTTCTATGGTCTTATCGCTCGAACTGTATATCGAGTTATGTAACATCCACCGCACTATAGCTTTAACAATATATTGACATACAACATAATTAACTGCAGTTATCTAATAAAATGGAACAAATTTGTATATAAATGTGTATTGTCCAAACAATTTTGGTTACTGATAGCGAACTTTACATATTGTGCGATTTTTTTGGGAGATAATTAATATGGTTATATCGACTGACCTATATATCGAGTTGTGGAACGTTTAACTTGATTAACTGTGATATCCTAATGAGATGGATTAAACTGCTATATTTATGTGCATTGTCCAAACAAATGTATATGGCGTTACTGAACTACTTTTTATGAAGAATAGATTGAAAACTTAAGGGGGATAATCTTGTCAAAAGCGAAATACAAGATTAGCCACCCGGTAAGTTGCTCTATAGTCTAAAGATGTATGTTTACTTATGTATTTCCTCATTTCCAGATCTTGCCATCAATGACAAGATATGAGGAGGAACAATTAAATAACAGCAGTTTCGCTAGTAAAATAACATCTAGATATACATATATTTGAGCTGTGAAAATTATATTATATAGGATGTATCACACATTTATATGACTGACATAGAAGAAATATCACATATTCATATGACTAACATATATTGACAATTGGGACAATGATATAATAAGAGAAACATACAATGTAGTACTATAAGTCTAGCTTTAACAAAAGTATAGACAGATATGAAAATCAATAATAAACTAATCAGCTCCATATAAAATATCTGAGCGCATCACGAATGCTTTTGAAATATATATACTCAGTTTTCTAATTAACAATTGATTTTCAGTGTTCATTAATTCTATAAATTTAAACATATTTGGAGATCTCCAGTAACAAATTGGAATATATTGTGTTCTTAATTGAGAGTACATTCTACATTGTAATATACATGTGTAATGATATATTATTTTTAAATATTTCACTTTAAATGGGCCTAATCAACATGTATGTGGCATACCATCTAAACTAATTAAAACATACATAAATATCAAAATATGGAAAAGCTAGAAAAAGAAAACATTTTATGAAAAGTTCTTGCTGATTAATATTTAAATTAGAGGGCCAAATTAAATTGGCCAGTTTGCTAATCTGAGACCCAAATTTTGTTGAAACTGTCAAAAATTGGGTTCAATACTAAGTAATAAAATCAAAATTTGGGGTTTGTTCATTTTAAATTCTTTTAAAATATTTTTAAGCCCGCTAAAAAATTTAAGCCCACTTTCCCTAAGCCCCGAGTTTGTGGTTTTCAAAAAAGCCCTTTAATGTGTTTTCCCTTTATACTGCTCTTATAAAATTTGAATTTTTCCAGTTCTGAACGAATTCGCCCCAAAGGGGTATAAATTTAAAACGCCCTTTTGAAAAATTTGATTTAAATCAAACATGCAAAATTTATCATGCCTTTTTTTATGTCAAATTTTGGGGGCAGGGGCATTTTTTACTATCTACATTTGGGTTTTATTTTTTTTCCTAAGTGCCTTTAAAGCGCAAAAAATTTTTTGCCCAATGTGCAATGTCTTATATTCTTTTGGAAAAGCAATTTTTGGGGGAAAAGCGCAGGGCTAAACATCTAAGCCACCTTGGGCATTGTATTCCACCTAGATTATTTAAATGTGTTTTCCAGTACCAGGTATCTTATAAGTGAGCTTGGGATAGGACCATTTTTATCCAGGGGCATGATTTATGATCCTAGGGCATAATTACATGATTTATGATCCTAGGGGCATAATTATATGTTATTTGTAGATGTTAATTAGGCAATGCTACATCCCAACTATATGGGCTCTTGGCGTGGAAGAGGTTTCCTGAAGAAGATTTAAATGTGTTTTTCTATATAAGTCTATAATAACTAGATGACTCAAGTGCGGACACATATTGACCCCGTGATTATCATGTACATGTCAACAAAGAAATACTTCATGTCAAGTGTGTAAGCTCTAGGTATTTTAGTTTAGCATAAGTAGACCTTTTTTAAATAAACAAAGCGACACTCAGTTGCAAGGTGGATATCATTTTTGTAGAAAATTACAAGGTGTTGCCACTACATATTCTGTCCAGTAAATGTGAACGACGAATCCAATGCATTCACAAAAACTCACATCTGAGCACAAAAAGGATCATTTGAGCTTATAGCATTCACACTAATCAGAAGTGTCTTTAAATCAACCTATATACTGTATAATAGTTTACATTATTTACATATAATATTACATCAACCTGTTAACAAACATGAGTATGTACAATTAATATAGTTAAAAACGCAAATCAACAAAACACTGAAGGACAATTACATATAAAAAGTTTATATAGGTGTCCTGTATTTGTTAAACAACTTCAAACATTCAGCATTATCATCAACGACATCGCCTCCTCCTGGCGCGTAAAACACTGAGTACTACCATAATTTCTTGGTAGATATTACCAACATCTCTTTCGACTGTAAATGAACAGGGGGAAAAATAAAACATTGTTTATTGTCCATTTTTAGTGGGGTGGGTCATGTGCCATGTAGACTCGTATGCAATTTGCAAGCAAGCTTTTTCCAAGCTCCAAAGCACATGCCTTAAAAGACAAGATGATTTTCATTTTTGTTTCCTTATTATTCATCGATAGATTTAAACAGAATATCAAATTTTAATGGTGAAAAAAATCTACATTTAAGCATTCCATCAAAAAGTTCTACATTTATCTTTATTGTTGAATTATCTTTCTCTCGAATATGTACATGCCTGATCTTATTTTCAATTGAATTATACAGACAGGTTCATTTTTAGTATTAGCATGTACCTTATTCTTCTTATGTGAAATAACTTGTATTAGCATATAATCTGTTCTTACTTGTTCTGGCTCTGAGAGTGATCTCTATAGCCCGAGCTACATCTGACCTCCGGTATCCGTCATTAAGAAACCTTCTGCCGAGACTGGAATCAAGTATTTCTTCAATTCCATTCCTTTGACCAATGCGTTCTGAGATATAAAAGTACAGTATAAATCATACATCACCGTAAAATAGCCCTTCATCAGACTAATCTGAATGCCCAATTTAAGGGCTGTTTACTGTGTAATTTCTGTGAACATTTATTAGTTTGTAGCAGTAGCAGGATGTAACAAATTATTGAATGCAATATTGACCTTATTAAGAATCATTTTATAATTTAAGAAATATCTGCTATTTCATAGATGAATGTGAATTAAAAACGTAGAAATAACAAGTGTTCAAATCTGTATGAAAACTAAAAGGCACATTATCCTTGATTACACTGTTATGAGGCAAATGTTTTCTTCAGATTGAAATATATGAGAACATTAGGAACTACTGGTCTTTCTGTTGAACTTTTTTTTCTTTTTTACAAGCAAAATTATTCCTGTAATCATTTGTGTGGTGTACATTCGTAGATATTAACATATACGACATTAATTAACCAAACTGACTTAACATTTAGATATCATATGTACCATGGAAACAACCACTGACCAAAAGCATTTACTCATGGGTCATTTATTCTTATACATTTATACAGGAACTTCAAATTGAAAATATTTGTATCGGTCTTGCCAGCATGTCTTGTTGTTTGGTGACTGTTCCTTTCAACGTTTCCTGTTGACAGTGAGGACAGTGGATTGTTTGAAAGCGTTAGTAATGGTAGTCTATTGGTAGCCCCGTCATATGTGGACTCGCCATTCTGCCTTATCCTTGAGGAAGATCGCCTGTTTCTCACGGTATTACTCGGATGCTGCGATTCTGATTTTCTTTCATCATACAGATCAGGCTGGTACAAATGTGTACGATATACTTCAGGCAAGTTTGATGAGTCTGAAAAAGTACGTTTCTAAAGAATAATACGTAAAAATGTCGTAAGTCAGTACGAGGCAACAGCATTGTGAAATTAACAAAACTCGACTAGAAAACAAATCACAAAATAAAAAAAACAATAAAAACATATAATTGTCATGCCAATAATTTTATTGTTTTGATTTGTTCCAGCGACATTTTTAAATGTAACATCATAAATTACATGTACTGTTTATCCAAAAGTTTTGTTGCCGAATGAAAGCTGAGCGTACCTTGAACTTCCTCACAATAAGTATATAGCATCCTAGAAGTATTTTCGCGTGCAGTTGACCCCAAACTTCTTTGAGTTGTTCTGTCTACAAATAGTCTATTTCTCGAGCTAACCATGTGAAATTGTGGTTGTGAGCCCCCTGTATCACGAGGATTTAATACAGTGTGCGCTCTTCCGAAAGAATTTGAGTCTATTACGTTTTCTGAATTTGCATCTGGAAATAAAGCATATTGTAATTTAAATATACATTTTAAATAATATCTGTTCTGTTTGATATCTGATCACCATTCACTTAATGATTTTAGTTTTATATCTGAATGTAAAATAGGGTTTAATGAGATATTTAGCAGCGAATAAAACCCACATTGAGAATCGTCAAAATGTGCCTACATACCCGTGGTTACCCTGTTATGTAAAGCTGGATCTGAAGCACTGTTTACTTGTCTGGAAACAGAACAGTATGCCTTGTTTCTACTGTGATCTTGCGTGTCTGAACCACCTGTTAGATATAAAAGATAACTTCACGATATCTCTTATATGTTTGACCCGAGTTGATGTACATTTGAAAGTACATTAAATTTGAATATCAATTCTGAAAATAAATATCCTTTCATAGGACCGAAAACATATGAATGAAAACAGCAGGTTCAAATTCAAGTGTATATTCATGATCGACAATGAGAAGTACCAAATATATCATCTTTTTTTTATCTAAAAACTATGTAAATTAGGATTTTTAACTTTGCAATAACAAATACACAATGTATATATAATAATACTAAGATTTACTAGAGATTCATTTTACTCCGCCAGTTAACACTCAAACTGGGTCTGAATTTTTCATATCGTATTGTTGTTTTATTGCTTCCGACGGTTTAGCCCTGTTCCATATTTAAATTAACAGACTGTAGATCATAGAAGTGTAAAAAATAAATTAATTCAATAGTGCGAAACTTACTATATCGTCTTGTTCTTCTTATACGGTTGTTATCACTGCTCCTTGTTGGTAAAACGGCTCGAGTATCTTCATCCTGAGCACACATTTTTCCATCATCATTCCGGTCATTCATGAGTTTCGAATCATTTCTTTTTTTACTGACTGCTGGTAAATTGTCACATTTAAGTTTTGGCTGCTGAGCGGAGGAACCTCCTGTGTCGTTAGGAAACGGTTGTAGCACGTTTTGTGCTTGCATATCAGATGATGTTCCAATGCTCTCTTGTCCCGATAAGCTCTCCCCTGTGAAAGAGAATAATGAAATGAAAATAAATAGAATCCATATTATATTATATAACAGTTACATTTTACATATTTTAGGGCTTTAAAAGAAGACTTTGATCCATTTGTTTTTAAACTTTTCCTTCATAAATAGAACGATATACATAAGTCAAGCCAAACATCTATCTGTAATGGGTATGTATACGTGCTTGTATATAAAGAATAAGTTTTCAACAAAAGAAAAAAAATCGTTAAAGAAAAAAGAACTTCATTTTGAAATAATAAGTGTCTAATAACTGGACTTGTAAAGTAATTATAGCCATATAAACAATAGCAGAGTAATATCAAGTCTATACATGTGATCAAGAAAGGTAGATGCCATCGAATTACTATTTATACCATGTGTTTGAGTAACACAAATCATTCGGTTTAGTTAAAACATGTTTTATATAGAAGAACTATCGGTCTCCCGCGTTGCCCGCTGTATATAGTATGAGTTGGTTGGATAAAATCCTAACATTTTAGAATTCAAGGTCTAAGGAATCTATAGCTGAGCGTAGAAAGTCATTCGAAGTTTGTAATATCATGTTTCTGTATAATTGTTCTTAATGAATAATTCCTTTATTTGACAAAATAACTTCATACCTGCCTAAACCTAATATAACGTCTATATCAAGGGACACAATAATATAAGATCAGCCAGAGTCATCTCAAAGCATGAACTACACTCATCTGTTTCTTATTTCTTAATCAAAAACATCAGAGGAAGAAAATTCTAGTAAAGAATTCTAAAAAAACAACATTATTTTCTTTTACCAAATATATTTTGAATTTCATATTTGACCTTGAAAATCAATGTCATTTTCAGATTAAGGTCATACTTAAATCAATCAATATGTCGATAGTTCAACATGTCAGACAAGATCAACAAGGAAGGCGGCATTCAATGAACGCAACAGTATATGTATAGATCAAATCAGTAAATAATAAACAAAGTTACGAAGATTTTAACAAATTTTGATAAGTTGGCCCTCAATGTTAATGCCATTTATATGTGGGCCAGATTTGAATTTTTGACATGTTGTTTTTGTCATTAGTGTTATTTTGTCCAAAAAGGAGTCAAATTCATGAATAAATAATATAGTTATAACAGTTAAGCAAATTATAACATTTTAATCCAGGCCATCAAGGTCAAATTTGAATTATTTTATCACTTGAAGATATCTATTCCTTTTTTTTCAACTATGATTCAAATCCGTCAGTAAAAACTAAAGACTGAAGTTTAAGCTTAATAAAAAAAAAAAGAAATAGAGGATATTTTTTTTGTTTTGCATGTAAGATTGAAATATAATTTCACTGAGTAAACACCAGATGCAATATTATAATTATATAATATTATATTATAATAGCTGGTGTTCACGAATGAAATATATTTCAATCTTATATGTAAAACAAATAAATTTTCTTTTTATTTCATGCTTTTTTAAGTGATTAAAAGTACTTTTTACTAATTTTGCCGCGTAACGTCGCGCATTCTCCCTTGTGACGTCATCACATCATGACGTCACATAATCAATTTTGAAATATAGTTCTGTTAAACATTCTCTAATTTTGTTACATTTTTGACATGATGCATGATGATATCTACTTTTGTTTTCATATAGAAGCAAAATTTACGTATGACGGCATTTATCTTTACCTGTTAGTCCAGTTAGTTATGATTTTCTTTTCATTCAGATATAGTCCGGCTACAGTGAAAATTATATTTTATAAATTTCACTAGTGGTTTCATCTAATATACATTGTATTACAGTAAAACACTGGAAAGCATGAAATAAATAGTTCACATGTTTATATAGAAAAAAGGGAATCTAAGTCCTGTTAATTTAAATGTTTTGTTTATTAATTCTTTATGCAGCCAGCGAACTAATACTGTAAGTCATGATTGGAAATAGAAAGCATATGTGCTGCAAAAATGCATGTAATATTTATAATTAATTTCTAAGACTTTGTGATACATACTTTTCAAGATAATCATCAGAAACCATTTTGACATTTAAGGTCCCTGTGACCTTGACCTTTGGCCTAGTGACCCCAAAATCAATGGACCTTTCCGGTGTTTACAGTTTTATGTAAAACTTAACATTTAACATTAACATTTAACAAAAAGACTGCATATGCAGACAATATCTCCAGGACATTGTTTTGGTGTTGAATCTCCAAATAACGGTGAACATCTTTTATTCTATTTGACTGAATTACATGGCTATATGCAAATACCATTAGCCTGCTTAAATATATGTCTAGTCTAATCTACGAGCAAAATTAATGTTTAGACCTCTTACTTTCTAACTCACTTCTTCTGTTTAGTTCACGTTGGGGAAACATCTGTGGCTAAAATTAAATCACATGACAAGTCATGGTTATATCATTAAACAATATCTAGTAAACAAAGGCTTAATGATATTCTGTTTTGACCGCCTGTCTTTTGGAGTTGTCGGGACAATTTTGATAAGGTAAGATCTACCAACTCTGTGTTATACAATTACAACATTGAGTTTGCAATATGAACAAATAGTATGCTGATGGCTTCCTACTATGTTTCAAAATTTTTAGGAAAAAATACTGTATCGGGACAACTAAATTACACATAAGATTAAAATGTAGAAAAGGTTCCGTGTAAGCTACGCACACCTTAATTAGAAAATGGCAACTTTGTTGATTGATTACGATTTATAAGACATTTCAACAAATCATTTTGCCTAAACCAGACAATTTGATGTGTTGGTACCATTTTAACAGAGATAAATTACAACTTTCAAGAACTCACAGGAATTGATACACAATATAAGGTAAAAATCGAATCTTCTGCTAAAGTAATATTTTTCTATCATTTATTTTTAATTGTGCATTTTCTTGATTAAAGTTAGGTGTAACAAATGAATAAAGATTTCTCTAATCAAATCGTGTTAATATTTGAAACAGTCAAAGCATACGTCATACAAAATCTAAGTAATGAGATTTTCTTAGATTTCTTCATATTAATAATCAATACTGGATCTACCAGCTTTAAACTGAAATTTAAGTACGTTTTGGATTAAAGTCCAACTTCTTTTTTAAATGCAATAGGGTCAACAATTGTCAGATTGTAATTAACAGTTCTAGTTGAAACTCTTGCATGTTGAGTAAAAATAAGTAGCATGTGGTACCTGGGGTGTATTCGTCGAATGCCGCCTAACATAATTGCAGTCGGGGAAAAGCCTTTTGTGTTCCGAAAATGGGACATCGCCTGCAAAAAAATTACAATAACAGATAAAAAACAATAGCATAGCATAGGTTGGGCAATATATGCCCGAATGCAAGTTTGTTTTAAGTAATTAAAATTTAAAGTAATCAAAATCAATTTTTAAATTACACATGAGACCCATTAATTAAGTTGTCCGGAGCATGTTTTACACAGGTCAAAATGCACCATATGCTAAACGTATGTGACACACATGTGAAAGAAACATATGGTGTCTCCAAGAAAAGTATCCCATATGTTTTACTTATGGTACAGACACATGTTTTTCACATGTTTTTCATATAGATACACATGAATAACATATGTTTTTCATATGGTAAGAAATTGTTTCTCCAAGAAAAGGACACTGTATGTTACATCTATGGTATAGACTTATGTTTTTCACATATAAATTCACATGAATCATGTTTGTCATTACAAATGGTTTATTGTGGTCGTTTGAACTTAATTATTCATAAGAATTCAACAAGTGTTTAGTGGTCAACATCATTTGCCGTCCGAAAATCGCTCCGATTTTCAAAACTCCCCTTTTTAATTGTATAGACAGGCAAATGTTGTCACTATTTTATTAAGAGTTTGGAATGAAGTGCGCATGTGTAAACAAAAACTTAGTCAAAGTTTTTTTGTTGTTTTACTTTCTTTTTTGCTTCTATTCCACAAAAATGAAACCTCATTTAAGAAAAAAAAAACACATACATACATACATACATACATACATTTTTTAAATAACATTTTTTATGCAATATGATGAGATCGGTCAATCCACCAACCCAAAGACAGATGGCAAAAGAATTAGGGGTATCTCAGTCAACAGTAAATCGCATCATTTATTACATAAAACGTATGAAACTAAGGATGAATGCAAGTTTCATAAGCTTAATGAGAAGCAAATTCAGAAGAGGCGTACTCGTTCTTGGCTCAAATAGCGGAAAATGGAAAAGAATTGGCACTACGGACAATGTGATGTTCTATTATGTGGTAGCTATGGTCGAAGGTATGTTTTCCATATAGGAGAAAACGAGACAGACAGGCAAAAACTTAAGTTTGTTAAGCGGAATTCGTTTTTATGGTATTGGCTGGAGTTAGTTTCTAAGGCAAGACCTCCTTTAAATATAAATAAAGGTGTTTAAGTTAATGCAGGCTACTATGTAAAAAATGTGTTAAAGCCATTTATGAAAAATGACCTTCCAAGATTGTTCCCTGCTCGTGCAAAGGAAATGATTTTCCATCAGAACAGTGCTTCGAGCGTAAGGTCAAGCACTTAACCCAAGAGGAATGGATGCCAAAGAGTCCTGATGCAGCACCCATGAACTTTGAAATCTGGGGCATCTTAAAACGCCGATTACAAAAGCGAACAAGAATGTCGAACGACACATATACCCCCCTTTCTAGCCATTGACGCACAAAATTGGTAATTTTATTACAGAAACTTGCCAAAAATGGGTACATGGAAGTGTTCAATTATGGAAAAATCAACGGAAACCATTTTGACATTTAAGGCCCATGTGACATTGACCTTTGACCAAATGACCCCTAAATCAATAGAGGTCATCTTATTATTTTATGACCAATAACTAGGTGAAATATGAAGACTTTGTGATGAATACTTTTCAAGATAATCAGCGGGAAACCCTTTTTGACATTTAAGGCCCCTGTGACCTTTGACCTTTGACCTAGTGACCCCAAAAACAATATGGGGTCATTTTACTAGTTATGACCAATCACTATGTGAAATATGAAGACTTTGTGATGAATACTTTTCAAGATAATCAGCGGAAACCATTTTGACATTTTAAGGTCCCTGTGACCTTGACCTTTGACCTATTGACCCCAAAATCAATAGGGGTCATCTACTAGTGATGACCAATCACTATGTGAAATATGAAGACTTGTGATACATACTTTTTAAGATAATCAGCGGAAACCATTTTGACATTTAAGGCCCCTGTGACCTTGACCTTCAACCCTAGTGACCCCAAAATCAATAGGGTCATCTACTAGTGATGCCCAACCACTATGTGAAATATGAAGACTTTGTTGATGCATACTTTTCAAGATAATCAGCGGAAACCATTTTGACATTTAAAGCCCCTGTGACCTTGACCTTCGACCTAGTGACCCCAAAATCAATAGGGGTCATCTACTAGTGATGACCAATCACTATGTGAAATATGAAGACTTTGTGATACATACTTTTCAAGATAATCTCAGAAACCATTTTGACATTTAAGGTCCCTGTGACCTTGACCTTTGGCCTAGTGACCCCAAAATCAAATAGGGGTCTTCTACTAGTAATGACCAATCACTATGTGAAATATGAAGACTTTGTGATACATACTTTTCAAGATAATCATCAGAAACCATTTTGACATTTAAGGTCCCTGTGACCTTGACCTTTGGCCTAGTGACCCCAAAATCAATGGATCTTTCCGGTGTTTACAGTTTTATATATTGGCTATTTTGTTATCCAATCGCTACACTGAGATAATAAATAGTCACTGGTTGACCTGGTTTGCACAAAAGAACACGTGCTTATGTTTAAGATACTGTTTGTGAGCATTTGACCTAGCAATGAATGGAAAAGGTGTGGCTAAAATGTTCCGCTACGAAAAACCGGAAAGGTCCATAGGGGTCATCTACTAGTTATGACCAATCAGTATGTGAAATATGAAGACTTTGTGATAAAAACTTTCCAAGATAATCAGCGGAAACCATTTTGACATTTAAGGCCCCTTTGACCTTGACCTTTGACCTAGTGACCCCAAAATCAATAGGGGTCATCTACTAGTGATGACCAATCACTATGTGAAATATGAAGACTTTGTGATACATACTTTTCAAGATAATCAGCGGAAACAATTTTGACATTTAAGGCCAATGTGACCTTGACCTTTGACCCCAAAATCAATAGGGGTCATCTACTAGTGATGACCAATCACTGTGTGAAATATGAAGACTTTGTGATAATACTTTTCAAGATAATCAGCGGAAACCATTTTGACATTTAAGGCCCCTGTGACCTTGACTTCAACCTAGTGACCCCAAAATCAATAGGTGTCATCTACTAGTTATGACCAATCACTATGTGAAATATGAAGACTTTGTGATAAATACTTTTCAAGATAATCAGCGGAAACCATGTGGTCTACCGACGGACAGACCGACAGACCGACGGACCGACAGACAGACCGACAGACAGACCGACATTAGCAAAACAATATACCCCCTCTTCTTCGAAGGGGGGCATAAAATATACATCTTGAGTGGACTTTAAAAGGTGTTGAAACAGGACTGGCAGAAACTGGAGCAATTGACCATTTATAAGACACTTACAAGCTAGCCGAGGCGATGTAGAATGATCTACTATGCCCATGGTTTACAAATTGAATATTTACAGCAATGAAATGAAAATTATGGAATAGTTAAATCAAATTAAAAAGCGTTTACATCAATATGAATCACCTCTCGTATGCCTAAATACAACGGCGAACCTATCTATCAAAGCGCTATAAATGAAAATTTTCTTGAAAAATATTTCACTTAATAGACATATTTTTCAATAAATAGAAATAGGTCAAAACTAATCTTCTTCATTATCTACGAATTCGATTGTAATCTTGGAAACCATCTTGGATTTCTAATCTGAGCAAAGTGAAAATTCAGACAAACAGTTTAGTATATGAAACTTGCTGTTTAGTATATGAAACTTGCTGATGGCTGACATACACCACTTTGATGACATGCTACATAAATTAGCAGAAGTAATTTATGTGCCAAAAGAACGGGATGACAAATTTGAGCTTAGTCGTAGCATGCAATGCATTCCTGAAAAGGGTGTACACATAAATGTTGAAAAGAATGAAAGTAAGAAAGAGTAAAATCTGAATAAAAAAACGTATGGCATGCTTCAATGAATCCCACAACGACATGCAAGGATATAACAACATCTAACTACAAAACTTAAACTTAAATAGTTTGGCAAAACTGGCCTGAGACATTTGAATATTCAATTACATTTTCTCGTTAATAATTGGTTATCAAAGTAAACTCGTTGAAAAAGCAGTTTTATCAATTATTAAGAAGTAATACTTTTCAAGTCAATTATTACTAGGCACGGTGATCATATACTAGATTTCCAAGTATAAGCTGTGGCTCGATCTCAGTTTTCTATTAGATATTCTTTTTACAAAATACGGACTCCTACGAGATATTGCCAGAAGATTGATCAGTCTCAGGTCAATATTGTCAGACAATAACAGTTTCTATTATAAAAAGAGAAATCTACGTTTAAAATAAAAAGGATATTGAGGGTTAAACTACCAAAGCATCTCCCGGTTATCGAACCCACGTCAGAGAGGTAACTGGATAAGAAGTCATCAACTCTAACCAGTGTACGTTTAGTAGTAACACTTATAATGATACTACTTATAGGACTTTATATGTACCAGTATAAAATGAAAAACACCAATAGGATGTAAAATAAACCATGCAAAAAGAATACGTATACTCAACTTAAACTTCATGCAAACAAAATGCATTTTTACCTTAATTTTTGATTACTGAAACAAAGTACCAAAGATGAAAAGGATATTTTTAGTGCAGCATATTGAATACGGTTAGATATACAAGACAGAATTTACATGTATAAGCGGTCCAATATAAAGACAAGATAGAAATTACAATTATTATTCTTTTGTCATTCAATACTTGCATGAAATAAAATTGACATTACATTACTAACTTACAAACAAAGCAAAGGTTCGAGCTCTTTCCTCAGATTGTACGTTATAATTTGCTTAGCTGAAACTTTGAAGGAATGTAGAAAATTATGATTTAAACATTGTTTATCACCTCTACAGTCATGAACAGGTTCAATCAAAAGAGCCTGTAACATTTTCAGTTTTGCTGTTTCGAACGTTCGTTAAGTTTCTATTCCTTTTACCTTTTTATGACATATCAGTAGAGCCTGCTATTTATATGGTATAGCATATGGTACAATTCATATACACAATACATTCTAATATTATTCTGATTTTTTTATGAGCAAATAGTTTGGTTGAGTTTGTTGCCCTTTAGTTAAAAAGGCTAAGACGATTGAATGCTATTGACAAGATATGTTTGCGTATGTTTGAAAACATCTTTACATTCAAACATTTAACGTTGTTCTGTCACGAAGTTAGTAGTTCATATTTTTCTCAATCTTTTAAACAAGACAGGTATTAATTGTTCTACTACTACTGCTTCTACCACAACAGATTTTTACCTTATTCAAGTCCCGTAAACAGAACAACATGACATAACATGACATTGAAATAATTTTTCATTGTTCTTTCTAATCCATTATATTCAGTACAATTTCAATGAGGGTTTGATAACAGTGTTATTCTTTTCCATGTTGCATATATGAAAAAACTCAAACGATATATAACATTTTTTTTTGCACTTACTACATATCAGTTTAGTTCCTTTAACAGAAATTGGAATTGAGCAGGGGTCACACATTCCAAGTAACAAATAAATGAAACTTATTCCAACAATTAAGATATAAGCCTATTGTAAAATTTACAAAATGTTACGCATAAAGTAAACAATTTTACAAGAAATATAGTTAAAATTGAAGAGTGAATCCACTGAAATAGTTATTACCAATGAAAAAGTAATACATTCAAAAACTGAATAGGGTACTGTATTCACCCACTGAAGGCACGCACCTTACTGACTTATCATATATAGCTGTAAAGTAGCTTTCGACATCATAAGCTAGTATAAGTTAACTTTTGAACTAGGGTTTACATTGGAAACAAAAGAAAAAGGCCACAAGAGAGGAGGAAACTCTCAAGATTGTAATTGTTTGCTGATTTCTATCTGTTTTAAGTGTTATGATATAGGAAACTCTTAAGTTACGGGTATAACACTAGCAGGGCGACGGTTCACTTTATTTTGAAGAAGCATTTGAAAGTCAGAAAGATTTCTGCTAGATGGTGCCACATCTGTTGACCGATGAGCAAAAGAGGCAACGTGTTAAGGTGGCAAAAAACTGCTTCAAATGTTGCCAAAATATGACAAAAAACAGTTTGCCAATGTCGTTACAGGTGATGAAACTTGGGTTCACTGTTTTGAGCCCGTCAGAAAAGTAAGCAACAAACTCTGGGCCACTAAACACAGCAAATGCCCAATAATTGCCAAACGCTCTTTGAGTGCAAAAAAGGTTTTGTATGCAATTTCCTTCTCTGGCGAAGGAGTCGCAATACTAGTGCCGGTGAAAAGGGGCAAAAGTATCACAGGGAAGTACTACAAAGACGTAGTACTTAAGAAACTTAAAAAGTATTATAAGAAACGACGCCCAGTCACTGGTTTTTGAGCATATCCGTCTTCTACATGACAAGGCCCCCGCTCATACCTCCGCAAAAGTTTCGGCGTTTTTAAAAAAAGAAAAAGTAACTGTTTTGCCTCACCCCGCGTATTCTCCAGACCTTGCCCCATGTGATTTCTTTTTGGTTCCGAAATTCAAATCCTTCCTTGCTGGATGGAAATACAAGTCCCGACAGACACTTGGATCTGCCATTCATCAGTACCTTATTACTGTGCCCAAATCAACGTATCGTGACGCCTTCAAGAAGTAGATACATCGGCTGAAACTTTGCATTTCTAGCCACGGGGAGTACTTCGAGGGCATGAAATAAACACTTTTGAGCTTACTTGAAATTTAAAGTCTCCAGATAGAAATAGGCAATTCTTTTCGAACAGCCCTCGTCAGTGTTGGCAGTTCTGTGCACCTTTTAGTAATTTTGGAAGTTAGATACTTATTCGTTATGTATTAATCTAATAAAAAAAAATATTTAGTAAGTCTGATAAATATCTGTTTTTATCATGTTAACACGAAAGCTAACTAGTAAAACATTCTTGAAACAAAGTGATCCCTCGAAAGCATTAATCACAACAAAATTACAAGAGAATTGGAGACTCAGTTTGATTGAGTCTGTACATGAGGGATAATGAATACGTGCAACATCCCTAACTCCCGCTAGTACCGGCTCGAACGGTACTCAATTTTCAACACTTAATAGTGCTGGCATCAATGATCCTGAAGGACCAGAAAATATAATAACACTGAAGTGAAGTACGGGGCAACAGTCAGAAAGTAAACGGGATAATTATATGCCATCATAATTTAACATTTTAATCACTTTAATACTTTTAAAACGCAAAAATTGGTATCAGACAAATAGTTTGGCACGTTGATTTTCTAATTAGTCAACATTTTTCAATATTTTGTAGTTCTAAAATTTAGAGCTATAATTTCACTTTCAGAAGAACGTCGTGCGTCCTTTTCGAAATATGTGAAGGGGAAAAAGAGGCTCTAATATCTATATAAAATGACAATTTTAGCTGAAGCATTATTGCTCGTACAACTTTATGTCTGTATTTTATACAGAAAAAAAAACTATTTCTGTATTCATAGTAAGACCTGTCAAATGATGACTTTATCCAGTATCAAAGACTCTGAGCGGTTTGATTGAAGTTATTAGAAACTTTTCGGTGTGGAAAATTGATTTAACTAATTATATGTAAAAGATAAAATTTAATTAGAAAAAATCAAGATAAGAATAATGTTTGACAAGGACATTACATTTTGTATTATATTTATAGTTAGAATGATTAATTAAGCATTAACAAGCAATTATCATTGTATTGCAAACATTCCATAAGCCCCCTACCGGTTAGAACCCCAGCAACATTGTGAAGGGCCATTGGCCATTCACTTATGTTTCTATTTTAATAAAATTTGTTGAAAAAGGTTTTTCAAAAATGATCACAGGAAACAGTTTTTATGTACAGACAGACAGACGGACTGAAGGACAATCAAAGTTTTTTTTAAACATCCCTGTTATCAAAATATAACATTTTTAAAAGCAAAATTCTTAAAAAGGAGATAACTCTTGAAATAAAGATGCAAGACGTCATACATGATGTGAGTGTTACAAAGAACAATTAGGAATGAATGTGTTGATAATGAATGTTTATTTTGAATTTGAAGTAAAAGAAAGTTAAAACAATGAATAAGAAAAATTCAAAGTTTAAGGAGGAGATAATTCTGGAAATATGGATGCGAGATTTATAAACCTTGTCATATTATGTGGGAGTTTGAAGACAAGCCTATAATGATTGAAGAAGTTGGAGTAAAAATTACCAATTTCTTGAAAAAAAAAGTTCAAAAGGGGCATAATTCTGGTAATATTCTTGCTATAGTATTGAACTTTCTCACAAATGTTGAGTGATAATAAGAAACATAAATATAAAGTTTGAAGTAGATACATTCAGAAATAAAGAAGTTATTAAAAAAAGTTTTCTTTTCATGAAACTTCTAAGTTCAAGGGAGGAAATTCTGATAAATTTTGTGCTAGAGTTGTAAACCTTGTCACATATGATGTGGTTGATGGCTAGAAACTTATATTTTAAGTTTGAAGAAAATACCTTAAGAAATAAAGAACCTATAGTGAAAAAGCGTAAAAACTAGAATCAGAAATCTTGAAATTCAGTATATTTGTTGCCATAGCAACCATAATTATCAACATAGGAAGAAAAGGATGTGCATAATCTTCAGACTGCCATCTACCTATATTACAAGTTTCATAAAAATATTTCCCGTTCTTTTTGCGTTATCACTGGATCCAAGTGATATGTAAAATTTGTCATATTTTTAGTCTATTTGTTGCCATAGCAACCCGAATTTCAATATAGGAAGAAAAGAAAAAGATGTGCATAATCTCCATACTAACATCTATCCATATATAAATTTTTATAAAAATATTTTCAGTTCTTTTTAAGTTATCGCGGGATCCAGTCTTGTGGACGTACGGACGGACTGACGGACGGACAGACGGACGGACTGACGGACAGACGGACGGAGGGTAAACCTAAAGTTCCCTCCGGTAAACCGATAGGGGAATAAAAAGCAAAACCATATTTTGAAATGAATAAATGGGGACATGGTGATGGTTTAGGTTTTCGTCTATACTCGTCTGCAGACCAATTGCGATTCTAAAATTTGAATATCAATGAAAATGTGTACCTACATACATGAACATACATATTTGGTGTAGAGTCAAATCAATGAGTGACTGCATATACGTTGAGAGCAAAATGATAACGTACTGGCGTGCCTTGATTGTTCATGTTTACAGTATCATTTTTTTGAAATCAGGTACGTGGTTAAATGGAATATTTTAAGCAATTTATAAAGCAACTCACCTGGTTTCCAGTTGTCCATACAATTTCCACAGAAAAAGCATGCAGCTTTATCTCCAATTCCTGTAAATTTGAACAAACAAAGTACACATCTAGACAATTACACAGATTGTAAAACTATTCAAACTTGACCTTATCTTTCATATCTGTGTCACACATAGTTCCATGTATAAAACATTAATTACGAAACACGTACATCTTATGAGATATCAATAATTACTTTCTTCCATATTTCTAACCACATTATAATTGATAAGATATAAACAATATCATCTATGTCTTTAACGGATTCGATATTGTGTCAAATGATTATATAATAAATATACCTGTGTAATACAAGCCGGCATCCGCCATTGTGGCAGGGGATAGATATTCGTGTGGCCATGGGGGATATCGGGGATCTCGGAAGGTTCTAGCTCTAACATCTCTGCTTGATAGACCAGCTGAAATAAAGCTTTCAAACTCTCTCAGATAAAACGGATCATTTGCAAAGTCATCCAGATGCTGTCCTTCACTTTGTTGTTGATTAATAACATTGAGGTTTAAACTCCTTGTCAACAATGCTGTACTTTCACCACCTGAAAGTTAAAGATTTTAGTATAAATTTTATATATATCTCATAATGTATACTTTATTGATAAGTGTATCCTAAAATAAAAATTGAAAATCTAAAAATAACAGTTTTCATAATGTTCTCCATCTATATCATTTAATTTTCAACTGATTATAATCTGATAATACAAACATATGTTTGTCAATGAATATAGTTAGTTTACTTTCATTTTTATCCAATATTTTCTTTATAAGCATTATGGTTACATTACAAAAGCCATAACAATATCAATCTTAAAGTGAATATACACTTGCTGCATTAGTTATTGTTAATGATAACGATGAAATGATACAACCTGAAAAAACACGAATATTGTACAAAAAATATGTGAAAGGATTTGTACATGTACTCACCATCAAGGTAATAGCATGTTGGTTCGACTTGTCTTTCTCCATTGTTTCTACTCTGAATATGCAAAGCATACTTATAAATATATAAAAATTAATTTGAGCATTATTGTACCAAAAGAAATACTTTTATACTTTTGACTTTTAGCAGCAATATCATTGTTACCCTTTCTAGTATTTTAGTACATATATGCCTCATTTAATTATGATTAAAATACCTCATGGTACTTACATATTGTTTTGGCACAGAACTATATCATTTACCTGGTTTTATTAAAAGTTAGACTTTCATTTTTAAAGTAAGATCGAATCTGACCTACAGCATATTTATAGCTTGGTTAATTTTCAGAGCAGATTAAAATGCTTTAGGTCCTTCAGATCCACCTAGCCGGGACAAGAAATATATTTGTAATTTTTTAAATGAGAAGATGAAACTCACGAGGTATTCGTCCACCAGTAAAGCTGGAACGTCACCAAATGACATATGCTGTGTTGGTATGACGTAAAACCCAAAAAAAACAAGAATAACAAACTGTTATTGACCACTGACCTTGTGACCCCAATATAGATATGGATCTTTTATTGAATATACGCAATCATCCTATGACATTTGAACACTGTTTGACCCTAAATCAATTGGACATGGCTATTCATCCTATAAAATTTTACAGTTGTAGGTTGATTAATACTTAAGTTATTGAGCGGAAACCGTTTTCAGTTTAAGGTTATAGTGACATTGACCTTTGACCTCGTGACCCAAACATTAATAGGGGTCTTCTACTCAATATTGACAATAATCCTATGAAGTTTGAACACTGTCTGCCAAATGGAATTAAAGTTATGCTCCAGAAACCTGAATTTTCAGTGTAAAGATCATTGTGACCCTGACCTTTGACCTTATGACCCTAAAATCAATAGGGTTTATGTATTGGACTTGGTTATTCAGCCTATAAAATTTTACAGCTGCAGGTTGATTGATACTTAAGTTATTGAGCGAAAACTGTTTTCAGTTTTATGGTAATAGTGACCTTGACATTTGACCTTGTGACCCCAAAATCAATAGGAATCTTCTACCTAATACGGACAATCATTCTATGCAGTTTGAATATTGTTGGCCAAATGAAACGTAATTTATGCTCCGGAAACTGTTTTCAGTTTTAAGGTAATAGTGACCTTTACTTTTGACCTTGTGACCTCAAAAACAATAGGGTTCTCCTACCTAATATGGACAACCATCCTATGAAGTTTGAATATTGTGGGCCAAATGGAACTTATGTTATGCTCTGGAAACTGTTTTCAGTTTTAAGGTAATAGTGACCCTGCCTTTGACCTTGTGACCCCAAAATCAATAGGGGTCTTCTACCCAATATGGACAATCATACTGTGTAGTTTTCATATTGTGGGCCAAATGGAACTTAAGTTATTCTCCGGAAACCAAATTGCTAACGTAAAGCGGACAGGCAGACGGACGGACAGACGCCAGGGGGTATAACATAATATGCACGAAATTATTTCGGGCATATAAAAAGTCAATGAAATAACTTAATACTAAACCTGGATATTATTTCCAATATCAGAAAATTATTTATGGAAAATAAGTTTATTATTTAAGCTAAGGAAAAGATCTACTTACACATGTCAAATTGGATAGGCCAGGTACTTCGCGATGATCGTCCTGATATTTCAAATTGATAAAGCTGGCACAAGCTTGCTCAAACTGACTGCTGCCATTTTCTAAATTTGGCAAGGACTCTGTTGAGCTATCTCTCTCACGTCTTAAATTATGAAAAGTTCTTAGGCTGATAAAATCGTCAGGGTCATCATTTCTAAAATCATTATGTCTTGTTGAATTATCATCATTTAGACCGCAAACTCTCAGTTCTTGCACACCGATATATGTGTAAGTGTTGCTTTCATTTCTATCAAGCTCTGGTGCTGGTGTCCTTGAAGAGTTGAATCCATTTTGCGTTACATCTCTGGTTGCATTCCCGGTAATATTTGGTTGTGGCAAGTCTGGTTCATCTGGTGGTATTGGTGGAACATACGTTGGACGACCACGATCTCCAACTGCATACACGAAACCATCATTTTGCCATGAATTGTTGTAAAGACCCTTAAGACACCGAGAAAGATCATCTTTATATAAATCAGACAAGACCTTTAACTTGATTGATGGATGATTATTTGGCGGATGCCCCTGCATATCAAAGGTAAGTATTGCGGTTATGCCTAACGCTAACAAGACAATAATAAAAACCAAGGATAAGGAATAGCTACACGTGGTTTCTTTCAATCCTTCCTTCGTTGCATTCTCAATTTCTTCTTCTTTTTGATTTGGCTCCTCAGGGTAAATATCAGAGGATGAATTTGTTTCATCATTCGAGGAATCATATCTTTTCTCGGTATTTTCTGTTTGTACTTCAAGTGTGTCAGGCCCCTTTTTCACGATATATGTCTTCCCAAACTCTGTATGCTTTCCTGTTCTTTCATTACATCGGTAAGGATATTCAGTTGCTTCAGCATGTGGCTTCCTATCAATAGCTTCATTTTCAATTAATTCTGAACATTCGTTAATGGAAAATGGAACCTCGAATGTGCTTAGGTTTGGTATTTGCGAACCACTGTTTCGTGTATCCACGATTCTTTTATCCTCTACAGCAGACTGTGTATGACATTCATTTTCACGACTAAAGATAGGTGGTTCAGTTGGAATCTCATTTCTAATTTCTTCCTCATTACAATCAACAGTGTCGACACAATTGCCGTCTTTTAGCTCATTGTAACTTTGCTTATTTGTTTGATTGTAAGTGTCGCCATTGCTTTCATCATTTTTTTCCTGATTCTCAGTTTTAGAGTTTATTTTATCTGAATCTATGTCTTGCCTTTCATGCCAGTATTGTGTCTCACAATACGTATCATCTATACTATCGTTTAACTCAAAATAGGACCGTTCTGTTTGTCGCAAATCTGCATCATCTTTGTCTTCGTATTCTTCACCGTCACCTTCCTGTCTTTCATTAAATGTGGAAGATGGTTCCTCTTCATGTCGTTCTGTATCCCCAATACCTGAATTATCGTGAGTTGTTTTAAAAGCCATCTGTAACCTGAAATAAAAAAATATTGAAAATAGCACTTCATCATCAGTTCGGTTAAAATTTATGAAATAATATACTCATAAAAGTAATAGTGGACTTGCGATCTCATGCTAATAAAATTTTGCCATATCAGCTCGAACGATACAATCCATAGGATCAGCACACTTATGTATTTCACTTTATTATATATCATGTGTAATATGCGTGAAGAAAAAACAGAAAGAAACGGTAGAAATATGTTTTCCTCCTAAGAATAAACGTAATGATACAAATTCAATGCACAATCTATCCTGACCTGAGAGATAAATGGAAAACGCAGACATCGATCCTGATGTATGAAGGGCATAATTGTATTTTTAATGTATTGATATAATATTACACGAATAACAAGATGAAAAATATTTTTGGTAAAATCAATGCGAAAAGCACCTATGGAGCTGCTTATCTAGTCTTCAATCGCAGGTTAAATTTGGTATACAAACTATATGGTTACCCAGGGGTTTTCCTTTCAAAATCATAATTTGTCAACAAAACTAAATGATATTAAAGAAAATGCTGTTAAAAAAGTTAATGAAACTGTAGAATGCATGGATTTTAAGCCGACGCTAAAACTATTGAAGCGTCCAGGGCTTCCATAGTAAAATATTTTTTATATATTTATAAAATGCACCTTGACAAATTCTATCAAACTCTGTCTGAATTTTCTTTATCTAAATAAAGAAATGTAACGCACTGTATTTTCTTGTAAAGGTATATACCTTGTTCCTATCGGACTAAATAAGGATAAGTAAGTACTTAGGAGAGATTGAAGTTTAACTACATGTTTTAGCTTGTGTTAAAGTAAATAAAACATAATGTAAGTTGCAAAAGGACAAACTCATGAGGATTAGCTCTTTAGCAAAATAAAATATATAAAAATATCAGACGAAAAACTGTTTGAAATAGACCTACGGATACTCTCCTGCGCATCGGTCGAATGTTCCACTATCGCTCACTTTCGGAGCGTAACCAACGGAGTATAAGTATGGCCACTGAAAACTTTTGACCGAAGATAAGATTTAAAGACAGAGAAACTAAAAGTTAAACAATAGTGATAACATGTTTCTTGCCATAGCCACAAAACTATTTCATTTAATATTTAAAGGTGTGTTATTATACTTAAGGTACACCTGAAATATTTCAAAAAAAGTATACAATTCAATATGTCATTTTATCCACTACATTAGGTCAAATACAGTCAAGTAATGTATTGGGCTGACCGATATATTTAAGTTCTCCGTTTACTTAACTATAAATATAATACTATAAATAGAATAGAACGTGTTAAATACAGTTTTAAAAAAAAATAACAAGGGAAAAACACAAAATTATATTGCATGCACTTTGATGATAACAGACCTTTTCAATACAAATGATACAGAAAAACAACATATTTCACATGAGAACAGATGAAGCATTTTAATATGAGGCTTGCTATGGATGAAATCTGGTAAAAAAAGCTTTGAGTTTAAGGTTAGAATTTATCTATTTTATGTTCCTTTTGATATAGTTTACAATTATCTCCATCAAAAGTTACTTTCACACGTAATTTGTATACGTGTATGTTGTTTTATATTCACATACATCAGCGCAGAAAAAAAGAGATCATTGTGAATAAGCAGGTAATAAACAACACAGTGCATATAGGATAGTATTTTTTAAATACTCTTGTAGAAATTCATTGTTTTGTCGAGTGTCGAGTTTTTTAATTTTTTTTTTTTTTTGGGTTCTTGTTGATATTGATCTATTTATGTTTTTGGTCTCACATTGGTCTTGATTATTTCTGGGATTACCCATATATGTATGTGAACCTGTGCAATGTGCTTCTAGATTTACGATTTTGTTTATAGCAAATGCGAGCATCGAATGTCCAGTGAGATCTCTTCTTGCATCTTCAATGGTTCTCACTATTTATTGGCGATTTTTTGTCACATCCTCTGCTAAGAATGCATTAAAGTGTTTAGATTTATTCTCTTTTGGGCAAAAAATAAAACACAAACAAACGCAATGCTATACTTTTGAACTTTTGAATTTACACAACAACTGTCATGGTGCGTAATCGTTCCGGGCTGATTTGGAATATTATCCCGTTCCTGAACTGATTTGGATATATTGGCACCAGTTGATTCAGATAAAATGGAAATTTAGCTTGACAAATTAAGAAAATATATAAAATAAACACATTTATATCTTTTAGTCTTTGATAATCTACTTGCACGGAACATTGCAATGCTTAAGGAATTCATATACAAATTAATATGGTTTGTAAACGGTCTTTTATGAGTTGGGATCGAAAAACAATTTTCACATGTCAGTGAAATAGTAGCAAACACTACCATAAAATTGCCAAAAAAGTCATTACTATCTATGATTTTCCAGGTATTTCAGGATCATAGAAAAAATGTTTCATGTGCGATGGTGGGTTAAGGAGATGGGACGAAGATGATGACACCTGAACGGAACACGGTCGCTGGTTTCCGGATTATGCGTATGCCAGACAAAAGAAAGGTGACGAGTAAAAGCCTCGGCCGAATATAATTCAGAGGTAAAATTTATTTTTACTTATCTGTATATAAAAAGTTTTTTTTTTTAATTTTCTTCTTGTGCAAATCAGGTCGGGATAATACCTTGAGTATTACAGTATTACAGATACATAATAAATTTAATTTTTCTCTTGAATTTTATATGTACCTAATTGTTTACTTTACTCTTTTTTTTATTAACGTGAGTGAAATGATAATTGCTTTGATATTTGCCTAAATGGATCAGTTAATAATCTTCTCGGAACTGTTTAGATCAAAATCATAAACTTGAGGTATTAACAGTATAGTTCATTTCAAAAGCCGACCTTATAACTTTTTTTATAAAAGCTGAACATCATACCTTGTTTTAAAGGATACGGTCGTGCTGAATGGAAATTTATTAAGAAAATAATTGATATTTTTGCACGTGATATTTGTGAGGCAAACTCCTGTCATCTGTACACGAGCACAAATGACGGATCTCATCCAATGCTTAATAAGCGAACCCTTGACCAGGGTTGGAAACATTAAATATATTGATATTAAAGCTACATTTAACTTTTTACAGTCTGATTTTTTTATTATACGATTTAACTGAATTCATTCAGTACTCAAGAAATAGTACGGAAAGGAAATATTAGTTTTATCACAGAAAAAAAAACCAACAGAAAACAACAAATAACAAAAACCAACGTGATTCTTAAATAACTATTGCCGAGGTTTTTTGCTGCGGCGAAATTTCCTCATCATGTCTCTATAGATCAAGATAACTGTGAACGATGGGAGATCGCATTTTCAAACGGGTCATCCATCAATCTCAAGATATTACCCATAAATCACTGACCGCCATACAGTTACCAATCCTGTTACAAACAAGCAGGAAACTTTGTCAAACACAATACCTAGGGAAACCCAGACTGCCACACGTAGACCGACACCTCCACCAATACATGCGGATTACATTTGATTATTATGGGCGACGACTTCGATCTTTTGCGAGGTGGACACGTTCTAATCCAGATCCCGTATGCTTGTCTGAAGCAGGATTTTTCCATACAAGTTAGTTATTATTTAGTCATTGCTGTTACAGTAATGTCTCTTTCATAATGAAGACATGTAAAGTATCCGTTAACAAGAAAAATACATACTTGTTAATGTTATTCCTTGCCCTAAAAAGAAAGGCGTTAACAAATTTGCCAAACTAATAAAAATTATCGATTTGTCTTCATCTGACACTTTCAGATTTTTTGCCTTTTCTTTGCTTTTAATTTGGATGTATGACCAACACGAGAAGTTTTTAAACAATTTTCATTTAAAGTCTGTTGTCATTATCGTATCGTTTTTGATTATCAAAATAGTTTGATTTTGAAAAAAAAGAGACACAAAATGTCATGATATCATTTATTATATTGCAGATCAAAGCGACTTGGTGCGTTGTTTCCAATGTGGAATAAGCCTGAAAGACTTTACTAGAACATGTCCGATACTCTGCGGACTGTTATTACCCCCCAGAATACTTAGGACCTGTAAGATTATCAACAATAAAGGTATGATTATAGTCCTTTTTAGTTGTACCGGATTTCGTTTTACATTTAAGTCATGTGTGCGATACCGGGAGATGCTTGTTTGTTTGTTTGATTTTACGCCTTTTTCCAACATTATTTCAGTCATATAGGGGGGTAGTTTCCTAACTATCGACCCTGGAGAGTTACACCAGTACTATAATACCTTCCTCCGCGCAAAACTACCAAAGCATTTCCCGGGGATAGAACCCACGCAAGAGAGGTAACTGAATTAGAAGTCATCGACTTGAACTCCTCGACCACCTGGAGATGCAAAATCATGATAAAGATATAGAACTTACACAGAACAAATTATTGAACAGACACGCAAGGCAGCTACGAAAGATCATTTACCCTTTTTAGTCGTCTCCTGTACTTTCATTAACCAAATAAATTAATACATGTATGCGAAACTTCTGGCGAAATAGTAATGTAAAGAGTTCTATGTTAGCAATAAGTCCCTTCATGCAAAGGAGGTATTGAACATTGTATCATTATTTTCATTGTAACTATTTGTGTATGTATATGTAGTTGTGTTAAGAAGTCAACCTGCAATGATATTATATGATATGATATGATATATTTGACTTATCATCTGTGACATGGTTTGTATAACGCCAGTGGACATAATGCACATTATTTCAAACGTGCACATTGTTTGAATACAACCAAAACCCTTTGTCCATGTATAAATAATGTTATTTTTTATATTGAGCCTTAATGATTTTGTTTAAAATGCTAAGGGTTTTTTAATGATTAGTGAATATTTCAAACGAATATATCCATGTTTAGTAAACATATATTCTTTTCAGAACAAATGTGGCGAACAAGATAAAGAAAAAGCGATCCCGAGAAACAATATTCAAAGTAAGTTAACAGATGATTTTAAACATATCATATGTGTGAATGTAAAGAACACCTTTGTGACACACTGAAAAAAATATTGATATTGACGCTTGTATAGTATCTATGTATAAAGATATTTGTTCAGATTATCATATTTCTAAATTTATAAGATCACTCAATGAAATCATGATTTTACGATGAAATTGATGGATAACATTTTTCCCATTTAGGTTGTCGCCACCCGGAGCTAAAGACATATGAAACGCACCTTTTATCTTTTTCAAGAATTGGCCGAGACATTTATCCCAGAAACCAGAAACTTTGGCAAAACCTGGGCTTTTCTACCTTGGTAAATATATTTTCTATAGTTATAGTCTTTTACGTTCAGTCTTGTTTACCTTTAACAGATGTATGCTTTTAAAAAAATTTGAATTTCTAGAAGGCAAAATATACGAAGAACACTTAATTAGCTATTTGAAGAATATAAGATAATGTTTAATATGCTAAAATTTGTTGTTGGCAAATTATCTCTTACTTTATGAACGATATAAATATGAATAAGTGAAAATTATAAAACAGGTTGATTTTATTTCATGCTTCCCAGTGTTTTATTGTAATATATCAGATGATTATATTCTGATAAACCACTAGTGAAATTTATAAAATATAATTTTCATTGTAGCCGGACTATATCTGAATGCGGATGAAAAGAAAATCATATATAACTAAATGGAATAACAGACAGAAATAAATGCTGTCATGCGTAAATTTTGCTTCTTTAGGAAAAGAAAGTCGATGTCACCATACATCATATTAAAAATGTAACAAAATTAGAGAAATTTAACAGAACTATTGATGATGTGACGTCATGATGTGATGACGTCACAAAGGAGAATGCGCGACGTTACGCGGCAAAATCAGTAAAAATACTTAAAATCACTTAAAAAGCATGAAATAAAAAAAGAAAATTTATTTGTTTTACATATAAAATTGAAAAATATTTCATTCGTGAACACCAGCTGTTATATTTTCACTCGTGGCTACGCCACTCGTGAAAATATTGCATCTGGTGTTCACTCAGTGAAATTATATTTCAATCTTATATGCAAAACAAACAAATATTCTCTATATCTTTCTACTTTGCTAAATACATATTTTTCAATAAGTCGCACTACTATTTTTTAGTATATATAATATGTTTATTGCCATTCCTAATCCATCCAGGCATTGAAGACCTTGTGCGCTGTTTCATGTGCGATGGTGGGTTAAGGAGATGGGACAAACAACAACAAACTACCAGACCAATTTCCAGGATATTTGGATCAAAATAGTGGCAACTATAGTGTTAATAAGATGTTTCTATTTTTAGCTCCTGTGACCTAGTTTTTTTATCTGAGATAACCAGTGTTCGATCTCATCCGAGCAATTACCTAGACAAGCTTCCTGACAAGGTTTGATGATGATTGAGTCAAAAATGCGACCACTAGAGTGTGAACAAGGATTTTCCATATTTGGGTGGTGTGACCTTGTTTTTGACCCAGGTGACCCATATTCGAACTTGACCTAAAAATTATCAAAACAAACTTGCAGACTAAATTTCAGGATATTTGGATTAAAACAATAGCCATTAGTGAGTGAACAAGAATTTTCTATTTTTAGCTCCTGTGACCTAGTTTTTCTTTTGAGATGACCCATGTTAGAATTCATCCGAGCAATTACCTAGACAAGCATCCTGACCAAGTTTGATGACAATTGAGTCAAAAATGTTACCACTAGAGTGTTAACAATTAAGGTTTTATCCATATTTGGGCGATGTGACCTAGTTTTTGACCCCAGGTGAGTCATATTCGATCTTGACCTAGAATTCATCAAAACAAATTTTCAGAATCACTTCCAGGATATTTGAATCAAAACAGTAGCCACTAGAGTGTAAACACGATTTTTTCTATTTTTAGCTCCTGTGACCTAGTTTTTCATCCGAGATTACTCATGTTCGCATTCATCTTAGCAATTACCTTGAAAGCATCTTGACAAATTTTGATGATGATTGAGTCAAAAAATGTGACCACTAGAGTGTTAACAATGTTTTTTCCGTATTTTGGCAGTGTGACCTAGTTTTTGACCCCAGGTGCCCAATATTCGAACTTGTCCTAAAAATCATCAAGTCAATTTTCAGACAAATTTCCAGAATATTTAGATCAAAACTGTTGCCACTAGAGTGTTGACAAGATTATTCTATTTTTAGCGCACGTGGTTTAGTTTTTAATCCGAGACCTAGATACGCATCCTGATGGTGAGTGAGGCAAAATTGTGACCGCTAGAGTGTTAACGAGCAAATGTGGACTGACGTCGGACATTCAACGATCCTGAGCAAACTCTTGCTTAAAATATAAACAGATTAAAATGTCAGAATATCAGCTATGTGCAAATTGTAAACAATTTGAAAACGAAACTACGTTACTAGTGTGTATTATAAACAAAATAATTAGACAAGTTTAACTCAACAAAAAAAAACTAAAAATGTTGTATTAATAAATTTACCTATTTGGTTGCGATGCCTTGAAATCCAATAATAACAATAATTGTAATAATATCTCATGTAAACATAACACTGTCAAATAACTTGGGGTTTTCCACTTTTAAAAAAAACGGAAGTAAAGGTTACTCAGAACGGTAATCACTGTTGTACAGCGTCCACCGGATAAAGCCCCTAAAACACCGAAAACGAAAGTAGAAAGCTTCATACCGATTACACCCAAGGTAGTGTTTAAACTTATTTCTTCATAATAACTTCATCGATTTTTCCAAACTAAACAATTTTGTGAAGCCAAATGTTCTGGTTTTAGAGCAATATTTGCTTTTGTCTGCAAATTGAATACTTTGTGTTATAGTCTGATTTTATTGACCTGTCAATTATGAATACATTATATAACTCATTTAAATATTCGATTCCACTTCGTTTCTGTCCGTGTAGATTACGAGAATTAATTTCGAATATGCAAGTAAGTTTTTGAATAGTCACGGTTGCTTTTAGTAAGAGTTGTTATCACATCCGCGATAGCATAGTTCATTGCGCATTTACCTTCTATGACGGAGGTCTGGAGTTCGAGCCCTATTATAGGTAAGTTTTTTTTTCTTCTTTTTGCGGCATACATGTATTTTGTCGGAAAATAAACATTTGTGTAAACTAGTATTCACGGGATTTACGAAAAAACTCCCATTACAAGGGTGTTATATTACATATATGGGGACTTTGCTTAAGCATGTCTGAGGTGAACAATCTTAGCCATCTTGGCTCGAAAGCTAAACAGATTGTTTTAAATGTATACAATTACTTTCTGAAGCAACCAAAGGAAGATAACGGGTCGTGCATTGAGCGCACTGTTCGGGCGACCGGGGTTGGTAATAGGACTGTTTATAGAATTCGAAAGGAACATAAAGACAGAGGACCATTGAAATCTCCACAGCGGTCTCAGAGAGGAGATTATAAACCTCTAGATGACTTTGATACAACTTTAATTAGGAACAAAATCCATGAGTTTAATACGGTACGTCGACAGCTGCCAACACTAAGAAACCTCCATACAGTACTGAAAAACGACATTAAGTTTCCTGGAAGTGTATCAACTTTGAGGAAAGAAGTCAGACAGTTGGGCTTCCGCTGGAAGAGAACTTCAAACAACAGGAAAGTCCTTGTAGAGAAACCCTCTATTGTATCACAGAGGCTTTCCTTCTATATGAGGAAGAAAGAACTAGAAGATCTAGGATTTAAACTAGTGTATGTGGACGAAACTTGGGTTGATTCTGCATATTGTGCTAAACGATGCTGGCAGGGACCAAACGCACCAGGGGTATTAATGCCGTGTAATAAAGGACAGAGGTTGATAGTTGTGCATGCAGGATCGATAGATGGATTTGTTCCTGGGGCTCAACTTATTTATAAAGCCTCATCAAGTACAGGGGATTACCATCGAGAAATGAACGGCGAAAACTTTAAAAAATGGATGGAAACCCAGTTAATACCAAACCTTGACTGCCCGTGTGCCATAGTTATGGATAATGCCAGTTATCAGTCCGTCCAGACAGAGAGATGCCCCACATCAAACACTCGGAAAGAGGATATTAAGGTAGCTAGTCCTTTATACATTGATCTATAAAATAATCACTTGCTGTATACATGTATATGGTTTTCGTAAATTGATATCTTTGCTGTTTTATATTTTCAGATCTGGCTACAAAGACACAATATCTCTTTCAATGACGCCTTGCTTCGTCCACAGCTTCTAGAGTTGGCACGAATGAATAGACCTCCTCCAACATACGCCATTGACCAACTCGTTAGAGAAAACGGCCATGAAATTCTGAGGCTGCCACCATATCATCCCGATTTTAATGCAATAGAGATCATTTGGAGCCAGCTAAAAGACATTATTCGTAAAAGAAATACTACATTTAGGTTAGTAAATTTTTATGTTAATTCAAAAACTTGCGAATCAGACAATAATTTTTTAACAATTTTATACTTAATTCACAAATTGTTATATTTCAGACTCGGGGATGTTCAGAAGATAACTAATGATGCATTTGAAGAGATTGGTGCGGACAGATGGCTGAGTGCTTGCAAACATGTAGACGCGGTTGTTGAGCAGCACAAAAACAATGATCATGTCATAGACGATGTCATAGACTCAATTATTATAAATCTGGCTGATGACAGCAGCTCGGATTCTGACAGCAGCACAGACACCGCGAGCGAAATTGAGTTATAAATTTAGACCACTGTTTTGTATTGCATTTTAATTAATTAAACTGAATTGAATTGATTATAATGTGTTTGAATTTTAGATATTTGTCATTAAAAGATGGTATATGAAATAAAGATAACAGAATGAAAATATGTAAAACATATCATATAATAAAAAAATAACCAAATAATAATAATGATAATTATAAAATATTTAAATGCTCCATAATGGTTAAAATTACAAATAAAAAAATGGCCTTTTGCGGTCTCGAACTTACAAAATTTAGCGTTTGTAGATATTGTAAACCCGCAGTTTACGCTAAAGCGCCATAGCGCTCATCACTTTTAATTCACAGACATTTAATATATATACACCTCGTACTGATATTAAGTTATCGGAAATCTTACGGAAATGATCGAAAATTAATTTATCGTGTGCATAGACCGTATAATAAGTATATATTTGACAGGTTAATAAAATCAAACAATAATTTGGCGATAAAATGTAGCGCATTTGTTGACATTTGCGAACGATGTTGATATTTACCACTAAATCAAGCCCAAAACGCATTTGCTGTATCAAATTCCGCCGTTAATAAAAACTATAGTCATCCCTCTTCTTAAATTTGAGTTTTCCCCCTTCAACTCGAGCTGTTTTAACAAAATTTGCGAAAAACGGCCTTGCTTTGTGTACAGTCTAGCACGGATGTGTACGGGGTGTAAATGGAAAACTGTAGGCGATTGTACGGGATGTAGTAGGTAAACGAATGTCATTTTCTGCTAAATAAATTTTAGTATCAGAGGATATACGAGTACACGTACGCTGATGAAGAAAACGATTAATGTCGGGAGCAGGGATTGTAATGTGAATGATTTTTAATTTTATAAAAGATAAAATTGTAATCATGTTAAGCAACTTGATTATTAATTGCAGTAAACAGTTTCCGTCATGCTACACCACTTTTTATTCGTGACTTTAAGTAAATAGGAAAATCGTAAAACTCAAAAGACCACAATTTCATTCCATATTGGTAGACCATTATGTACGGCAAATTCTATAATTTGTCTTTAACAATTTTAAAACATGTTCGGGTTATGCATTGTGAACAAAACTTGACCTAAACTTAATTGTTATATTGGTTTATTATTTCACTTGTCTTAAGACTTCATTGAAAAACAAACATAATTATGTTAATGAGCTTTGGTAAAATATCCGCCTTGTTTAGTTAGGTTAATCATTAGATTTATCTTTTGGGGAAATACTATACTACTGGCTATAAAGTCTTTCATATTTTTTTGCAGTCAAACTCGGGTGACCTCACTTGAGGGTTCGATATTGTTTAATAAATACGATGCTGCCGGTTATGTTGCTGCTTTTTTTCTAAAAATTATCATGATAATTATGACTATTCAATTATGATGATGATGATGACGATGATGATTATGATGGTATTTTATGTTTTCAGTTCAATAATGCCATACCGATGCACAGAGTGTGCAAAGAGATTGGAAACATTTAAAGAGTCTATTCTGCATATTATTATCGGTATCTTCTAAGTCGACTAATAGATTATATAAGGTGGCTATTTAAAACTGTTTTTAGAGAAGGCAGTGCTAATGCCGTTATATATAATATATAAATCCCCATTCGGACCATTTCCATTCAGCGAGTTGGTTAAAAGACTCCTCAGCATGTATTATAGATACCGACAGACACTATTCAGATGATGGTATGACAATAAATATTAAACGCAACTATACTGTTAGGCTCAAAAACACTAAAAAGTTAAATTATTTACCAAATACCTCTGTATCGTCCTCTTATCTATCCATGTTTAGTATGAAATGAGATTATTTCCAATCAAAAAATGATATAGAAGACTATACTTTAAAAACTATTTGACTGCTAGACACTGTACCTACTACACCCGTTCACTTAAATTTGTTTTCTTTGCTAGACTCTGTACACAAGGCAAGGTCGTTTTCTGCAAATTTTGTTAAAAGCAGCTCAAGTTGAATGGTGTGAACCCATATTTAAGTAGAGGGATGACTGCAGTTTGTGTTAAACGGCGTATTTTGATACAGCAAATGCGTTTTGGGCTTGATTTAGTGGTAAATATCAACATCGTTCGCAAATGTCAACAAATACGTACGCTACATTTTATCGCCAAATTAACACAAAGTATTCAATTTGCAGACAAAAGCAAATATTGCTCTAAAACCAGAAACATTTAGCTTCACAAAATTGTTTAGTTTGGAAAACCCAATGAAGTTATTATGAAGAAATAAGTTAAAACACTACCTCGGGTGCAATCGGTATGAAGCTTTCTACTTTCGTTTTCGGTGTTTTTAGGGGCTTTATCCGGTGGACGCTGTACAACAGTGGTAATCGATTATTTGGTTCATTCAATTAATACAACATTGTCTATGATTTGTGCGTTTTTATATAAAGAATATTATTAAACATCGTAGATTCTATATCATCATTTTTAGTGTACACTATCTCAAGATACACGGCAAGAAATGTTATTTTTATGAGTGGGGCTTACATGAAAGAGCCTTTCCCTGTATGCTTCTTGTAGCCAAACCTACATTTTTTAGATAATGCGATTTCTCAATTCAGTTTCTCAAAAACGTCTCCAAGCAACAATTTCAGAGTTGTATATCTAATATTAGTGCAAACCCTCTTGACTCTTTGAAGAATAATTTAACTTTCTAAATATCAGAAAATAAAGGGATTTTTAATTAGAACACCATCGTTTAGAAAAAATAGACTCAAATTGCCACCGTTGAGGTTTACTCACTGTACGATTGCTAGCATTATCTGTAAAATTATGATCAAATTTGATATTCGAAAAAAAACGTGATTACTATACAGTCTTTTGAAATGTAAAATAAACATCTTTTGAATACACATAGAGAAGATATCTATGTATTGGATACAGTACGAGTTTTTCTTCAAAAGTGTCTTCTTACTGACGTAAGAAGACAGTTCGCTAGGATAAACAACAAATTGTCCGACTTATACGACGTTTAAGTGTAAAGAACAGATAGATTAATGAATACATTTAACTATAAATAGATCTTATTGAAATCAAATGTATGTTCACATTGAGAATATAAAACTAAAGACAATATTTGCATGGCCTTTAAGTTTTGGGTAGTGAAAGGTGTAGGTAAATTGCATACGCACGGAATTTTCGTGCACTTATTAAATCTGAAAGAATTCACTTTCATTCATGATAAACATTGTTGATATGGCTGCCCTCATCAGAGAGATCTTTTATTCAACATTGAAACCGTCTCTGAACATGTTTAGTGTCAATGTTATATGGATATTGTTTGGGACCCCAAATTTTGGTAAGTTTCCTTATTCACATGCTTAACTTAACGCCGTGTTCAGCTGTAGATAGCCGATGATTTTTGTGGATGGGGGGGGGGGGGCTTGGACAGTAAATGTTATATTAATGTTATGTTTTATAGATTCATTGCTCGATGCCTATGAGGTGCGCTATCAAGTTTTCTACATTTTCCGTCTTTCCGGTTTCTATGGTGTTCTGTTTGAGATGAAAGTTAACATATCGCCTGTTACAATTTAAGATTAACCAAATCTCTTGTTTACGCTCAACTATTCGAAAAATAGGGAAAGCTATTGTAATTGTGAACTTTGACGGAATTTTGGCCCTTTTGAATTAGAAAATTTTACATAATTCAGGCTCTTGTTTAATTATCAAGCACTAAGAATAGTCGAGCACACTGGCTCTTGTTAACAAGATAAGTAGCGAGATTTAACATTCTCTCTCGAAGAACTTTCACCATAGGCACTTCTATTGTAAATAAGTTACAGTTCAGAAAGAAACATGCGAAATTTAAGGTTAATCATCGCAAAGATTTCTTAATTTGATTCGCACGAGGATTAAAGTATGAGAAAGTATAAGCATGAGACAAATTCAACGTTGAATGGTGCGAAAAGTTTCTTGCGTGAATGTAAAATCTTCCTACTTTATCTACACAAATAAGACTTTAAAAACATGTCAATAGGAGTCCTTTAATTGGGCCAAACTGGCAACCGTGTATTTCAACTGTTTTAAATCCACGGGGAAAGTAACGGTTATTTAAAAGTGTCTTCTTACAGACGTAAGAAGACACTTTTTGAATAGCTCTGCTGGGGGTATAGTCGTATAAATGTTTTAAACTGTACACACTACAGGTTATAATAGTATGAATAAAAAAACTGGCAGGTTTTATAAGAATAGACCAAATCGATTTGACAAGTGGAAGAGAATGCAACTTCCCAAACATAATTTATTAATTCACATATTCAATTTAGATATATTTGATAATAATTTATTAGATTTCAATAATTGTCTGCAATAAAAGTATTTACTTAAAGATTAGCATAGTATATCTTTAAAGAACCTGTATAAAATGTTCATGTTCAAATCGTTGCAAATAAAATTTCCTCGTAAGTAATCGGAAAGATGATGTGCGATTTTCGCAAAACAGATTTAGCAACATTTAGCAATTATATAAGTAAATTCAATAAGCATGGATGATATAAGGTCTATTTCATTTTCTTGGATTGACACTGATGTTAACTATTCGAAGTATTATTTTACTACGCTAGTCTAAAATGCTTCAATTAATATACTTTTATTCTATTTCGCTACACATAGATTCTTATTTGACAGTCAGTGTTTCCAAATATTTCGGCCTTCCCTGTCGTAAGATTGAATTTACATGTTAAAGAAGGTACATCATGTTTTAATGTTGGCATGTTGATAAGTAATGTATGTATGCAGTCTGATGTTATAAGTAACCTAAGTCATCATTTTGAATAACTAGCAATGACATGTAAAATTCCCAACCGCGAGATTAACCAGATCTTTAAATTCCCATTAAACGACTCCCTCTTTGATTGGCTTTACCCTGACTCTTGAGAGGCAAATAAGAATTTTATTGCTTATAGAACGTTTTGACAATTTTCTTAACAGTTCAAGCTGTTTGAACGTAACAAAATGACAACCTGAATGTGCTTTGTGTTTACATTATATCAAGAGCTTTCGGCGCCGTTATCGTAAGCCCTTACAATGGATATCGGCCTAGTACATCAATGTTCACCTAGTACACCTAGCTTTTGGTGTCGCCAGACATTTCCTAGATAGAAAAAGCTCGTACTCAACAGAATGGACAAATAGAACAGTTTCCTGTCGAAATTCTTGACATAACGTTATAAACATTGGTTTCTTCAGTTATTTTATTCAAACATATTTATTGATTCAATAATACGCTAAGAAGATATGTTCATTTAGAATTCAGACTGTACAAAAACAAGTAAAATACTTTATATAATACATGTATATATAAATGCATATTTTTGATTGCACAGTCATACTTTAGTTTTGTCTCATTCATATGCATACATTTTATACATATATAAAAATATTCACATAAAACTTGCATACGACAATTCTTTCTTTCAAGAGACATGTATATTCAATGAGAATAGTATTCAAGACATGTAATATCTAGGTAAGAATCATATAGTTCAAAAACAATGTATATAAACAGAAAATTAAAAGTTAGGTAACCATTGCTAATAGATAACTAAAACTGCCCTAATGGAAATTAAATCGTAGCCCTAAGCGCGTGTAAAACATTTTAAACGAACGACTGATATTGAATGAAATGATGAACAATGATTACCTAAACCTAGGTAAAATACATTATTATGTTTAAAGCAAGTACAATGGCATTATTTACAAAGAAATCAGATGACGTTGTAGAATACTAAAACGAGTTTAACAGTAGAATACTAAAACGGGTTTAACAGTAGAATACTAAAACGGGTTTAACAGTAGAATACTAAAACGGGTTTAACAGTAGAATACTAAAACGGGTTTAACATGTAATGGTTAAAGCGATGGTGCCGCAGTCTTCGGCGGTGCATTTCAATATAACTTATATATATAACGGTTTTTGGACTTGTTGATTTAAATATAAAAATTAAAAAAACTATATCAAAACATACAAAAAAAGTAAATTAATTTTATAAGTAGATCTATGTGTTTATATTATAAACTATTAAATACTTTAAATAAATACTGAAAATAAATAATTATAACACGTTTACGGAGTATTATACAACAGAAATTATTGTATCACAAAAATGTTTAAAATATTATAAAAAAAACTTCCATAAGCTCCACCACGACAATTCACTAAATAGTTAACTTAATGCAAAAAATAGATAGATAAAACATCCAGCGAAGCATGAAAAAATATATTGTTCTTATACATGCGTATTTGACTTTAACGTTAAACTACACAGAGATCAATTATATACTGGCTCCCTTCTGCCCATTAAAAATATCAATACTTTTAAATATCAATCAATATTAAAGGAAAACCCATTGAGCCGTTTCACATGTAAAAACATATTAACAGCTACAAGCTGCGCATATCCCTCGCTATATTAGATAGAAACATCGCTTTGTCCCGGTAGTGCACTGACAAAATGAAAATTAACCCTTTTCTCTATAACATTTTCGATTACACAAAATGAAAATAATAAACATGAGTTTAGTCAGGCGAGGAACTAGAACAAGCTGATAAACATTTTCATGGAAATATGTTGTCAAGTTTCATAATGTACTTGATGAAGATCTAATTCTTTCATAGATAATCATTTGTAGCACCGAGTTTAATAATAATGTTAATATGTCGGCCTGAATACTATCTTAGAGAGGACCTTTCATATATATATATATATATATATATATATATATATATATATATATATATATATATATATATATATATTATATTATATATATATATATATATATATATATATATATATATATATATATATAATATATATATATTTGAAAGGGCCTCTCTAAGACAGTAAAATGTTTATGCTAATATCTTGAATTTCACAGAAGTAAATGCCTCTTTTAGCAACGATTTACTGACCGAAGTATCAAAATACTCGTATATACATGTACTTAAAAAAACGAGAATAAATATCAAAAAGGCAAAGGCAAAGTTCACAAGACGCAACCCCCGACACACAACAGCGGGGCACCAAGAAGGCACCGAACCAAAACGGGATTGGACACATAGTCGGCGAAAGGAGGGGAGGGACTTGTAAATAGTGAAATGGTAAGAACTTAAAGGGGCCCATACGGAAATTAAATGAACAAGGTGTTTTAGGGGGAAAGGGGGGCAGGACACAAAATGGGATAACTGTCACATTCTACAACTTCTGTGCAACTTATTTCGGTGAGGATGAACTATTTCAAAAGCTGACGAATAAACATATTTGTTATTCATTAGTTTTAACAGACAACATTTCTAAAACAGTTGTCTAATTATATGAAAAGTAGCGAAGTTTCAGCACTCCAGCATATTTAAAAACATTCATTCAGTTATCCTAAACATAAGTTATAGTGGCATGTCATGTCAATACATTGTCACACCGTGTCGAAGATGGTAAAACCGGAACATTATCTAGTCGTGCGTGCGATACAACTTGTAAGTCTGTATCAGCAACTCTTCTCACCGTCTCTGTCAGCTGAGAATTTGAAACACTAATGAATTCAGTAGAAGATACAGGTAGTCCAGTGTTGCTATTTCTTCTGTTAGAATGGAGTTGCTGCATATTCTCGACGTTGCTTATGAAGCCATCTCCATTACTAACCCTGTCACTAACCTCTCCTGAAAGTAGTGTATCTGCAAAAGCTGGCCTCCAATTAATACCTAAATCTTCATTGTTTAGTGTCCTTGGTAAGTTAGGTTCTGGTAGTAAAATCATCTCATTTCCGAATGTAACTGGATATACGACATGTTCTCGAACCGATTGGAATGTCTGATTCCTTGCGTTTTCCATGTTAAAAAATTCTGGGTTTAATGTCTGGAAAAATAATGTGATTACAAAGACAGTCTGGAGAGAGAAATTATATGACACATTTCTTTTAAACTTCCATGCAACAACGACATTTCGGACAATGCTATCAACAATGCCTTTCATCTTTTTGTATCTTCATCTGTACTGATTTTAGATTCCTTAACTTTGTTTTCATGAACTGTGCCTTGCACGTTTTCTTCTTTCATTCCTTTATTATGTTCTTTATCTTCATAAACACTTCTTGCACCACATTCATTTACCTCAGATTGAGTATTATTTCTGTTCGCCTCATTTATTGTTTTTGCTGTCTTTTCTTTGCATGGCTTATTTTCGTCACATACTAAACCCTCATTTTGTAGTGGTCTTATTGACGGAATAATTATTTCATATTTTTCAGTATCTAAATGATCAGAATACTTCTCAGTATCATTATCGATTCTTGTTTGTTCATGTTTACCAACAATATAATGATAATCTGTGTAACCACCAAATGACTGTTCTAAATGCTTTTCATCCGAATCAGAATTTGTATATTCTTCACTCATAGATGTCTCTGGTTGTCTGAGAGCTGTTTTCAGACCGCCCAAATTTTGTTCAATACATTCATTTTCCTCATTATTTGGAGCTGCTTGCTCCTGATATTGTCTACTACTAGTTAAAACTTGTTCATTTTTTTCATCGCCCCTTTCAATTCTTCTGGGCTTATAAATGCTACCAGGGTATTGATCTGTATCAGGAAGTGAGATATCTGGTAGGTTAAGTGATTCATTAGCATTCTTTTCAAGTTTGTCGTCTGCAATCAATTGCGTATCACTTTTTTCTACACATTGCCCTTTCGATTTAATTTGCTGTTCGGTTTGAGATAAGTTACGATGGGGAACTTTAATTGCATTTCGTAAATCAACATCTAACATTTTGTCTTTCAACATCTCATCATCGCAGTTCGGCTTTACAACAGTTATTGATGAAGAGCCATCAAATTTTCTTTCGGCTGTCCTGGCCTCTGAATTGTAGCGCTCCATAGTAAGGTTTATTTCTTGACTCGTTGCCATATGTAATTTTGAATGTCAAACGACTGTAATCATATAAAGTACGTTATTTGTTTGATAATTTTATAAGGAGTTTCTTCTAGAAAAAATAAAATATAACAGGTTTTGTTTGACTGATTAGGTAAGGAATAAACATGATCATGATCATATGATAAAACAATTACTGACTAACGATCGTTTAATATGATGCGATATTTAACGGATATATATATTATATTCTAATGGCTATCGGCTCTGTCAATATGACATTTACTGTTGAATATCGTCATATTCAATGCCTCACAATAATTGTATAATAGTTTATGCTGTATGGTCATTGAATGCGAGTCTGATTCTATTTAAGATATGTAAAATTCAGCCAGTGAATTTGATGCTAAACCCTGAAATAATTATTATATATTAGGGACAATGGCAGCTATCTTTCTAGGGGTGAATGTAGTTGACATTTGAAATCGAAACTAAATTGTTTTTTTTCCGTTTTGTGCACAACACCTTTCCTAAAGTATGAATAAATAAATTAAAAAACAACAACATTTTTTTACCTACTAACGAACGTCGTTAAATGTTTTTCTATCAAGATCTTTGTTGTTTTTTCATTTTTTAAAAAACACACAAAAAAGACATTGAAATCGAAAATGAATTTCCAGTATATCTAATTTTAGATAACGCAATGTAATCATGAACATGTACTGAATCGAATAAACGACCTACATTTTTTGTATCAATTGTTGGTGGGTATTCGAAATAATTAATCAGATTAATAAGAAAATGGGGAACAATTTATAACTATCTGATCTGATATACGCAGTATAAAGATTTTTAATTTTTGTTAATCGATAAAATATCAAAATTCGTCAATCAAGTGCTTGATATGAGGAACAAAATTGAACTCTTTTGCTGACGGGGAAGTGTGATAAGTGTAAACTGAAAATGTCAAAGGTCAGAAAAGGTTGTCAGAGAAATAATTTAACGATTTGTGTCGAAAATACGGATTATTTAGATATATTGCTTTTTAAGTGTCTTTTAATGTTGGATATAAACTTGTTATGGGTGGAAATAAAGAGAAAAAGAGAGAAAAAAAAAACAGTAGTAAAGGAGAAACACCAAATTCAACGAACAGAAAAAATCGGGAAATATAAACATTCTCTGTTCGTTGACAATTCACAAATTTGAGAATTCACAAGTTGAGAACGGTTCGTACCTTACATTGTTAAATTTGGACAACGGGTTAGCGGATCAAGTTTTTAACGGTTCTTATTGTCAATCGGACTGTTCAAAGGTTCATAACATAATGGATAACGGAAAAAGATACATAAACCCTCAGCAATACATGACATCATCAAATGTGGGTCAGTGTTCACCACAAGGGTCAACTATGAACAATATCTATGGAACGCCGTGACTGTCTTAGGTAATCAATGTTTTTGTTATCTTGTGGAACGATGATATTATTTTGTCGTTTGAGCATGTTAACATGTGCAATTTACATCATGTCTTGTCAAAGGAACATGCTAACATGTACATACAGCATGTTAACTTGTCAAATTATTATGATGACATGTGCAGACAACATGCTAACTTGTCAAAGTATCGTGATGACTTGTGCAAATGACATGGTAACTTGTAAAAGTTTAATGATGACTTGTGCAAATGAAATGGTAACTTGTCAAAGTATAATGATGACTTGTGCAAATGACATGGTAAATTGTCAAAATGTAATGATGACTTGTGCAAACGACATGTTAAGTTGTCAAATTATTGTGATGACATGTGCAAACAGCATGTTAACTTGTCAAAGTGTCATGATGACTTGTGCAAACGCCATGTCAACTTGTCAAAGTATAATGATGACTTGTGCAAACGACATGTTAACTTGTCGAATTATCGTGATGACATGTGCAAACAGCATGTTAACATGTCAAATAACCATGATGACTTGTGAAACAACATGTGAACTTGTCAAAGAATCGTGATGACTTGTGCAAATGACATGTTATCTTGTATCATGCTGACATGTCAAAACGTACTGTTAACTTGTCAAAGTATTATGATAACTTGTGCAAATGCCATGCTAACATGTCAAAATTCCATGATGACATGTGTAAACAGCATGTTAACTTGTCGAATTATCGTTATGACATGTGCATACAGCAAGTTAACTTGTCAAAGTATCATGATGACTTGTGCAATTGACATGTTAACTTGTCCAAGTATAATGATGACTTGTAAAAATGCCACGCTAACTTGTCAAAATTTTATGATGACATGTGCAAACAGTAAGTTAACTTGTAAAATCATCGTGATAACATGTGCAAACAACATGCTAACTTGTCCAAGTATCATGGTGACTTGTGAAAGCAATATGTTATCTTGTCAAAATTTCATGATGACATGTGCAATCAGCATGTTAACTTGTCAATGTATCATGATGACTTGTGCAAACGACATGTTAACTTGTCAAATTATCATGATGACTTGTGCAGACAACATGTTAATTTGTCAAAAAATTGTGATGACTTGTGCAAAACACATGTTAACTTGTTAAGGTATTATGAGCATGTCATCACGATAATTCGACAAGTTAACATGCTGTTTGCACATGTCATCATGAAATTTTGACAAGTAAACACGTCGTTTTCACAAGTCATCATGCAATTTTGACAAGTTAACATGTCGTTTGCACAAATCATCATGATACTTTGACAAGTTAACATGTTGTCTGCACATGTCATAATGATTATTCGACAAGTTAACATGCTGTTTGAACAAGTCAGCATTGTCTTTAGACAAGATATGATGTAAATTGCACATGTAAATATGCTTAAATGACAAAACAATATAATCATTTCACAAGATAGCAAAATCATTTATAGCATAAGACAGTCACGGCGTTCCATAAATATCACTCCCGTGAACATGCAACATGTATACTCTCCCAATTCAATGTCTTCAAAACCAGTCTGGTAAGCATGTGACAAATGAAGAACTTATGTTATTTATGAGTGCAAAGTTTGATGCAATGAATAGTAGACTTTCTAAGCTAGCACTTGTAGAGAAAAAGGTATCAGAAATGGATATTAAAATTAATAAGCTGTGGACAGATCTTGATTCTCGGGTAGCAAAAAGTGCTGACAAACTGAATTCTTTAGAAGAATCGGTAGACGTTCATGTTTTTTCTTTGGATGAGGCACGAAATCAAGTGGCTAAGCTTGAGACCGAAAACAAAGAATTGAAAGAATCTTTGTCATCTATTCAAGCTAAGCAAATGATGAACAATTTGATCATAGGTGGTATTAAGGAATGTGAGCACGAGACAAACAATCAAACTGTTACCAAAGTAAAGGAATACTTCAAGAACGATTTAAAAATACCGGAGGATGAAGCAGAATCTATAGAAATCGAAAGAGCGTATCGTTCTGGGATTCGGAAAGGGAGTAAACCCAAAAATATTGTGGTTACCTTTAAAGACTTTAAAACCAAACAGTTTGTAAAACCGTTTAAGGAAAAGGTTGACTCAAAAGCCATCGGATTATACATGCATGATCAATACCCTTCAGATGTTGTTGCACAGAGAAAGAGACTCATCCCAATTATGAACAAGAGGGCCATGATGGCCCTGGGGTCGCTCACCTGTACATAAGCCCCCATGGCGGGGCCAGTTTAAACCAAAGGGCTTTTATTTGAACAAACTTGGAAGACACCCATTAGAAGATGTTTCATGATGTTAAGTTTTTACTATACACAAATAATGAAAAACAATGACTTTTGCCCCCTCTCCCCCCTCCCCCTGGCAGGGCCAATTTTGACCCAAGGGCTTTTATTTGAACAAACTTGGAAGACACCCATAAGAACATGTTTAATGCTAAATATCTTAGCTCTAGCTCTTTGGGTTCTTTAAAAGAAGATTTTTAAGTTTTTACTCTATGTATATAGGGAAAATCAATGACCCCTAGGGCGGGGCCAATTTTGACCCCAGGGCTTTTATTTGAAGAAACTTGGTATACACCCATTAGAAGATGTGTCATGCTAAATATCTTTGCTCTAGCTCTTTGGGTTCTCTAACAGAAGATTTTTAAGTTTTTACTACATGTATATAGGGAAAATCAATGTCCCCTGGGGCTGGGCCAATTTTGACCCCAGGGCTTTTATTTGAACAAACTTGGTAGACACTCATTAGAAGATGTTTCATGCTTAATATCTTAGCTCTAGCTCTTTGGGTTCTTTAAAAGATTTTTTTAAAAGTTTTTACTATATGCATATAGGGAAAATCAATGACCCCCTTGGGCGGGGCCAATTTTGACCCCAGGGATTTTATTTGAACAAACTTGGTAGACATCCATTAGAACATGTTTCATGCCAAATATCTAAGCTCTAGCTCTTTGGGTTTTTTAGAAGAAGATTTTTTAAAGTTTTTACTATATGCTATCGGGAAAATCAATGACCCCCTGGGGCGGGGCCAATTTTGACCCCAGGGCTTTTATTTGAACAATCTTGGTAGACACTCATTAGAAGATGTTTCATGCTTAATATCTTAGGTCTAGCTCTTTGGGTTCTTTAAAAGAAGATTTTTTAAAAGTTTTTACTACATGTATATAGGGAAAATCAATGACCCCCTGGGGCGGGGCCAATTTTGACCCCAGGGCTTTTATTTGAATAATCTTGGTAGACACTCATTAGAAGATGTTTCATGCTTAATATCTTAGGTCTAGCTCTTTGGGTTCTTTAAAAGAAGATTTTTTATAGTTTTTACTACATGTATATAGGGAAAATCAATGACCCCCTGGGGCGGGGCCAATTTTGACCCCAGGGCTTATATTTGAACAATCTTGGTAGACACTCACTAGAAGATGTTTCATGCCAAATATCTAAGCTCTAGCTCTTTGGGTTTTTTTAGAAGAAGATGTTTAAAGTTTTTTCTTTTGGTTGCCATGGCAACCAGAGTTCTGCATGGATGAAATTCTTTGAACAACTTTGTTAAGGCTTCACACAAGGAACATCTCTGTGAAGTTTCATTATGATCTGCCTTATGGTTTCAGAGGAGATGTCGTTTGAAAAGTGTGAACGGACAACGGACGACGTACGACGGACGACAGACGACGGATGAAGAGTGATCCTAATATCTCACCCTGAGCATTGACCTTTTCGAAAACCTAGCTAAACACCGTTTTCCGGTACGTTACCGTTTTAGCTCTGGGGAATTAAATCAAATGAAGTACATAACACAGTTACGTGATATTTCGATTTTTCTATCATTATTTAACCGTTTAAGGTGAAAAAATTGATGTTTTTGAAAATTATCAATATTCCTTTAATATCTATTCCAAATTATTCAAAAAAAATAAATTGTTTATAATGAAAATCAATAAAATTCAAACAGACGAGTGGAATCTTCCATAATAAATAAGGTTATTTTGTGCGTTAACTTGTGTATTTACTTTATTTTTTGTATGGAATTATTCATACAATGATATCTAATTATTTTCTTATAAAGAAATAATTACTTTATTTCAATTTGATTTTAAAAAAGGCCGAAAACATCGAGTTCGCTATTACACTCCATTGGGTGAATTCCCCAGAGCTATGTACAGAAAGTACCGGAAAACGGCGTTTAGCTAGGTTTTCGAATTCGTGAATATGCGCAGGTGAGCTAAAAAGGCAA